AATTTTATTATAATGAATTAGTATATAAAATTGTATATGTTATGTTTGTTTATGCGGCCATAATTAATTAACCATAATAATTCATGTTTACTTATTTTTCTGAAGCCACACAACGTTTGACCTTGATTGCTTCGTGGTATTTGACAAAATAGTACGATAAATATATGAGTATACGTGATTGGTTGTTTGTTTTTTATTCTTAATCTGGGTTAACAATAAAAAACAAAAAAGAAATCACCGCGCGCCTCGATCAATTTTAGGAAATGTGGGAACTAATTTTTATATCACGGACCTATATTTGAGTTTAGTTCTGAAAGTATTTCCAGAAATGTTTCGTGACATGTTTCACGAAATATTTCTAAAAATATTTCGTAAATTATTTCGGGGATGGTGAAGAGGCTGTTTAAAAGTTATAAAGTTTTCCTATAAAGCTATAAAAATTATTTCTATAACAAATATACCTTCTCCAATTTATCTTCTAGTTCTTTTCAAATTTCTACCATTTGAAGACTACACGTGAAAAACCAGATATGTCACATTTTCATAAAAATTAAGATAAAAAATGTCTATACCTATGTGGTGGATTCATCTCTGGAAATTAAGATAGCGACACAACTTTATAAACAAATGTTTCCGTTATCGAGGCACCATCAAAGAAAGCCATAATACGTTTAGTCCCAGAGTCCCGGAAATAGCCCCCCTTGCTTTTTTGCCGTACAAGGGAATAAACAGAGTAGTCGACGCGTAATTGTTTTTTTTTCTCTGATCCAGTTAAAATCGACAAACCTGGTTTTTCTCGTCTAGTCTTCATTTGACATTTTGTTCTGCAGTAAGTGCTTTGCACATTCAACATTAGATGGCACTCATTTTATGCTCGACTTAACTCAGTCATGACTATTTCTTACATAATTATTCATAAAAAATGTTTTTTCCAAATATGCTAATGAGCCACCCTCGTTTCATTAAAAAAAATAAGTTAGGATTAAAAATACGATTTGAGCTATAATACGACCAGAAAATATCACGCAAAACATTAGAAGATCAAATCTATTTTTTAAATGATTAAAAATAATAATTAATGCTTCTTGATTAAAAATTAGTGGTTTTAACACGGTCATGGCACTCTATATTGTAATTTAAAATACTATTTTTTTTAAGCGAAAATGTCAAAAGTTGACATTTCCTTTGTCATTCTATTCAGAATGTGATTTTTTATCGCATAAACTAAAAATATATCGAAGGTACCATTTAAAAATCAAAATTTTTAGTAATTTCCGGTGAAACAGGAACTAACTGAAACTAATTGAATACGTCAATTAATCTTGATAAACCAAATCTCCTCTTTTTATCTGATAAAAATAAAAAAGATTCACTTTTGAAAAACACCCGGTATAGTGAGAAAAATAACGATTTGACAATTGACAAACCAGGATTGACAAACTACAAGACAGCCTACATCTGTTAATATCGTAAGTTTTTTCTTTAACAGGCTATATCAAGGCAGTTTATTAGCAGACTTTTATTATAATAGGTTATAAAAAGATAATCTTAAAAAATGTAGCCAATTTTAATGCAACATTTTTAATCAAACTTATTGTTAATTTATACATTCAACAAATATCTGATTGTCAATTTTATGAATAAACCTATGTGTTATCAAAATACGTTTAAATATATAAATGCATTCTTATTTTACAGAGGGAGACCGCCTAAGATTAGATCATCTCCACCACCAAGCAGCTCCGACGAAGAAGGTTTTGAAAAACCTTCAGCGCCTTTAAGGAAAACTAAAGCTAAGAAAAATAATACAAGTAGCGATTCCGATAGTTCGAGGCCATCGTACAGAAGGAGAAAGTCGAGTTATCAGCAGGTAAAGATATATAATTTACTATTTTGTAAGTATGTACAATTCCGTATTTTTGTATTGCAAAACATTCATGTTTCATATTTCATGTTTTGCTATGATTTACTTTAGGTTTGTTCCAACACAGAAATTTGTACCGTTCTAGAATGGTAATTGGGGTCACCGGCATTTTAAGTTTCGTTCCAACACAGCAGAGAACGTAACGCCATCGCTTATGCGCAGTGGAGAAAATGCGTTCCAACTATGAAAGTATCATTCAGTGATCAATAACTTTTGCGTTCCAACAAGAGTTGTAATCGTTAGTGAACCGATTCCGGGACCGTAATTTCGATACCAGCCTGAAAGCAAGAATGATAGGGACTGACCTGAGTGTGTCAGGAAATTATTGATTTTTTCTGGCCTTCAAATGCCTTTAGCCTTTTCTCTTTTTAACTTTTTTAAGTTTTATTTGCTGTTTATCATGCATTTATTTTAAATATTTCTCTATTTTTGAACTATGACGAGTGACGAAGGGGACAGCTGTAAGGCTATTTCTTTGGTTCTGTGAAAAATAGCCTTATTGACGCCCAGTGGTAAATCTAGATCTCTCGGGCGCCACCTCTGTTATTTATAGTGGTAGAGGTCCACGTTTGCTAGTACGGGTAGCCTTTAAAGTAGAGACTCCATGTATGAAGGGGTGTGTAAAGTCAAAATAAAACAATCAGTTTAAATTAAAATAATATAAATAATCTTTATTGAACTTAAATTAGTTGAGAAGCAGCCGTAAAGTCATGGCTCAGAGGTTTCGGGCAAAATAGCGCGGAATAAGATTCTACGCAAGCGCGAGACTTTCTATTTTCTAACCAAGGGCGCATGCGCGGCCCTGCAATGGAGGCGATGGATGGATGGCTCACCCTAGTATTTGCGGTCGGAGAATGCACTGCGCATGTGTTAACTTTCGAAAGTTAGGATGACTTTCGAAAGTCGTCTGGTCCCAACACAGCGCTTCAATCAGCTACGCAGTGTCTTGTTACTTTCTAAAAGAAAATCGGGCACCGCATGCGCACCGGGACGCAGACGGCAGGCGGCCTCCTGACGTCTGTCGGGTAGCGCAAGCGTGGCAAGATCGCGAAATCAAAAAGTTACTAGTTAAACCCTATCTTAACCCGGAGAAGAAACTTTTCCTTCGTTTGTTCACTAGCCCACAATCCAACCGTACGTGAAAACAGCACCCCACGGTCAAAATTGTAGGTGTTTCACGCTTTCCCTTCAATCACGGATGGATTAGACACAGGAAACGCCCCCCGACAGTACTTGTGAAAGTACTGACCAAAGGACGCTACCTACTGCTCTGCATGGTCAGCCACCTTTTGACAGACAGAGAACGGCCTTCCACAATTTAATGTAAAGCCGCTCACCGCTTTTCCGAAGGTGTTGGCTAAGACACACGTTCACGTGATTTAGTGAGCAAGACTGAAAGGAAAGTTTTCAAACGACAAGCTTCACTTGATGAAAACGTGGCGTAGCACTACACTAGAAAAGACACTGCGCAAGACAGTATATTGCGCAGGGTGCGGGGAGTAGTCGGGTGAGCACTTTCTAGAAAGCGATTCTAGAAAGCGAAGCTTTCTATCGAATTCTTCCTTCGGCGGAGCAGAGTGGAGCTGTCGTCTATTCACCAAACCAGGTACCAAGCAACTCACGACTTTTGATTTTCTAACGGTACTGCTCTCGTCTATAGGAGTGGGGAAAGCAGCACACAGTGGGGATAACGGCGCGTGTCGTATCCCCGCGAGTATCGATCGATACTAACCAAGACTCTACTACTTGCTTCTAACAAAATAATTATTTTATAAATAATTTGATAATTAAAAGCTAATTAATTTAATCACTACAAATTAATTATCACAAAAATTAAGTAACATCGTTACACAGTGATATCGAGTCTTTGTTGAATACCAGTTGGAAAATAATTTAAACGAATGATAAAAAATGTATATGTCTTATAGTGTACAGTTGACTTGGAAATAACGATCAATGACATTCTCCATATAATATTACATATAAAATGACAGCGATCTTCATTTTATAGCCATCGCTAACGCTGTTTTTTCGATCATATTGTACTTACCTCCTAATATATTACTCATTAAAAATCTATCTAACCAACAATAATTACAAAAAAATAAGGTTATGAATTGGATTCAAGTGAAAGGCCACAGCTGCCAGGGCATATGCTAAAATCGGTTCACAAACCGTTCCAACAGCATTTAATTTTGGTATCGTAACAAAACAGTTCAAGTCGACTCATGCGCACAAATTTGATACCAATAACCGTTCTAGCACGGTCGACTTGGACAGTTCTGTTGTTGGACAGTTTTGTTGTTGGAACAAACCTTTTGAATTTCGTTTAGCACATCTAAATGATTCTAGAACATCTATTTAACTTGTCTCTGAATTTCGATTTTGACATTTATATTATTTGATATTTAGCAGGATTCTGATCGAGATTCAGTTCAATTCAATCATTCACCTTCTAAGAAGAAATCGAAAGCAGCTCGTGGGTCAGACGAGTTTAAAAATGCAAAACACGATTCTGATGATGAATGGAATGAACGGAAGAGAAGTCGCGTTAAGGCCCTGTTTCAAGATAGTCGATCCGACAGGTAACATACATAACTTTTTTAATAAACTTCTTATAAATACACCACGTATATAAGTGGTTAATTTTGTATTATTTATATACTTTACTTTCAACGCTCAGTGGAGTTGGAAAATATTTCTACTAAAATTTATCTAAGAGTGGGGGCAGATTTTACCCTTCCTATACTTTTTCTTGATTTTTGTGAAAATCATATACTAAGGACTAATAAAGGTTAGTTTTGGGTCGAGATTTCCGTATGTAAGAAGAGATGCGTTTATAATGAACAAAGAGAGAACAGTAAAAACGTTGCCAAACGTATGAAATAAACCGAGAAACTGTGCACATTGCTAAGAGACGTGGAAGGGGATATAGTAGATTTGTCGTGGTCGATCGGTCGATCCAATCAGTACTTAAAATTCTAGGGAAGGGTGTACATCATGTGTTTAGCTACACGATTTAATTACGTCTAGTGATACTTTATTTGTTTTTATTAACAAGCCGTTGTAATTTTCCCTATAGCTTGTAAATTTTTAAGTGCAATTAAGAAACACTGGTACTTTTGGTAAAAATAAGTGGAATTGAGTTGGTGTTCGACAGTGGTCGCGCTATTACAACTCTGAATTCAAAAATCGGTATCTCCAAATCCATTAGAAATAATTGATAGTAGTTTTTTTCAAAAATTTTCTTAAAATTTCTGCTATATTTTCTTCGCAGACAGTATTTGAAAATCTTTATAAATAAAAAAGTTACACTGTTGCTGAAAATTGCTATGCGCTAAAAGTAAATGGGTGAGTTTTTTAAAATTTTTGAAAGGAAAAAAAAACAAGCCTATTGAATTTTTCATATATTTAAACATCTTGTATAAGATCCGTTCTTCAGATTAAAAAGTTGAGTTTTTAAATTATCCCAATTACTGACGTTTTCTCGTTATAAAAAAAATGGACGATATCGTTATAATTCCATTTCAGATGCTCAGAAACAGACCTAATGATTTTATCTTGTTATATTTTCGAAAAAAATAGTCTTTTAAAAATAAGCGGTTTGCGATCGTGATTTTACTTTACTTGATGGGGAAAGGCGTACCGGAGAAATGTGGCAACAGCACACCGTCGCATTTCTCTCACTCCGACTTAACAAGATCCCTATGCGATTTACTTCCACACATGTAAATACCGACCCAAAAGTAAGAGTTGCCAGCATGGTATGTTAAAGCACTTGGCAAAACATAGGCAGCTCAAATCTGACTCAAATCGGAATAACGGTTCTTAAATATCTTTAAAAATGTATTTGTTTTAAATTTGATGCCCCCTAACGGACAAACGAAACATTTTATATAGAGGTAAATTGTGTCCAATGAACTTATTTTGATTCCCAAAATACGTTCGTAATAGTTCTTTGTCTACGGAATAGTGGCACCCTGTATGTATACAGGGTGTCAATGAAATGGTGTAAAAAATCGAGGGGTGATAGTACCCCTAAAAATAGTAAAAAAAGTTCCTATAAGTATAGGGCGGGAAATGCATATTAAGGGAGTTAGGGGCACTGAAAGGGTGAATTTAAAAAACGGTTGTTAGGTACGGTAGGCTTAAAAAACGAGATAAAATTTCGAAAAAAAAAATCCGCTGCTATAAATTTTGACCCTAAATCAAATGGTGATACTGAAAAATTATTTGGAAAAGCGGAAAGGGTAGTTTTTGCAAGGGTAGGGGGTTGTTTCGAGAATAACTTTTTAGGTTATTTTTTTTGTAACGTGGGTTCATTTTTTGAGAACTACATACTTTTTCCTACAAAAAGATACTCTTGTTGCACATCGCCCAGAGCGATGATTTTCGAGAAAATTTGAAGACAAAGAGTTTGTTCTGATGGGTTGCTAACTGGTTAATCAACATAAACTTATGCAAGTTATGGCGGTTCAAAAGTAACCAAGTAGTTATCAAATAATTAATTGAAAAATCAAAATTTCATGATTTTTAAAACATCTTATTGCTTTAAAAAATGAAATATCCAATTACCAAAATTCCTTATTAAAATAATGCATTCCTTAATTCATTCATAGTAAATGTTCAAAGTGACCACCATTTATTTCAATGTAGACATCTGATCTTCTTCTCCACGATCTGCGTAGGTACCCTGTTGAATATCCTTGGTGTTGTCCGAATTTGTTTGGAACAGTCAATAATGCGTTGCCGTAGTTGCTCTTCAGTATTAATCGGCACAGAGTAAACCAAACCTTTTTAAAACCAAAAAAGTTTATTTCGTTTTTAAATTAATAAGATGTTTTAAAAATCATGAAATTTTGATTTTCTAATGGTTACTTTTGAACCGCCATAACTTTCATAAGTTTATGTTGATTAACCAGTTAGCAACCCATCAGAGCAATCTCTTTGCTTTCAATTTTCTCGACAACCATCGATGCAACAACAAGAGTACCTTTTTTGTAGGAAAAACTACCCTTCCGCTTTTCCAAAAATTGCAAAAACTACCCTTTCCGCTTTTCCAAATAATTTTTCAGTATCGCCATTTAATTTAGGGTCAAAATTTATGGCAGAGGATTTTTTTTTCGAAGTTTTATCTTGTTTTTTAAGCCTACAATTTCAAAACAACCTTTTTTGAAATTCACCCTTTCAGTGCCCCCAACTCCCTTAATATGCATTTTCCGCCCTATACTTATAGGAACTTTTTTTACTATTTTTAGAAGTAATATCACCCCCGATGTTTTTACACCATTTCAATGACACCCTGTATAACATGACTGTATGAATGAAATTGACAAAGAAAAAGAAACAAAATCATCTACAGTTTTCTTGGAAACAAAGATTTCAGAAATTTTAATTATTAAAAAAAATCTTGTAGTTAAAAATACTGTTTGAAATAAAATATCTACGCATCTGTTAGATCCCATTACAGTACACTTCTGCTGTAATAGGCGTCTACCGGACGTATAATGTGAAATAATTATAATGTGAAATTTCTCTCTGACTATAATGTTAATTTGCACAGTTTCTTCCTTACGCCTGTGGGGTTGGCAGAGCTTCGCAATACATTAAATGATATTAAAAATAAATCTTCAGCAGGGACTGACGGACTTACTCTTAAAATGTTCTCTAGTATGCCGGAATGTACATTAAACCATCTTTCAGCCTTAATTAATATGTCATTTGAAGATGGTGCTTTTCCAAATTGCCTTAAGTCGGCGATAATTATTCCTTTGCATAAAGGAGGTGATAAAGAGCAAGCTTCCAACTATCGTCCAATTGCACTCCTTCCCACGTTATCGAAGATCATGGAGAGACTGGTTAAAAAGAGGCTTGTATCATTTCTTCTAAAATACAAAATACTCACCCCCTTTCAGTTTGGGTTCTTGAGTAACAAATGTACAAATGACGCTATGTTTTCGCTGTTTAATAATGTATACTCCAGTCTGATCAACCGTCTCGTTACAGCAACAATTTTCTGTGATTTCTCGAAAGCTTTCGATTGTGTTAATCATAACATCCTAACTAACAAATTGCAGTACTATGGTATCAGGGGAACGCCTCTTGAATGGTTTAAGTCCTACCTTAACAACAGAAACCAGCGTGTGAGGGTTGATAAGACTGTGTCTTCTTGCAAGCCAATAGAATGCGGAGTACCTCAGGGCTCAGTGCTAGGTCCTATTTTGTTTCTGTTGTTTATCAACGATATTGCTAGTCTGGACATCAGTGGTAAAATCTGTCTCTTCGCGGATGATACTTGTTTCACATGGAGCAGCCCGGACACCACGGCACGTCATAGAACCATTTCCAGTGACTTAATCAACATAAAAACATAGTGCGATTCTAATTATCTGTGTCTCAACGTCTCTAAAACTAAAGTCTTATCATATAAAAGTACGTTGCTACCTTTTCAACTTGATAATACCATCATTGACGTCGTTGATTCTGTGAAATTTTTAGGCCTTGTTGTGGACAACTATTTAAAATGGGATTGATTTAAATGGATAAAATGGATTGTAAAAATTTTTTTTATGACAATAAAGCAATTTCTTTCTTTAATACTTTTTCAGAAGTGAGTCCGAGTCGTCCGTTCGTCGCAGACGCGATAAACCGAAGGAAAGCACCTCGCCCTTCAGACGGAAACATGCCAAAAGCGTGGCGTTCGTCCAGACCTCCGATTCTAGCGACAGCGACGAACCTCCGCCGCGCGTCGGTAGACCGAGCAGAAGCAGTACCTCCGAGAACCACGTTCACCACATTTCCGATTCTGACAGCGACTTGGATAGCGTGCCGAAAAACTGGATAAAGTGGACGAGCACAAGTCGATCGCTGACAAGAACAAAAACAACGTGTTGTCGAAACTGTTCACGCCGAAACGTGATACCGAAGGAGGTGGAAAAGGTGGCGGCAAGGGTGGTAAAGGTGGAAAAGGTAAGTGAAGACAATATACTAGCCTGGTTAGGCCATGTATATTGTCTGTATGTATATATACGCCATGTATGTTAATAGATATGCAGGGTGAGTTTTTTACGATGTTCTCTATGGGTATCTCGGAAACTACTGAAGATAGAGAGTCGGTTAAATGGGGTAAGAATTGCAGTTTTGTGGTGTCATAAATATGCGCCTTTTAGATTTGTGAAAAAGTTCATGGCTTCTAGATATTTCGAAAAAAAAAACAATTTTTTGCTATTTCAAAAATGGCCTCTAATTCCATTACAATACATTTTAGACAAAAAGTTTTCAGATAAAAGTTGTAGATAATCACATCCTTAATGAGATTGTGTTCTTCGCTTTTTTTCTAAAGCCTGTCATTTTTGACATAAGACACAAACTTATGTTTTTTTAAATGGAAACCATAGTTAGCCATGATTTCATAAAAAGCGCCATTTTTTAAGCTTTTCAGCGATATAAGCTATAATATGTTTTTTTTTTCAAAAATTACTTAGTTATAGCCAATTCTTATCATTTTTAAACAATTTCACTTAGTCAGCCATGGAAACAATTTCAATTGTCGTTGCTCTCAGAAATATCAAACTGACACATCCAAACTTTGTAAATTAAAATAACCAAAAATTGTAAATATGAATTTTTCAAATGAAGTAAAGCGTGTAGGATTATTGGTTCAACTTTTCTTGGCCATACATTTTCGAGGATACGTTACATACGCTGTTTAGAGAACGGTTTTCAAGACATGTTAGAAAAGTAAAATTTAGAGACTCGCGCATCAATGGAGTGGTTCCAACATGACTTTCATTATGACACTTCGCCTCCCTCCATAATGAGAGAAATGTTAAAAATTATTTATATCATAATTATTCAAACTCAGTGATAGGAAGAGGTGGACTAATTGCATGGGCCTTCTCGATCAACTGATCTATCCATTTTAGATTTTATGTAGTATATTTTTTGAACATTTTCTAAAATAACTTTAAGTGTATGTAGTGATATTATTGTTTTAGGTTTTAGTTTGTGTAATATAAATTGTAAAGAACCGTTTAATCAAATATTCTGTCTTTTTATAAGTTATAAAGTATAATAATTAAATAAAATAAATAACAGTATAAGAATACCATACCAACTAAGTGAAATTAGTCAAGAAGATAAGAATTGGCTATAACTCAGTAATTTTTAAAAAAATCTTAAAAATGGCGCTTTTTATGAAGTCATGGCCAACTATGGTTTCCATTTAAAAAAACATATATTTGTGTCATATGTCAAACATGACAGGCTTTAGAAAAAATCGGAGAACACAAGCTCATTAGGAATGTGATTATCTACAACTTTTATCTAAAAACTTTTTGTCTAAAATAGATTAGAAAGGAACTGAGGACAATTTTTAAAATAGTCAAAATTTGTTTTTTCGAAATATCTAGTAAGCCATGAACTTTTTCAAAAATCGAAAGGCGCATATTTATGTTCCCACAAAACTGTAATTCTTTCCCAATTTAACCGACTCTCTATCTCCAGTAGTTTCCGAGATACCCATACCCATAGAGAACATAGTAGGAAACTCACCCTGTATGTTTACTTAATTAACTGGTTTCCCTTTACTCTGTCTATTATAAGACGTAGATATCTGATTCAGGCAAGCCAGCAATGCTAAAAAATTCATCATGGCATGTTGAATTCAAATAATCTAATAGGTGGGGTTTCTTACATCTGGTGTTAGCCATGCGTATAATACTCTCCTATTGGCCAGTACTACCCCAATTTTATGCCCTATTTGGAAATAGAGATATTGACTAGTACTGAAATACTCAGTAGCGGCGTTATTGCATGCAATATTACTATATTTTTAGCAAATCACTAAACAAAATGTAAATACATTTGAAGTAAAATAATATAAAGTTTATACCTTTTCATAAAGCACCGCACGTTCTGAATATAAATATGTTACAATTGCCTGTTGTATCAGATTCGTTTGTAAGACGGTAATTAATTGTATCAACTCAATTTTTGGTCTCTTTGACCTTATAATTAAATTTTCCTATTTTGAGGTCAATAAGTTTTAATTTTAATCTTTAATATATAAAGAACATATTAATGAAATCTACACAATGAGGCGGCAAAATATGAACACAAATAATTATTTACAGAAACGTGACTAAATGTCAAAGTACAAATATAACTGCGTTCACAAAGCAAAAAGTTTTATATTAAAACTTCGTGGAAACTCTAACTCGGTCGATAAAACATTGAATAGTTAATTTCGAGCTTGCCTAGTTTTACAATTCGCTGAATTTATTTATTCCAGAAACAAATTTGCTTCTAGCTTAAACATCTTCGTTTTTTTACTTTGGTATTTATAATTCCGGGCGTTTAACAATCGATTGATGAATCAACTATAAAATGAACATAACATGTAAATTTTACATTGTAAGTTTGAACTGGTCTTATATTCATACAACTTTAATAATATTAAATATTAACACAATTTAATAATTAACTAGCAAATATTTCATAAACTATTAAATTTTTACACAGTTGTAATGCACACATTGAACTTATTGATAATGACGTATTTAGTGTCTGTATTTAATAATTCTATAGAAAATTATTCCAACTATGAGCATCAGTTTCATCTAAAAGATTTTTTTTTCCGGCAGAGTGAGGTCGCATTATTTTTTATTTTTTAGGAAATTTATTAAAGTGTGGATTTGATCACACATTTACATTATGCCTAAAGCCCCGTCTACTTATTATAACCTTTTATCTGTCAAAACAAGTCGTTAAAAACTTATTGTTTTAATTTTTTTTTGTTTTGTTAGGAGTTAAAATGATACTTTTTGTGGCGAGGCTGTATGTTTGACATTGCGGGCGAGGCACAAAAAGACATTTTTACTCCGAATAGAACATGCCGTAGCAAATAATATAAAAATATTTAACACAAAACATCCCCCTTTAGAACTTCGTCTGTCATGTTAAGAAATGAAAGTAAATAGTAAGCGCCTCTCGTGTTTGTTCGCACTCAAAAAATTTCAATTAATGCCTGTATGTATTTTTAATATATTTTTTCAATTTACATTTTTTTAATTGCAAAGTAATATATTACATTTAAATGGAATATTAATATTACATAACAATTATGTCAATTACAGGATTATAAGCTTGTTTTCCAACATTTTTTAAATAAAACGAATTATAAAATTTCAATATATGTATATTTATCGTTGGTATGAGTAAAATAGAAAATGGACAAACGCTTACTTACATTGCAATAAAACTTCCACTTTTAGTTTTGCAATCCAAACGCAATATTTCTATTTCACAAATAAAAATATCCGACAACACTAAAATCACTGAAACTTCCGCGGCTGACAACGAAAACTGAAAAATATAACGGCACTTTTTGTTTTGGACCTGCATATCAACATTACGCTGTACTATTATGTGTTTGTTGTTGAAATAATATAAAATATCTAATTATAACTTGTAAATTTTAATATTTTAACATGATTTTATGATGACCATTTGATGACCGGTGGCGCCTCTAGTGTTTGTTCGGGCGGTTGGTCTTTTACTCCCGCTTATGGCCATTAAAAGAAAAAGTTCTAAAGGGGAATGTTTTGTGATATTTAAATGTAATACCTCGTAAGTAATTATATGTTGAGAAACATGGTTATGACTGGTTATGGTTGTTTATTTGACACTTTATGCCAGTTTAATAATATATTTTCGTACTTTTATGCTTAGGCACAAGTGCTTTATTTTTATGCCTCAGCCAAAATGACTTTCTATATTGTTAATCGCATCGTAAAAATTAATACTTTTGTAAAGTTTGAAAAAAATGTACTTTTTTAAAAGTTTTTGCTTGTTCTAAAATGGAAGTAACCGTTTACCTCTTCCAAATTTCTATTCCGTCTTAGAGAAAAATTTAAAAAAATATAAAAATATAGTTGATTTTTTTCTTAAGCTTCATTCAGATCTTCTCAATTAGTGGAATAAATTAGTGGTTTCAATTAGCGTAGAAACTTGTTCCTCTAATTTAAATGTAATCACTCAGAACGTTAAAATTAGGGGTAGGAATTTTCAATTAGTGGAAAAAGTTAACAAGCTTTTAGCTTCATTCAGAACGTTGCAATTAGTGAAATAAATTAGTCGTTTCAATTACACTTTATACTCTTTAGTTTACGAACATTCACAATGTTTAAAAAACACAATTAAGATTAATAGAATATCCTAGCAACAGCTTGCGTTAGTCAGTTGTAGAAAGATTCCATAGAGAAAGCCTAATATTTAGCTTATAAAACAATCAACTTTTGATTTATACCCACAATTTTTCTTGATGGAAGACGACCAAAGGCCAAAATGTAATTTCTCGCAAATATTGAAGTATAATTAGTGGAAAAGTTAAAAGTTTGATAACTTGTTCTACTAATTGAAAATGTCTACCACTAATTTTGACGTTCTGAATGCTTACATTGGAATTAAAGAAACAAACTACGCTAATTGAAACCACTAATTTATTCCACTAATTGCGAGGTTCTGAATGAAACTTTTAATTTTTACTAATTATATTATTTAAAAATTCGCTAGAAATGTAATTTTGGCCTTTGATTATCATTCTTCAAGAGAAATTAAGGTTAGAAATCAAAAGTTTATTGTTTTATACGCAAAATAAATATTATTATTTATAAGCTAAATAATATCCGCTATGCCGACGATACGGTCTTAATTGCAGACAATATACACGACCTACAACAACTGGTCAACAAGGTAGGAGAACAGAGCAAAGCAATGGGTTTAAACATCAACATCAAGAAAACCAAATTTATGATTATATCAAGAAACCCAGATATGTGTATAAACTCCATCCTAACATTTAACTCAAGGCCCATAGAAAGAGTAGATAAATTTAAGTACTTGGTCATCTGGCTATCCGAAGATTGGACATCAGACAAGGAAATTAAATGTCGCATCGAACAAGCTCGGCAGGCATTCTTGAGGTTTCGAAAAGTACTTTTCTGTTCTGATTTTGACCTTAGTCTTAGATTAAGATTCGTAAAGTGTTATGTGTGCTTGGTGCTCTTTTATGGTATGGAAGGTTGGACATTGAAAGCAGCTACCATCAACAAATTGGAGGCTTTTGAGATGTGGCTATATCGCAGAATCCTGAAGATACCTTGGACGGCTAGATTGACAAATGAGGAAGTTCTCAGACGCGGTGACAAAGAGCGTGAATTATTTGAATTGATTAAAAAGAAAAAGATCGCATGACTGGGGCACATAATGCGAAACCCCAAATATCAATTCTTGCATTTGTTGATAGAAGGCAAGATCGAAGGCCGGAGGGGTATCGGAAGGAAGAAAATGTCTTGGCTGAGGAATATTAGACAGTGGACAGGGCTACTCGATGTTCAGTCGTTAATACACACCGCCCGGAACATGTTACCGCAAACGTCCATTAATGGATCTGCACTAAAAGAAGAAGAAGAAGCTAAATATTAGGCTTTCTCTATGAATACAACTGACTACTGCAAGGTGTTGCTAGGATATTCTATTAATTTTAATTATGTTTTTTAGAAATTGTGAATGATCGTAAACTAAAACGTATAAAGAGTAATTGAAACCACTAATATATTCCACTAATTGCGAGGTTCTGAACATAGATAAAGGAAATAAATTTAGATTGGAATGCCCCACAAAATTTTGGATCGCGATCGTTGTACGCGATCTGGAGCTGCTATGAACTAGTTGCTAAGAAAAACAACAAAATGTTGCAAACAAAAACAGAAACAATTTTCTCTTGTCAAAGTCAGAATCTTCAAAAATTATAAAAATTTTCAAAATCTAAACCGCTCTCATTGAAAAAACTCTGAAAAGTGTTTAAAGCGTCTATTTTCAAAGTAATTATTGATATCTTGTGAGTTTAATTTAAATTTTATTTATTCAAACCCGTGATAATTGTGAAAAAGTGGCATTAAAAACTTAAGAAGTGTGAACTGCAAAAAACATCGTGGATCGTGGCATAACGTCGGTTTCCAATGTTTCGTAGGTATTTCATACATGTCCTTATATAAAATAAAGTTTCTTGTATGCAACACACTGTATTTTCAATAAATAAAATTAAAAGAATATAATAATAAATTTGAATAAACAATATTTGGCGATATAATTCCGGAAAAAGCGGAACCGGTCCAAAACTTTCAAAAGCTTTGGGTCGCGACCGTTGCAAGCATGGTTGCAAGAATAGCGCCAAATAGTGTTTACTTGGTGTTTGCGTTGTCCTTATGGGCACTTTCCAATCTAAACTTGTTTCATTTATCTATGGTTCTGAATAAAGCATTAGTCTCAAAAATCTAAACTCGTTTCTATTCTAATATCGTATCGTTTTCATTCATTGATAGATGGTTAGCATTAATTCTGATTAACATCATATTTTTTGCTGAAATCGACTAGTGAACGACAATCGATGCATCCAAAGAATATACCTAGCTAGAAAAAGAATGGACTCCGCCATACTGAACAATGGTCCTACATAAGTGGCGCCATCTATTGAGTAGGGCTTGTTTTAAATGGATCGAAGCGCGGGCTTTTTAAATGAGCGTATTTATTGAATTTTACTCTAAAATAATTAAATTTGATTATTAAATCTTATTTTTTACACAAATTCAACAATACTAATAACAAGTATCGTTGTAATGTGTAAAAATAAGATTTAACAGTATAATTATACAATTATTAAATAAAATTAAAAGCCAAACATGTGAAATATTATATATTTAAAGTTTTTATTTATAAGTCAAATATTTCACCTAAACATCGTTTATTATAATAAAACAAGACCAACGTAATACGCCCAAAGTTTTGTAAATGGAGTAAATATAAATAGGTACTTAAATGATGGCAAAATAAAAGACTTACATTATATTTTTAGGGCCACAAACAAAAGGAATTGTCTAATTAAAACACATATAACAAATTATAGTTTGAAAAACGTTTTGATAATCATTTATTTGATAATATTATGATTGGCGCTATGACAACGACAATATTTTTTGAGAATTTGACAATAATATGACAATGGCTATGGAAACTACAAAAAAAACTGATTTAACGCCATCTGCCAATAACTAGTAGCAACTTCTTAACCTAAAAATTAATTGCACTACCACCTAGTGCCTAGGGCTGGAACTATTTTATTTGAGATTTCCGTGGAAACGGTGGAACCGCTTTTGCTATTTCACTTTCCCGCCCCTGGATGCATCTATTAGCAAAATTTTGGTGAGGTCAATCTCTAGACGTCATTTACAAAAAAATGACATAAAACTTATCAAAAATTAACACTAATTATAGGAAGCTAGAACGTGTCTAAACACAGATCTATCTCAAATATTTTTTTTTTCGAGTTTAAAGCAACACCATTTAAAAATCATTTTTACTCAATAAAAAAATAAATTGCAATATTCTTAAGGCCAACTGGCAATAAGTGCCATTAAAAATAAAGAAGAGTAAGGGCCCAGTAAGTGACGTCTGGAGCTTTACCTCGCCAAAATTATCATCGATTGTCATTCCTCAGCTGTTTTTTTTTTGATCATATGGTTTTAAAGAAGCACAAAGTTGTTTGGTTCACGGAAAAGGTGATTATAAATTTTGTGCTTTTTTAATAAAATAAGAAAAAATGGCAATACGTTAATTAGAATTAATTTATTAATTTAGATTTTTGAGAGTAAAAAAAATTGTAGTAATAACTATATTTTCATATTTTTGTATTTTTCTCTAAAACTGTATAGAAATTTGAAAAAGTATAAGCGGGATTAACCATTTTAGAACAAGCAAAAACTATTATAAAGAATGCATTTTTCTCAAAAAGATAATAATAAAAAAGTTTTTCCTCTTGTAAATACAATATACTAACAATAATTGTTAGTATCTTTAAAATGCTGATTTATGTTTGGGTATTTCAAATTTATTAATAATTATTAATATTTAATTCAATAATTGTTATTTTATTCTAATGTTATACTTTATTTATATTAGGAAAAGGTGGGGTAAACGTCATAATTGTTGATGGCAACGATGAGAGGACCAGCTCGTCGGTGGAAGACGAGGCGATGCCTACCATATCGAATACCAATTTATTATCGCCCATTCCTACCAACGACAACAAAATATCTAGCGTACAGGTATGTAGAAATGATACAGGGTGCTATACATATAACAAAAGTGATATAAAGGTCCAATACTCCACAAATTTTCAAATCTTTACTACAATCTTTCTTACAAAGTATGTTTTCTTTAAAACAAATACACATACTAGTCAATCAAAATAAAAGTCATCAAATAAAATGTTTGGTAAAAACTATTCAGCGAGCTATTCAGATATACAAGGTGGTCCGAACTGTACTGCGGAAAGTTTGGCGGCATATTCAGCAGATAAAAATAAATAAAAAAGTTCGTATAAATTTATGTTCTAAAATCTAAAATGAAAATTTTAGATTAAAAATTTTAGATTATAATTTTTTTTTCAATTTTTCGGAGATGCAGGGTGTAAAAGTTCCATTTTTATTTCAATTTTTTCCAAATAATTTTAGAAGTAACGTCAATATTTAGATGAAAATTGGTGTGTATGCGAATTTTTTGACATGAGAAATTTGATTTTGATGTCAATTGACTCCTATTTGTAGGGGTAGCCCCCTATATGTGTTTTAACTGTTTTGAATATAATAACTTTTCGTCTGTACCTGTATAAAACTACTTGGTGAAAAAATATACATTTCCGTGATTTTTTACGTAAAAAATCGTTCTCAAGATACTTAGAATCGATCAATACATGTCATTATTGACAAAAAAATAAATATGTCGAGTAGCTAGTTATTTGACTGAAATTATAAATTTGGGTACTTTTTATTTTTTTTAAATTAATCATATATTTTTCTTCGAAAAAATGATTGTAAAACAGTTTCTGTTGAACTTTTGGCACAAAAACATTTCAAATTTAAATCAACCTAACCTAACCTAACTGTTTAGTCAACATGTTTAATTTATGTCAATGATGACATGTATTGATAATTTCGATTTCAAATATTTCGAGAACCATGTGTCTTAGTAATTTAATTCTAACCAGTTCTGTATTGATATTGAGCCTTTTGGAACAATGGGTCACTTTGTATTTAGCAAAGATTATTAATATTAAATATTTTCCTCCACAGCCTAAAGTAAAACTGTCGCCCAATTTCCAAAAGACTGAAGAAAGCCCGGTAAAGGCTAAGAAAGAGGCCGATACCAAACTCTTAGTTAAGATCGACTTAAGTCGGCTCAATATTGATGAGATTCCTATACTAAAACGGTATATCGAAACTAAAAAGCATTCGGTGCTAGACCAAAAAGAGCACAAATGCAAGACGGAGCCTAGCGATGAGGAGAAGGCGCGCGAGAGCAGCGTTGAAAGCAGGAAAACGGTTGCCGTTCAGGCCTGTGCATCCGATGCGAAGTCGGCCGATTCTAAAAAAGCGAAAAAAAGAAAAAGGAAGAACAGCGGCAGCTCAGTCTCGTCGGTGTCGGCGGTCAGCAATAATCCATCTTATGCCAGTAAAAAAGAGAAAGATAAGGAACCTTACAAAGAGAAAAGTCGGCATAAATCAAAACGGTAAGTTTTTAAATCTGATTTTCAAAAATTTCTTGTAACAAAAAATAGTTACGCACTTATTTTTGGCGCCCGACGTTGGACAGCAAAAAATAAGTATTAAAAAAGATATTATCTGAAAAAAGATTTATATTTATATGTAACTTATGATCATTATATTATCACACGTATACACAATACACATAATACCGTATGATCGAAAAAAACGACGTCCAGTTGGCTTGAAAATCAGCATCGATGACATTCCTCATATAATTTTACATAAAAAATGGCAACGATCTTCGTTTTATAGGAATAGAAATACTGACGCCGTTTTTTTTTCGATCATATTGTACTAATGCAATAAACATTTCAATGCATAGGGAACATGTGAAAAAAATTAAATAAGAAAAAGATAACCCCCATCGTAACTCTATGTTATATGGATTCATGTATCAGCACTAAACTATGTCCTAATCCCAATTTAAATAACTTTTAAGAATCCACATTCTAAAATAGACGGGTTCAGGTTTTTCTTATTAGTGATTCTGAACATTCTGTCTATATGACAGTTTTATTTATTAAAATATTTCTAACTTTTTATTTTAATATCTAGGAAAAAAGACGATGCGAGCCTCACCAAACAGCAGCAGCTTCAAGGTCAAAGTGAAAACCTCAACTCTATCAACACACCACCGACCAATCACGAAAGGGATTGCATACCTCCAGCAGCTGATACTTCAGCCTATTCACCTTCTAAGAAGAAATCGAAAGCAGCTCGTGGGTCAGACGAGTTTAAAAATGCAAAACACGATTCTGATGATGAATGGAATGAACGGAAGAGAAGTCGCGTTAAGGCCCTGTTTCAAGATAGTCGATCCGACAGGTAACATACATAACTTTTTTAATAAACTTCTTATAAAAATACACCACGTATATAAGTGGTTAATTTTGTATTATTTATATACTTTACTTTCAACGCTCAGTGGAGTTGGAAAATATTTCTACTAAAATTTATCTAGGAGTGGGGGCAGATTTTACCCTTCCTATACTTTTTCTTGATTTTTGTGAAAATGATATACTAAGGACTAGTAAAGGTTAGTTTTGGGTCGAGATTTCCGTATGTAAGAAGAGTACAATGCGTTTATACTGAACAAAGAGAGAACAGTAAAAACGTTGCCAAACGTATGAAATAAACCGAGAAACTGTGTACATTGCTAAGAGACGTGGAAGGGGATATAGTAGATTTGTCGCGGTCGATCGGTCGATCCAATCAGTACTTAAAATTCTAGGGAAGGGTGTACATCATGTGTTTAGCTTCACGATTTAATTACGTCTCCTGGTACTTTATTTGTTTTTATTAACAAGCCGTTGTAATTTTCCCTATAGCTTGTAAATTTTTAAGTGCAATTAAAAAACACTGGTACTTTTGGTAAAAATAAGTGGAATTGAGTTGGTGTTCGACAGTGGTCGCGCTATTACAACTCTGAATTCAAAAATCGGTGTCTCCAAATCCATTAGAAATAATTGATAGTAGTTTTTTTCAAAGATTTTCTTAAAATTTCTGCTATATTTTCTTTGCAGACAGTATTTGAAAATCTTTATAAATAAAAAAGTTACACTGTTGCTGAAAATTGCTATGCGCTAAAAGTAAATGGGTGAGTTTTTTACAATTTTTGAAAGGAAAAAAAACAAGCCTATTGAATTTTTCATATATTTAAACATCTTGTATAAGATCCGTTCTTCAGATTAAAAAGTTGAGTTTTTAAATTATCCCAATTACTGACGTTTTCTCGTTATAAAAAAATGGACGATATCGTTATAATTCCATTTCAGATGCTCAGAAACATACCTAATGATTTTATCTTGTTATCTTTTCGAAAAAAATAGTCTTTAAAAATAAGCGGTTTGCGATCGTGATTTTACTTTACTTGATGGGGAAAGGCGTACCGGAGAAATGTGGCAACAGCACACCGTCGCATTTCTCTCACTCCGACTTAACAAGATCCCTATGCGATTTACTTCCACACATGTAAATACCGACCCAAAAGTAAGAGTTGCCAGCATGGTATGTTAAAGCACTTGGCAAAACATAGGCAGCTCAAATCTGACTCAAATCGGAATAACGGTTCTTAAATATCTTTAAAATGTATTTGTTTTAAATTTGATGCCCCTAACGGACAAACGAAACATTTTATATAGAGGTAAATTAGTCCAATGAACTTATTTTGATTCCCAAAATACGTTCGTAATAGTTCTTTGTTTACGGAATAGTGGCACCCGTATGTATACAGGGTGTCAATGAAATGGTGTAAAAAATCGAGGGGTGATAGTACCCCTAAAAATAGTAAAAAAAGTTCCTATAAGTATAGGGCGGGAAATGCATATTAAGGGAGTTAGGGGCACTGAAAGGGTGAATTTAAAAAACGGTTGTTTTAAAATGTTAGGCTTAAAAAACGAGATAAAATTTCGAAAAAAAAATCCTCTGCCATAAATTTTGACCCTAAATCAAATGGTGATACTGAAAAATTATTTGGAAAAGCGGAAAGGGTAGTTTTTGCAAGGGTAGGGGGTTGTTTCGAGAATAACTTTTTTTAGGTTATTTTTTTTGTAACGTGGGTTCATTTTTTGAGAACTACATACTTTTTCCTACAAAAAGATACTCTTGTTGCACATCGCCCAGAGCGATGATTTTCGAGAAAATTTGAAGACAAAGAGTTTGCTCTGATGGGTTGCTAACTGGTTAATCAACATAAACTTATGAAAGTTATGGCGGTTCAAAAGTAACCAAGTAGTTATCAAATAATTAATTGAAAAATCAAAATTTCATGATTTTTAAATCATCTTATTGCTTTAAAAAATGAAATATCCAATTACCAAAATTCCTTATTAAAATAATGCATTCCTTAATTCATTCATAGTAAATGTTCAAAGTGACCACCATTTATTTCAATGTAGACATCTGATCTTCTTCTCCACGATCTGCGTAGGTACCCTGTTGAATATCCTTGGTGTTGTCCGAATTTGATTGGAACAGTCAATAATGCCTTGCCGTAGTTGCTCTTCAGTATTAATCGGCACAGAGTAAACCAAACTTTTTTAAAACCAAAAAAGTTTATTTCGTTTTTAAAGCAATAAGATGTTTTAAAAATCATGAAATTTTGATTTTCCAATGGTTACTTTTGAACCGCCATAACTTTCATAAGTTTATGTTGATTAACCAGTTAGCAACCCATCAGAGCAATCTCTTTGCTTTCAATTTTCTCGACAACCATCGATGCAACAACAAGAGTACCTTTTTTGTAGGAAAAACTACCCTTCCGCTTTTCCAAAAATTGCAAAACTACCCTTGCAAAAACTACCCTTTCCGCTTTTCCAAATAATTTTCCAGTATCGCCATTTAATTTAGGGTCAAAATTTATGGCAGAGGATTTTTTTTTCGAAGTTTTATCTTGTTTTTTAAGCCTACAATTTCAAAACAACCGTTTTTTAAATTCACCCTTTCAGTGCCCCCAACTCCCTTAATATGCATTTTCCGCCCTATACTTATAGGAACTTTTTTTACTATTTTTAGGAGTAATATCACCCCCCGATTTTTTTACACCATTTCAATGACACCCTGTATACATGACTGTATGAATGAAATTGACAAAGAAAAAGAAACAAAATCATCTACAGTTTTCTTGGAAACAAAGATTTCAGAAATTTTAATTATTAAAAAAAATCTTGTAGTTAAAAATACTGTTTGAAATAAAATATCTACGCATCTGTTAGATCCCATTACAGTACACTTCTGCTGTAATAGGCGTCTACCGGACGTATAATGTGAAATAATACTTTTTCAGAAGTGAGTCCGAGTCGTCCGTTCGTCGCAGACGCGATAAACCGAAGGAAAGCACCTCGCCCTTCAGACGGAAACATGCCAAAAGCGTGGCGTTCGTCCAGACCTCCGATTCTAGCGACAGCGACGAACCTCCGCCGCGCGTCGGTAGACCGAGCAGAAGCAGTACCTCCGAGAACCACGTTCACCACATTTCCGATTCTGACAGCGACTTGGATAGCGTGCCGAAAAAACTGGATAAAGTGGACGAGCACAAGTCGATCGCTGACAAGAACAAAAACAACGTGTTGTCGAAACTGTTCACGCCGAAACGTGATACCGAAGGAGGTGGAAAAGGTGGCGGCAAGGGTGGTAAAGGTGGAAAAGGTAAGTGAAGACAATATACTGGCCTGGTTAGGCCATGTATATTGTCTGTATGTATATATACGCCATGTATGTTAATAGATATGCAGGGTGAGTTTTTTACGATGTTCTCTTTGGGTATCTCGGAAACTACTGAAGATAGAGAGTCGGTTAAATGGGGTAAGAATTGCAGTTTTGTGGTGTCATAAATATGCGCCTTTTAGATTTTTGAAAAAGTTCATGGCTTACTAGATATTTCGAAAAAAAAACAATTTTTTGCTATTTCAAAAATGGCCTCTAATTCCATTACAATACATTTTAGACAAAAAGTTTTCAGATAAAAGTTGTAGATAATCACATCCTTAATGAGATTGTGTTCTTCGCTTTTTTCTAAAGCCTGTCATTTTTGACATAAGACACAAATTTATGTTTTTTTAAATGGAAACCATAGTTAGCCATGATTTCATAAAAAGCGCCATTTTTTAAGCTTTTTAGCGATATAAGCTATAATATGGTTTTTTTTTTTCAAAAATTACTTAGTTATAGCCAATTCTTATCATTTTTAAACAATTTCACTTAGTTAGCCATGGAAACAATTTCAATTGTCGTTGCTCTCAGAAATATCAAACTGACACATCCAAACTTTGTAAATTAAAATAACCAAAAATTGTAAATATGAATTTTTCAAATGAAGTAAAGCGTGTAGGATTATTGGTTCAACTTTTTTTGGCCATACATTTTCGAGGATACGTTACATACGCTGTTTAGAGAACGGTTTTCAAGACATGTTAGAAAAGTAAAATTTAGAGACTCGCGCATCAATGGAGTGGTTCCAACATGACTTTCATTATGACACTTCGCCTCCCTCCATAATGAGAGAAATGTTAAAAATTATTTATATCATAATTATTCAAACTCAGTGATAGGAAGAGGTGGACTAATTGCATGGGCCTTCTCGATCAACTGATCTATCCATTTTAGATTTTATGTAGTATATTTTTTGAACATTTTCTAAAATAACTTTAAGTGTATGTCGTGATATTATTGTTTTAAGTTTTAGTTTGTGTAATGTAAATTGTAAAGAACCGTTTAATCAAATATTCTGTCTTTTTATAAGTTATAAAGTATAATAATTAAATAAAAATAAATAACAGTATAAGAATACTATACCAACTAAGTGAAATTAGTCAAGAAGGATAAGTATTGGCTATAACTCAGTATAAGTATTTAAGAGTAAGTATTTTTTCGAAAAAAAAAACATATTATAACTTATATCGATAAAAAGCTTAAAAAATGGCGCTTTTTATGAAGTCATGACCAACTATGGTTTCCATTTAAAAAAACATATGTTTGTGTCATATGTCAAACATGACAGGCTTTAGAAAAAATCGAAGAACACAAGCTTATTAGGAATGATTATCTACAACTTTTATCTCAAAACTTTTTGTCTAAAATAGATTAGAATGGAATTGAGGACAATTTTTAAAATAGTCAAAATTTGTTTTTTCGAAATATCTAGTAAGCCATGAACTTTTTCAAAAATCCGAAAGGCGCATATTTATTTTCCCACAAAACTGTAATTCTTTCCCAATTTAACCGACTCTCTATCTCCAGTAGTTTCCGAGATACCCATACCCATAGAGAACATAGTAGGAAACTCACCCTGTATGTTTACTTAATTAACTGGTTTCCCTTTACTCTGTCTATTATAAGACATAGATATCTGATTCAGGCAAGCCAGCAACGCTAAAAAATTCATCATGGCATGTTACATTCAAATAATCTAATTGGTGGGGTTTCTTACATCTGGTGTTAGCCATGCGTATAATACTCTCCTATTGGCCAGTACTACCCCAATTTTATGCCCTATTTGGAAATAGTAGAAATATTGACTAGTATTGAAATACCCAGTAGCGGCGTTATTGCATGCAATATTACTATATTTTTAGCAAATCCTAAACAAAATGTAAATATATTGAAGTAAAATAATATAAAGTTTATAACTTTTAATAAAGCACCTCACGTTCTGAATATAAATATTTTACCATTGCTCCATTGTTTCAGATTCGTTTGTAAGGCTGTAATTAATTGTATCAACCCACTTTTTGTCTCTTTGACCTTATAATTAAATTTTCCTATTTTGAGGGAAATAAGTTTTAATTTTAATCTTTAATATATAAAGAACATATTAATGAAATCTACACAATGAGGCGGCAAAATATGAACACAAATAATTATTTACAGAAACGTGACTAAATGTCAAAGTACAGATATAACTGCGTTCACAAAGCAAAAAGTTTTATATTAAAACTTCGTGGAAACTCTAACTCGGTCGATAAAACATTGAATAGTTAATTTCGAGCTTGCCTAGTTTTACAATTCGCTGAATTTATTTATTCCAGAAACAAATTTGCTTCTAGCTGAAACATCTTCGTTTTTTTACTTTGGTATTTATAATTCCGGGCGTTTATCAATCGATTTATGAATCAACTATAAAATGAACATAACATGTAAATTTTACATTGTAAGTTTGAACTGGTCTTATATTCATACAACTTTAATAATATGTTGATAATGACGTATTTAGTGTCTATATTTAATAATTCTATAGAAAATTATTCCAACTATGAGCATCAGTTTCATCTAAAAGATTTTTTTTTCCGGCAGAGTGAGGTCGCATTATTTTTTATTTTTTAGGAAATTTATTAAAGTGTGGATTTGATCACACATTTACATTATGCCTAAAGCCCCGTCTACTTATTATAACCTTTTATCTGTCAAAACAAGTCGTTAAAAACTTATTGTTTTATTTTTTTTGTTTTTGTTAGGAGTTAAAATGATACTTTTGTGGCGAGGCTGTATGTTTGACATTGCGGGCGAGGCACAAAAAAGACATTTTTACTCCGAATAGAACATGCCGTAGCAAATAATATAAAAATATTTAACACAAAACATCCCCTTTTAGAACTTCGTCTGTCATGTTAAGAAATGAAAGTAAATAGTAAGCGCCTCTCGTGTTTGTTCGCACTCAAAAATTTCAATTAATGCCTGTATATATTTTTAATATATTTTTTAAATTTACTTTTTTTAAATTGTAAAGTAATATATTACATTTAAATGGAATATATTACATAACAATTATGTCAATTACAGGATTACAAGTTTGTTTTCTAACATTTTTTAAATAAAACGAATTATAAAATTTCAATATATGTATATTTGTCGTAGGTATGAAAAAGTAAAATATAAAATGGGCAAACGCTTACTTACATTGCAATAAAACTTCCACTTTTAGTTTTGCAATCCAAACGCAATATTTCTATTTCACAAATAAAAATATCCGACAACACTAAAATCACTGAAACTTCCGCGGCTGACAACAAAAACTGAAAAATATAACGGCACTTTTTGTTTTGGACCTGTATATCAACATTACGCTGTACTATTATGTGTTTGTTGTTGAAATAATATAAAATATCTAATTATAACTTGTAAATTTCAATATTTTAACATGATTTTATGATGACCATTTGATGACCGGTGGCGCCTCTAGTGTTTGTTCGGGCAGTTGGTCTTTTACTCCCGCTTATGGCCATTAAAGAAAAAGTTCTAAAGGGGAATGTTTTGTGATATTTAAATGTAATACCTCGTAAGTAATTATATGTTGAGAAACTATGGTTATGACTGGTTATGGTTGTTTATTTGACACTTTATGCCAGTTTAATAATATATTTTCGTACTTTTATGCTTAGGCACAAGTGCTTTATTTTTATGCCTCAGCCAAAATTACTTTCTATATTGTCAATCGCGTCGTAAAAATTAATACTTTTGTAACGTTTCAAAAAAATGCACTTTTTTAAAGGTTTTTGCTTGTTCTAAAATGGAATTAACCGTTTATACTCTTCCAAATTTCCATTCCGTCTTGAGAAAAATTTAAAAAAATATATAAAAATATACTTGATGTTTTTCTTAAACTTCATCCAGATCCTCGCAATTAGTGGAATAAATTTTTCAATTACACTTTATACTCTTTAGTTTACGAACATTCACAATGTTTAAAAAACACAATTAAAATTAATAGAATATCCTAGCAACAGCTTGCGTTAGTCAGTTGTATAGTCTATAAAATGAATAACTTTGAATTTTGACCGTTATTTTTTACCAACATGGCAAATATAAAATCCCTCTATCCAAAAAATTACTGATATTCCTTAAAATGAGTGCCTGAACGAATCAGATAGGTAACTCTTTTTACTTTCGTGAAATAGAAAAGGAAAATAATAAAACAAGTGACAGTTCTTCCTCTTCTTACAAAAATCAACACGAAATGTCATAATTGACAAAAGTAAAATGTCATCAGCTTTTGACATTTCTAAATATTAGACCAATGCCGTCTCTAATAGAACAGCTACAGGCGAGATTTATGACGTCACGCTAGTTAGATACTACGGATTAATATATATGTTGTAGAATACATGGAAAACATAATTATTCCTCGTATTTTTGGTTTGTATTTTAAAAATGATATAGTTTACATGAAATATACATAATATACAGTTAATAAATAAAATATAATATATACCTATTTATAGTAATAAATACTTTGGCAAATAAAACTATGAACCATACAAATGCAGCAAATGTTTTACAATATACAAATAATGAATAGGTGGTACATAAGATAATGGGTAAAATGTAAAATATATATATTTTAAATTTTGGGGTTTGAAAATCGATCTAATTTAACAAAAACATTCAATATCTACTAATAGTGATGTATTATTATTGGCATTCACAAAATTTATTTATATATTATAATGTTTACTGCAATTAATAAACTAATATAAACTTGTCAAAAGATGACCATATATTTTTAAATTATTATTCATAACACAAAACTATCTACATTGACTATGGAGTACGATTTCAGCCATATTGTAAAACATTTGCTGCATTTGTATGGTTCATAGTTTATCTGCCAAAGTATTTATTACTATAAATAGATATATATATATATATATATATATATATATATATATATATATATATATATATATATATATATATATATATATATATATATTCAAACAGGTGTCTTGGGGATGCAGTCTAATAAGAAGTTTAGTTCAGGGAAAAACCCTTTATTGTTTAGTTCAGCTTTCGAGAATTCAGTTTGTTCTTTCTTCAGGACTCTTCTACAATTATAGTAATTAAATACAATTTCTATTCTTGTAAAAATGCAACTCACCAAAGTGGGATTATAGTAAAGTTTACAACATTGCTCAACAATCAAAGAATCCTCATTTCTCAAATGCAGTAGTAAAAATCAACTTTTAAAATACATCGTGAAAACTAACTACAAAACTTTATAAAAACAATACAACGTGTATGTGAGCAAAGTCAAGCACGAAAATTGCATGTCAAAATCTTAAAATAAAATAGCAATTAACTTTGTTTCATGAACGATATAATTATTTTATTAAATACTCAAAGACAAAGAAACGAATTAATTTTCAGATTTTCTTTACAGTAAGCTTTGTTAGCAATATCGATCGTTCACTAACTTAGTCACCATAGTTTCAAAAGATAAAATATCTTCCTCGATAAAGTAAAAGGACAAACTTATGCATATAATAAAAAGAGTGAAAGAGAAACAACTACATAGAAGTGTCAAAATATTTCTATGTAGTTGTTTCTCTTTCACTCTTTTTATTATATGCATAAGTTTGTCCTTTTTTACTTATCAGGAGTAAGATATTTTATCTTTTTTGAAACTATGGTGTTCGTTAGTGAACGATCGGCGGTGCTAACAAAAACGCACTTTACTGTAAAGAAAATCTTGAAAATTAATTCGTTTCTTTTGTCTTTTGAGTATTTACAATAAAATAATTATATCGTTCATGAAGCAAAGTTAATTGCTATTTTATTTTAAGATTTTTGACATGCAATTTTCGTGCTTTGACTTTGTACTCACATACACGTTGTATTGTTTTTTTATAAAGTTTTTGTAGTTAGTTTTCACGTGTATTTTAAAAGTTGATTTTTACTACTGCATTTGAGAAATGAGGATTCTTTTGATTGTTGAGCAATGTTGTAAACTTTACCATAATCCCACTTTGGTGAGTTGCATTTTAATAGTTTTTTACAGAATAGAAATTGTATTTAATTACTATAATTGTAGAAGAGTCCTGAAGAAGAGAACAACTGAATTCTCGAAAGCTTGACTAAACAATAAAGGGTTTTTCCTTGAACTAACGGCCTTCTTATTAGACTGCATCCCCAAGACACCTGTTTGAATATTTTTCTCAACTAGTCAGTCGCGTAGACTCCCATCTCTTTATATATATATATATATATATATATATATATATATATATATATATATATATATATATATATATTGTATTTATTAACTGTATATTATGTATATTTCATGTAAACTATATCATTTTTAAAATACAAACCACAAATACGAGGAATAATTATGTTTTCCATGTACTCTACAACATATTTATTAATCCGTAATATCTAACTAGCGTGACGTCATAAATCTCGTTCCGTGGCTGTTCTATTAGAGACGGCATTGCGTCAGCATGGCCGCAAGTTGCTAACCTAATAAAATTAACACTAGAAAAGCCCGCGGGAACTGTCAAATTCAAAGTTATTCGTTTTACAGACTATAGAAAGAGTCCATAGAGAAAGCCTAATATTTAACTTATAAAATAATCAACTTTTGATTTCTAACAACAATTTTTCTTGATGGAAGATGATCAAAGGCCAAAATGACATTTCTCGCATATATTGAAGTATGATTAGTGGAAACGTTAAAAACTTTTATACCTTGTTCTACTAATTGAAAATGTCTACCACTAATTTTGACGTTCTGAATGCTTACATTGAAATTAAAGGAACAAACTTCTACGCTAATTGAAAGCACTAATTTATTCCACTAATTGCGAGGTTCTGAATGAAATTCTTAACTTTTACTAATTATTATATTTAAAAATTCGCTCGAAATGTAATTTTGGCCTTTGATTGTCATTCTTCAAGAGAAATTGAGGTTAGAAATCAAAAGTTTATTGTTTTATAAGCTAAATATTAGGCTTTCTCTATGAATACAACTGACTACTGCAAGCTGTTGCTAGGATATTCTATTATTTTAATTATGGTTTTTAGACATTGTGAATGATCATAAACTAAATAGTATAAAGAGTAATTGAAACCACTAATATATTCCACTAATTGTGAGGTTCTGAACATAGATAAAGGAAATAAATTTAGATTGGAATGCCCAACAAAATTTTGGATCGCAAAATTGTTTTGAGTCGCCATCGTTGTACGCGATCTGGCGCTGCTATGAACTAGTTGCTAAGAACAACCGCAAACAAAAACAGAAACAATTTTCTCTTGTCAAAGTCAAAATCTTCAAAAATTATAAAATCTTTCAAAATCTAAACCGCTCTCATTGAAAAAACTCTGAAAAGTGTTTAAAGCGTCCATTTTCAAAGTAATTATTGATATCTTGTGAGTTTAATTTAAATTTTATTTATTGAAACCCGTGACAATTTTGAAAAAATGGCATTAAAAACTTTAAAAGTTGTGCTGTGAACTGTGAACTGCAAAAAACATCGTGGATCGTGGCATAACGTCGGTTTCCAATGTTTCGTAGGTATTTCATACATGTCCTTATATAAAATAAAGTTTCTTGTATGCAACACACTGTATTTTCAATAAATAAAATTAAAAGAAAATAATAAATTTGAATGAAAATATTTGGCGATATAATTTCGGAAAAAGCCGAACCGGTCCGAAATTTTCAAAAGTTTTGGGTCGCGACCGTTGCAAGAATAGCGCCAAATAGTGTTTACATTGTCCTTATGGGCACTTTCCAATCTAAACTTGTTTCATTTATCTATGGTTCTGAATAAAGCATTAGTCTCAAAAATCTAAACGCGTTTCTATTCTAATATCGTATCGTTTTCATTCATTGATAGATGGTTAGCATTAATTCTGATTAACATCATATTTTTTGCTGAAATCGGCTAGTGAACGACAATCGATGCATCTATCAGCAAAATTTTGGTGAGGTCAATCTCTAGACGTCATTTACAAAAAATTGGCTTAAAACTTATCAAAAATTAACACTAACTATAGGAATATAGACTAGAACGTGTCTAAACACACAGATCTATCTCAAATATGTTTTTTTCGAGTTTAAAGCAACACCATTTAAAAATCATTTTTACTCAATAAAAAAATAAATTGCAAAATTCTTAAGGCCAACTGGCAGTAAGTGCCATTAAAAATAAAGAAGAGTAAGGGCCCAGTAAATGACGTCTGGAGCTTTACCTCGCCAAAATTATCATCGATTGTCATTCCTCAGCTGTTTTTTTTTGATCATATGGTTTTAAAGAAGCACAAAGTTATTTGGTTCACGGAAAAGGTGATTATAAATTTTGTGTTTTTTTAATAAAATAAGAAAAAATGGCAATACGTTAATTAGAATTAATTTATTAATTTCGATTTTTGAGAGTAAAAAAAAAATTGTAGTAATAACTATATTTTCATATTTTTGTATTTTTCTCTAAAACTGTATGGAAATTTGAAAAAGTATAAGCGGGATTAACCATTTTAGAACAAGCAAAAACTATTATAAAGAATGCATTTTTCTCAAAAAGATAATAATAAAAAAGTTTTTCCTCTTGTAAATACAATCCGGGGACAATAATTGTTAGTATCTTTAAAATTCTGATTTATGTTTGGGTATTTCAAATTTATTAATAATTATTAATATTTAATTCAATAATAATTATTATTTTATTCTAATGTTATACTTTATTTATATTAGGAAAAGGTGGGGTAAACGTCATAATTGTTGATGGCAACGATGAGAGGACCAGCTCGTCGGTGGAAGACGAGGCGATGCCTACCATATCGAATACCAATTTGTTATCGCCCATTCCTACCAACGACAACAAAATATCTAGCGTACAGGTATGTAGAAATGATACAGGGTGCAATACATATAACAAAAGTGATATAAACGTCCAATACTCCACAAATTTTCAAATCTTTACTACAATCTTTCTTACAAAGTATGTTTTCTTTAAAACAAATACACATACTAGTCAATCAAAATAAAAGTCATCAAAATAAAATGTTTGGTAAAAACTATTCAGCGAGCTATTCAGATATACAAGGTGGTCCGAACTGTACTGCGGAAAGTTAGATAAAAATAAATAAAAAAGTTCCTATAAATGTATGTCCTAAAATCTAAAATGAAAATTTTAGATTAAAAATTTTAGATTATAAATTTTTTTTTTCAATTTTTCGGAGATGCAGGGTGTAAAAGTTCCATTTTTATTTCAATTTTTTCCAAATAATTTTAGAAGTAACGTCAATATTTAGATGAAAATTGATGTGTATGTGAATTTTTTGACATGAGAAATTTGATTTTGATGTCAATATGACTCCTATTTGTAGGGGTAGCCCCCTATATGTGTTTTAACTGTTTTGAATAGTAATAACTTTTCGTCTGTACCTGTATAAAACTACTGGGTGAAAAAATATACATTTTCGTGATTTTTTACGTAAAAAATCGTTCTCAAGATACTTAGAATCGATCAATACATGTCATTATTGACAAAAAATAAATATGTCGAGTAGCTAGTTATTTGACTGAAATTATAAATTTGGGTACTTTTTATTTTTTTTTTAAATTAATCATATATTTTTCTTCGAAAAAATGATTGTAAAACAGTTTCTGTTGAACTTTTGGCACAAAAACATTTCAAATTTAAATCAACCTAACCTAACCTAACTGTTTAGTCAACATGTTTAATTTATGTCAATGATGACACGTATTGATAATTTCGATTTCAAATATCTCGAGAACCATGTGTCTTAGTAATTTAATTCTAACCAGTTCTGTATTGATATTGAGCCTTTTGGAACAATGGGTCACTTTGTATTTAGCAAAGATTATTAATATTAAATATTTTCCTCCACAGCCTAAAGTAAAACTGTCGCCCAATTTCCAAAAGACTGAAGAAAGCCCGGTAAAGGCTAAGAAAGAGGCCGATACCAAACTCTTAGTTAAGATCGACTTAAGTCGGCTCAATATTGATGAGATTCCTATACTAAAACGGTATATCGAAACTAAAAAGCATTCGGTGCTAGACCAAAAGAGCACAAATGCAAGACGGAGCCTAGCGATGAGGAGAAGGCGCGCGAGAGCAGCGTTGAAAGTAGGAAAACGGTTGCCGTTCAGGCCTGTGCATCCGATGCAAAGTCGGCCGATTCTAAAAAGCGAAAAAAGAAAAGGAAGAACAGCGGCAGCTCAGTCTCGTCGGTGTCGGCGGTCAGCAATAATCCATCTTATGCCAGTAAAAAGAGAAAGATAAGGAACCTTACAAAGAGAAAAGTCGGCATAAATCAAAACGGTAAGTTTTTAAATCTGATTTTCAAAAAAATTTCTTGTAACAAAAATAGTTACGCACTTATTTTTGGCGCCCCACGTTGGACAGCAAAAATAAGTATTAAAAAGATATTATCTGAAAAAGATTTATATTTATATGTAACTTATGACCATTATATTATCACACGTATACACAATACACATAATACCGTATGATCGAAAAAAACGGCGTCCAGTTGGCTTGAAAATCAGCATCGATGACATTCCTCATATAATTTTACATAAAAAATGGCAACGATCTTCGTTTTATAGGAATAGAAATATTGACGCCGTTTTTTTTCGATCATATTGTACTAATGCAATAAACATTTCAATGCATAGGGAACATGTGAAAAAAATTAAATAAGAAAAAGATAACCCCCATCGTAACTCTATGTTATATGGATTCATGTATCAGCACTAAAGTATGTCCTAATCCCATTTTAAATAACTTTTAAGAATCCACATACTAAAATAGACGGGTTCAGGTTTTTCTTATTAGTGATTCTGAACATTCTCTCTATATGACAGTTTTATTTATTAAAATATTTCTAACTTTTTATTTTAATATCTAGGAAAAAAGACGATGCGAGCCTCACCAAACAGCAGCAGCTTCAAGGTCAAAGTGAAAACCTCAACTCTATCAACACACCACCGACCAATCACGAAAGGGATTGCATACCTCCAGCAGCTGATACTTCAGCCTCTCCTTCCACTAGCAATGCCTCTCTTATGCGCACTTACTACTCTTACTTTGAAAGTTTTGAGGATAATCTCGAGAATGAGCTAAGGTAGGAATTTTTAAATTTTGTATAATAACTAGGGCGACAACTTCAACCCTCTATAGAAAGTATAAGAGTTTTTAAAAAAACGCCTTTGAATATTATAACATAAACATTTTCTTTTTTTTTGTAGGGATCAAAATCAGTACCTGAGCGAAGCCAAACGCCTGAAACACATGGCCGACAAGGAATCGGACGCCATCAATCAGTGCATGCTGTACTTAGAAGCTGTGTTGTATTTTCTTCTTACGGGAAATGCTATGGAACAAGAAGTGGTAACAGAAAAAGCGGCCTTTACTATGTACAAAGACACACTGTCGGTCATTAAATATATTTCCGCTAAGTTTAAGAGTTTGCCGTCTCTGATGAGTGTGCACAGTAAATTAGCCATTTTGAGGTAAGATTTCTAATTTTAGGACAAAAAGAAAAATATTAATTTTCCTTTATTATATTACAGTTATCGATGCCAAGCCTTATTATTTTATAAACTGTGTAAGATGAGAAAGCAGGAATGCAAGGAAATACATAAAATTATTAGTGAATACTGTAGTAAGGTAAGTACAAAAATAGACAGTTCAGCGATCGTTCAACGTTACGTCATCATGGTTTTTTAAATATGCGTATTAGGGTGTGTCTGAGATCAGTTCATATTGTTGAAATTTTAAGTACGTTCCTAAATTATTAATTGAGCGAGTTCAATTTTAAGTAGGAATGTTATTCATCTTAATTTTATTTTAATTCAAAATTTTAAGCACATATGCCAGTTCTTTCTAGCTAAATTGTACCTACTTTAAAAATAAACTTATGAAAAAAATTAGGGATATTCTGTTTAGTATGCTCTTTCAGTCTTTGATACTTTCACGTTTAAGATGACCAAAACAATACATGCATACACCATAGGCGTAGTCAAAACATTTATCAAAAATATAAATATCTCTTCAAGCAGCGAAGTTAAGAAAAATATGTGGCAAGACATTGTTTGGAGGTGTGGTAACAATTTGGTCTCGAGTGTTATTGGTCCTTGTATTCTTTAGTCATTGACAGAAACAATGTGCAGTAACCTAAGAAATACCGTAACGACATCACCAATCTTGTTCATCTATTTGTCAAGTGAAAGACAGAGTTCGCCAGTAGATAATGTGACGTTGAACAATCGTTGAACTAAGATTACATACTAATTGTAAATTATAAAGCGGCAATAGCGTTTTTGAGTGTTATGAGTCTAAAACTGTTTAATAATTTATTAAGGATTTAATATTTTTATTAAATTTGCATTCAAAAAATACCCCAAAATTGAGATTTGTGCATGTAACTCATTACGGATTAAAACGTGTTCTTTATGTTTAACTGACGCAATCCCTTAATGCGGATTTTCACGCACCCGATATCCGACGATACAATATTAATTTTATTGGTTGAATTGAAAGGTTTCAATTGGTTAGATTTTTTTTCAAAAAATACCAAATTTTCCAAATTTTTTTTCGCGAAAAAAACATCAGACGTTTTTCTGGGGTCGAAATATATTACCCCTAAAAATATTTGCACTTATTTAATACTCACCCATGTTAATCACTTACTAGTGAAAAGTTATTCCATTATTTCCGTCGATTTTTGACCGAGATCTACTGCACGCTATACAACCACAGATTAGCTATCCTATAATTATACAGAAAAAAAAACTTGTCCCTAATTCGTGGTACGAAAACTGTTTTTTATGACGATGTGCAAACGAGTAAAATTTCCTGTGCGCAAAAATAAACTCGCATAAAATAACAATAAACAGCGTAATAGAGAGATATCGCTAAACCGAATAGCGTGCATGGACGTTAATAAGGCCGGGTGTTATTTCCTTTACGTGAGGTGGTATTAACTCTCTTCATTTATAGTTATCGGATCGGAAAGAATTCTGTTCGCGTCGCGTCCGCTATTTAAACTTAACCTAACTTTGAATTTAAAACTTTGAAATTGTTTTGTTTACTAGGTATTTTAAAACTAAAGGGCTAAAGTGCTTATTTCCAGTGCTTTATTGTTCAACGTCTGCCAGTAGGTTTAGGGCAACAAGCAACAAATTCTCTTAGAAGGGCTAAGTCGTCATCTGCTGTAAACCTAAGCCTCTTTATAGGTTCTTTAATATGAAGAAGGAAGAGGTGGAATCCATATTTTGGGCCATATTTATTAAATTAAAACTAATCCCAGCTACTTAAATATCAAATTACCTAATAAAAAAAAACTAAAGTAATAATTAAAAACAATTCAAACATAACTTAAATAAAAGATCTCGCCGGCCGGCTCCGGTTGTCAAATACCCGCACATGCCCATTTAAGCAGTTTTTAAACGTTATTTAGAAATAGCGCTTGGTGTAATTGATCCGCAAATTACGTCAGGCGGTAACGTTATTAGCGGGTGCTGCGTTAAAAATTGACTCGCGCATATCGTAACCATGATAAGGTACGCGTAAATACTGCCTGACGCTATTCGGTTTTCGGATATCTCTCTAATAACTGTGCCGGTCAGGCGCTGTGCACAATTTTAGAGGCCATAAGTGGACGTGCTATGTGCGCAAACTTGGGGTGCGAAAATTGGGACCACGAAAAACAATAAAGAAAAAACAAAGTTCATAATATGTGATACAACAGTCTTTTTTGATAAATCGCAATAGTGTCACTGTTAATTTAAGTTCTGGCATAAAAAAAATTCCTCTAGATTTACTACCTTTAAACAACTACCAGTTGTAGAATAAATAACATAAAATAAGCTCAGTCAAGACAGACAAAATCCACAAAATTTAAAATCAAATTCAAATGTATCAAATCAATCGTCAAACAGAACTGTCAAGGATCCTTACCCTAGGTTCCCACCTCCGTCTACCATGCATGAATACAGGGATAGCAGTTTACTTCTTCCTTAATCTTTTTATTTAAAGGTTGACGGACAGCGGTTGAAAAGTGGCGCGAAAACACTATGACCACTCAGTGCATTGATGATCGTATCAAAGGATGACGGATGCATGAAAATCCACTTTTATATGGAGTCATCACTATTATTTTTTGTTTTTCTTTACAGAATGCTGCAATACCGACTGACCAACCGTGTCCCGGTCAGGGCACACCCTCGCCGCTCTCGCCAACGCCATCGCCAGCCGGTTCCGTCGGTTCGGTGGGTAGCCAATCTTCCGGCTATTCCAGTGGCGAGTTGGCCACCAAGGGTGGAGTTCCTCCTCAGCAAACCGGCGCCTCTCCCGCTGGCGGGACATGGATACCCATGGCCGTGTACAGCGCCATGGTCAAGCAAAACGTTCAGTTCTCCTTTATGCTGAGTTTCCAAGAGTTGTGGGACATAGCCGATAACATGATAGTTAAAGGAAAACACACGGAGTTCTTTATCATGCTGGACAGACACTGTAAACCGCTGACGATGCATAGTTCCTTGATAGAGCTGGTTCGGTATGTTCGGGAGGGAATCAGGAGGCTGAAAAAGGAAGCCAACGAGCAAGTGCCCTCTTCTAGTAGTTACAAATAAATTGATTCTCTGGACATATATATATGCCAAAGACTTGTATTCAGTCAATTTTGTAGTCAATGAAATAGGAAGGGAACTTGACTAGAAGCGGATTCCAGTCGGCGGTGATGCACATTGCACGTGCATCTTTCTTACTTCGTTTTTCCTACTATAGTTAATAGTTTTGTATGACCGATTTAGGTGCGACCAGTTAAAAAATTTATATAGGATTTATAAATAAAAGTTTTAGGGCAATTTTGTGACTGTAGAATTAAATTTCTAAGTGAAGAAATCTATCTTGACGTGACTATATACGTTTAATTATTTTTTGTACATAATATATTAGGAAGATACAACACTTTACTAAGAGTAATAATTCCAACGTTCTATTTTAATTGCTGGTCTACTCTGCTATTTAACATATAAGTAATTCAAGTTAAAAGCGGTATTTAAACACTAGATATGTTTCACAGTAATATAATTTTTTAATTTGCCCTGACAAAAGTTGACGCAATAAATCTGAAGTTCTAAAGTAATTATCAGTAATTTCTGACATATCTAAACATTCTCAACACAGGGAGCTCACGTTTGTTTGAATCACTAGCTATCTCTTTAAATATTGACTTTAGAAACAAGTTTTTAATGGGCGTCTAACGAAAACTAAAGTATTATCGGAATATGTAGTTACATTAAAAGGTAATATTCGAAAGGTGCATGGGAAAACAGGATAAAAGCGCCATTTTACTAATTTTACAGGAAATCCCTGACAGCTGGTGGTTGGCATTAGGTTCTTTCCCTGTATATATATTTTTACTAGGCATATATCATAGGATTTAACAGGTTATTGCCCTGCAAAGTGTATACATTTTGTAGGGACCAGTTAAACCTACTATAATATTGTGAAATCCCAAAATCCTTGAAACTTTCACACTTTAAACTTTTTTCTAAAAGCAATATTTATAAAGATATGTATGGGCTAAAATGTGAAAGTACTATTATTTATTTGATTGCATATTTGTAAAATATAGCAATATTTTCATAGGTCAATGTAGCATATTAAACTTTTGTACCAAAAGAAAAAGAAACTTAAAACTGCAGTGAAACTGCAACTTATACATAATTTTAAAAATATTTAAAGTAATTTGGAGTACTTATATATGCCCTATCTACTTACGATTTTTTCTGCTAAACTGATAGTGTTTAAATAATATTTAAAATGAAAAATTACATATGTCATAATGGTACGAGAAAACCTATATACCTAGGAATAAGACATAGAGAAAATAATGTATATTTTTTGTATATAACAGCATTGAAAAGGTTTATATATACATTTATAAATAAATATATATTTACTATTTGTACAACGCTGAACATTAGGCCTATAGAAGAGAATCAAATTAAAACATCTCACACTTAGGTTGTGCAGATGATTAAAATATTAATGATAAAAGAATAGGGTATTTGTTATTTTTGCATAATGTTTTATATATATTTAGGAAAGTAAGTGTGAATATGTATTATTTTGTGTATATCTTGTACATTTTTATTATTTTTAAATTATTTAATGTCTATTTTAGTTATATTCTTGTTTTAATTTAGACGCTATGGTAGATCATTTCGTTCTTTGGTTAAATGCCAAATGGTTTCACACCCATTTCCATTTCTTCACCATACGATATTTTCTAACATTATTTATTAAATTTCTTTTTAATTGAATATAAATTTATTAGTTAAAAATTATATTAAATATATACACAAAGAAAAATAAATCAATTTATAGTACAGGGAAGCGCTGAAGTGTGTGTGAAGCTCAGTTATTTATTTTTGTTTCCTTTGGCTAAATATCTTAGTATTGTTATAAAAAGTAATATATTTCGCTATTTTAAGAGTCTGAAAAGGAGTTTTTGCCTGATTTCTTTAAAAGATATATGCGGGGAACTATAACCAATCAAGAAAATAATGTATTTTTTTACCTATTACAGCAATATCCTTAAAAGCAATTCCCTGCATATATGATAAATAAATTGTGCCTCTTAAAAAATACTTTTTAATTTATTTTTGCGATATTGCATAATTCATTTATTTTTACAGACACATGTATATTTTTTTTAATGATGATCTCAAGTATAAAATCACGTTTCTCATCACGTATATAGCGAAATGTTTACCTTAAAGATAGAGGGTATACTTTATTTTACTAAGAATATGGGTTACATTTTTTGTTACTTGAATAAAATTATTTTACATTAATAGTATTTAGTTTTGTATCTAAACCATTTTTAATATTATTAATTTAATCCCCTCAGTCAGGGCATCAAAGGAACAGACGCAAGGGGCTTATGGAACAGACGCTTTAAAGGTTGTACAGTGTGTTCTAAAATGCTCGAGAATAAACGGATAACATACGAGCATATGTCGAGAATTTCTAATTGGCACAAAGAAAATAGGTTGGAAAATCAGTCTACTTTTCAAATTTGATTTTAAATTTTCACGTTTTTTTCTTATTCTCAAAAAAATTAAAATTTTGAAAATATTTAGAATAAAAAAAATTGTGTGTGCCCATGTTTGAAGTGAAACTTCTTGCTAACGGCTATTAAATTGAAGGATTTGAAGGACATGTTTGAAAAAGTGTCCTTTGAAATGTTGAAAAAGTCATAAATTAAAAATTTTGTGTGCACTATGTGAGTATATTTGAAGTGAAACTTCTTCCGTCTGTCTGTCCGTCTGAGAACTCCATTCAGGTACCTCTATCCACGTGCCGAGTTGGTTCCAATCCAATCCCGTTCCAATCGACCCATAATTAAGAAGAATCCCGATGATTTCGTCCATTTAGAGATGATTTAGAGGCATCGGTCCGAAACGTCGAGGGCGTCATCCTGTAGCCCATCCCCAATTATGCCGAAATTGAGACGCATTTTTCTTCAATATCAAATCGTTAGTACCAGTCTGATAAAAATGTAATCAAAATGTCGTATCCAACTTTGCAGGGATGGACAGTGTGCACCGGTGAGCGACGGTACACACTAGGGGATTCAATCCCGGGATTCCGGGATCCCGACGTTTTTTATCGGATTTTTTCAATCCCGGGATCCCGGGAAAATAATAACAAATCCCGGGATTTTATATAATATAGTAAAACGCTATTTTTAAGGTTGTATATGCAAAAACTCTCTTTTAATTGAATTCCTTATAGCGCCGCCGACAAGCGATACGTCGGTGATTCCCGGAATAATAAAAAAACTTTTGAAACAAGAAGTACCAAACCTTTTAAAACGACTAGATATAACAAGTAAAATCATATTAGATTGTTCAGATAGTTCGGAATCGGATGAAGATTTGCCAATTGCCACTATTCAGAACAGGTACCAGGCCTTAAATGATGACGTGTCATTTTCGGAGAGGCTAGATGAAGCGTTAACCAAAAAAATGTCAAATCGAATGACAGTGCCACCAGTAACAAAAACTGAAAACTTGGAAGCTCAAATAAAAAATGAAATGGATACGTTCCAGAAGAGTGGACAACATGGAATAAACTTACAACTAGCTTTTGATTTTTTAAGTACAATACCGCCTACAAGTGTAGAACGGAAAGGTGTTTTTCGTCAGCAGGCTTGATAGTTACAAAATTTCGTTCTGCTATGGGAGATGACACAATAGACAATATTATATTTTTGCGCTATTTTTTTAAAAATATGGAATAATATCAGTCCAGTTCCTTTTTTGTTTTGTTTGAGATTTGTAATTTTTGTTTAATGTTGTTTAAGAAGAATATTTACCTATTTTTGTGTTCCAAAGACTTTGTTTTTGTTTTAATTAATTAACGTTAATTTTAATAAAATGTTCTTTTTGAAAATAACATTGGTAACATTATTACTGAAATCCCGGGATCCCGAGATTCGGGGTTAAGAATCCCGGGATCCCGACAACTAAAATTGTCCGGGATTGAATCCCCTAGTACACACGGATTGCCTTTCCTCCAAATTTGGTCGCGATCGGACGACGTCAATTTTGACGTTTCTTAACTATCACAGTGACACGTGTCAAGTCGGTCTTGGTCCAATCTATCGACATACCAAATTCCATTCTTCTTCGAGCCCCATCTACTTTCCGAGAAATCCCCTGACCAAAGAATATTTTCATGCGCATATTTGAGACAACCTGTATATCTAAAAAACTATTTCTAAGATTTGCCCATATGCTAAAAAATAATAACATTTAATTAATTACATAATATCTCAGCTTCTAAAATAAACAAATATAATTAAATGTTTATTGATAATTACTATCAGCTTGCCGATTTACATCCGATGGAAATCTAAAAAAGCTCAAAGAACAATTTTTTGAATTATTACTACAATTAATAGCAGCACACAGTAAGGCACTCATTTTTTGTCAATCCGTCTCTGTGCTGGGACGCAACGCTCGAACCTCGCAGCTCGACGGACGGAATTCAACTGAAACGCTTTGCAAGCTGCCGATATTCAACAGCTTGCAAAAACTGGTAGAAAATATTTGCGAGTGCAACTACTCTTTTCCTTAAACTATGACCCTATCCAACTAGAAAAAGGATGATTTCGACAAATGACATATAAAAATTGACAGAAATATCAATTTACTGTTGAAATAAAAAAACAACAATAATTGAAGGGTAAGGAGAAAAACGGACGTCACAAAACTAACTTTTACCAAACTTTTACAGATAAAACTGATTTAATGTTGCTAAAAATGCAATTACAATTTAGCAACTATTTGGGACTTGAAGTTCTCAACAAATTAAGTTTATTACTTAAAAATCCCCTATAAAGGTTGATTCTCACTATACCTTCCGTTTCCATTCTATATTCGTTCCGTATTTTTATTGTATTGACGCTATACGTAAGCTTCCGTTCCGTATCAGTTCCATACTTTTTATTGTACAATAAAATTAATTTTTAAAATATAGTTTTATTTTAAAAATTTGTATCTTTTGAAAAACGTAATAGATTTATTTAAGAGGCGAAAGAATAAGTAAATATCAGCAGAATTTTAACAGAGCTGGTACAAATGTAAGAAATTGACAAAGCTGTTTCCGATACACTTCAGCTGCCAAAAAAATGTATGGAACGGAAGGGAAACGGAACGGATAGTGTGCATTGTCCTATTCATTTACATGATATAATATTTTATGTAAACGGAAGAGAAACGGAAGAGAGCTGATATGGAAGGTATAGTGAGAATCAACCTTTAAGTAGACATCGTTGGTTTTTCCCCTTACCCTTCAATAGTCACTGTCATGAATTCTATCGCTGGACAAACTATACCAGAGACCTAGGCTTATCGGTCAAAATCGCCATAGAAAGTAAAAATTGCGACTCTTTTGAAGGTGTTACAAGAGCAAAATAAATCGCCACCATAGTCTACCACCAGAAGTTGAATGCCTTCATTCCTTTCTGAATAGTTATGATTCTCATCTGTCAGGTTTCACAAGTTTCTTGGCTTCACTTACAGTCAAAGGAGATTTATATTAGTGTTTCTACAATAACAAGATGGAATATGGATCAGCCCAGAAAAATCTTCACAGCAGCTTCAGACAAAATGAGGCAAAAACTGTTATCCCTAAAACAATTTTAGAAGCAAGTTTGCAATATACCGAATGTTGCTAATTAATGAATTTGTGTTTATCATTAACAATCTATAATAATATTGGTCCCGTATACCCTGCTGGCAAGCAAAACCTTGTGTTGGTATTTACATGTATATGAGTGAATCGCTATAGCAATTACAGAGAGAGCAAAAATACGAAGTATTTATTACATAACCACTTAACCTGACGCTAGATTCCATGCGCTTGGGAAATACTTGCCTTCTGTCTTTATTCAGTACATCTAATTTTGCTAAACGTGTTGACCGTACTCTTTGTACACACGAAAATCGTCACCCAAGGTCAGAAATGTCAGCCCTAGTATAGCGTTTAACGCCTTGGGAGTAGCAAGTTACAGCTAGCCATGCTAGAGCCGTTCGGTATACAATTAAGGTAATGTAGCTAGCACTACGCTTCAACCGCCTATTATTATCTCAGGATTATGAATCCCAAGTACTCATTTAAGGCTGTGACGACCTAGGTATCCAAACTATTTTTGTTTTATTAAAAATAGTCCGCTGCTGAAATGCCGGCTCTAGGATTCCAACCCACAACCTTTAGATTGGTAGACGAGAGCTATATATCTCTACGCCACCGGGCACCGGCACCGGTATTACTACAATTTGCAAAAACTCGGGCGACAAAGTTTAAAATTATTCTTAATCTAAGGTTTAAAACTATAAAGGGAGAGGGACAAGTTAGAAATAAAAGTAAATATCACAGGTACATCATAACTTAAAGTTAACTTTATTATCATAATTTAAAACATTTAATCCATAAAATCACTGGGTTTTTGTAAAATATCTGGAGCCATTTTATATTTGCATAAATTTATACTTCTTTGCAAATAATCATAACTAAGACCAGCATCGTTATAGTCCTGACTAGATTCTGCACTCTTGGAAATTTCAAATCTGGTCCATTTATAATTAATACATTTTCTTGTACCTAAAATATTAAGGTACATGAAATGGCGTTAGTAGGATTAGGACGTTTCGACGTATATTCTCGATATAACTACTACCAAGGTTATGTCAAGAAAAGCTACCTTTTTAAATCTATGAAAAATAGTACAGTGTGATCGAAAAGAAAAACGGCGTCAGCGATGGCTATTCGATGGCTTACTGTGTGGGAGCGGGAAAAAGCAATATTTCCAATGTTATCAATCTTGCGGTAATATTACGCAATATTAGCAAAGTTACCGGTAATATTACCCTTTACATTATTAGGCACGTCACTGTTTCAATTCCGTGTTTAAAATAGATTGTATTTCTTTTTTCCATTTAATATATTTCTGGTGGTATTTTAAATAAAAAAAATTGTCAAAACCATCGTTAACATTTTTCGAAGAATCCAAATTATTTTAGGGAAAAAGGATCCAATTTATTGGAAGAAAAAAATACCTGTTAGATAAATCGGTCGAAATTCGGTTCATCGTTGAAACTTTTTACGAATTTCCGGTTAAATTAGCCATATTGTTTTAGGTTGAAAAATTATGAAACTCTAACATTAAATACATTACATACCTGGAGAACTTTGTAGTAAATGCAAAACTGTGGGATGTGTTAAACCAAAGAATTCATTTCCTCTTGGTCTGGTGCTTACAACATTGAGAGACAAAGAATCGTTGATTTTTTGTAAAAGCAGTGTATGACAAATATCAGGTGTGTCACCGACAATAGATGGACTTTCATCATCGCATGCTATTTCAAATCTAAAAACATACAAGTAATGACGTATGTCTCACAATACACTATCGTCATACTAGAGTAGCCGCATATGAAAATGTTCTGTATTCTCTATTATACAGGGTGGCGCACCTCATTCGCCTCGGTTAATTATACGAAAACGAAAAGATGTAGAAACAAAATATTTTATGGGTATATGTGAGGAGACAATGTGCACAATTTAAAATTATTTTGAAATATACAGGGTGTTTCAGAATTAAGATCCATACCAAAGTTATATTTTTTCTTATGGAACACCCGGTATTTTATTTCATTTTTGGATTCTTGCGCCCAAAAAAAGGCATTTATTATAAGGTTTAAATATGTTTAAAATCTATAGCTTTTGAGATATTTAAAGATATTTAAATTTGCATGCTACAATACAGAATAGATTGGTATTGCTTCCTTAAATTTATACAGGGCTATAAAAAGTTGCTGATCTATTTTAAGGATATATTTTATATAAAAACTTCATTATTTCGAGTTTCGCAGAGCTGGTAGTGTAGTTTATAAAAAACCTATTAGGCAGAAACCTGTCGTTGAAAGTGACAAAAAAAGGAATTTGCCGTAATTGGCTTTTTTATTGAAAATCCATATATCTACAAGTCATCGTAAAATAACTCACAATAAACATCCAAAATATCTCGGAGTTACTCTGGATAGGACGCTTACATTTAAAGAACACTTGACAAGAATGACGGCAAAGTTGAGAACACGTAACAACATACTTCAAAAATTATGTGGCACAACTTGGGGCTCATCAGCATCCACCCTGAGATCCTCTGCGCTGGGTTTGGTGTATCCTGTAGCAGAATACTGTGCTCCAGTGTGGCTTAATAGCAAACACACCCGTATGGTTGATCTTCAATTAAACCAAACTATGCGCACTATATCAGGGACAATTCGACCAACACCTACAATATGGCTGCCCACTCTTAGCAACATAGCTCCTCCCAATTTGCGCCGAGAACATGCCTTGGTCAGAGAGTTTACTAAAATAATGAATAACCCTCAGCTGCAGGTCCATGATGACGTACCACACATCCAGGGAAATCGACTACGATCAAGACACCCTCCATTGAAGACTGCACATGAGCTGCACCAAAATAATTTTGATATAAATGAGCAATGGAGAGAGAAATGGGAAAATGAGGCAGCTTTAATGTACCATGGTCTACCGTACGTTATTAATGAACCTGCAGGATTCGACCTTCCCCGTCGAACAGGGACAACTCTTAACCGCATCAGAACTAACTGCGGAAGATGTGCCGACTCTCTAAATAGGTGGGGAAAAGTCCCTTCAGCCGCATGCGACTGTGGAGCTGACAGGCAGACTGTCAAACATATAGTGCAAGACTGCCCAATAAGAGCATATACGGGCAACTCAGAAGATTTCCTTATGGCTACTCAGGAGGCAATTGATTATATACAAAGACTGGATTACATATTTTTTTGTTGTTTATGCAGTTTTTTTATATACATTTTTTTTGTTGTTTATACCATTCTGTGTCCTATAACTTAAGATACTGTGATGTAAGCCATACGCTAAATAAAAAAATAAAATAAATCGTAAAATAAATCAAAGAACTACTTCTTCGTTTTTCTTGATAGAATAATAAATACATTAATATAATAACATTAAATAATAATAAATACGTTAATAAATATTATTTATTAAACTATTGTAGGTAAATTAAATAAAAGTAAACTGGTATAAATTTAAATAATTCCATAAACTAATTTCGATTTTGAAAATAGCTACTAACTGTCACTAGAAACTTGCCATCATGACACTAGCCCTCTTGGCTGCCATTGTATTGAAAAATTGCTCTTTATTCAAAATCTGAGCTCGATAAATATAGGAAAGCCTAATAGAGTTTGAAAGAGCATTTTAATTTCCTTGGATTTATTTTAAAAAATACAGGGTGTTGTATTTGAAATAACGAAGTTTTTATATAAAATAAATTCTTAAAATATATCAGCAATTTTTGATACCCCTGTATAAATTTAAGGAAGCAATAACATTTTTCTGTAGAGTTTATTTCTCTACCTTTAAACTCAGCACAAGAATTAATTCTGAAAAGTAATACACAGGGTGTTAATAATCTATTCTATTGTAGAATGCAAATTTAAATATCTTTAAATATCTCAAAAACCAAAGATTTTAAACATACTTAACCCTTATAATAAATGCCGTTTTTTGGGCCCAAGAATTATAAAATACCGGGTGTTCCATAAGAAAAAATATAACTTTGGTATGGATCTTAGTTCTGAAACACCTTGTATATTTCAAAATAATTTTAAATTGTGCATGTTGTCTCCCCACATATACCCATAAAATGTTTTGTTTCTACATCTTTCCGTTTTCGTATAATTAATCGAGGCGAACGAGGTGCGCCATCCTGTTTTACATATGGTGTTTTCAACGCTAAAATGCTAGACAGAGATCATATGCCGCGACCGCACATGCAAATGCCCCATGTGCGGTCGCGGCATTAGGTGGCTTTGATAAAAATTCACTGTTGGAAGAGCTATACGGAAGCCGCTATTGTATAATACCGCGAATATCTGCGAAACCGTTAAAAATTTAGGAACATTTTAAATACAAAAAATGTTCGATTTTTAATTCTGCAGCTACAATAAAAAAAAATATACAGGGTGTTGTTTAAAAAAAATGAGATATAGCATTTTAAATAATGCGATGTTGGCGACACCATTAAAATTACCCTGTATAAGATAATGTAAATTTTATTTCGCAGGTGTATTCTGTTATCCTTGGTGTTTAGGAAAATATATCTATATATAAACTAGTTGAAGTCTGGCGCATCCGCCACGACATCAAGAAAAGAAAATACTTTTTATTTTTTTTTTAATTAAATGAAAAACAAAAAATCCGGCGACGACAGTTTTTAGAAGAGCCAATTAGCTATCTTTTAGTAAAAAAAGCAACTTTCTAGAGCAAGTCGTTACTTCAGTAGAGACGACACAGATAAACATTAGCATTTTATATATGTAGATATTAATAAAATTAAATTCACTTCAGTTTTGTAAGTAAGGTTTTAGTAAATAAGAAATAGAATGGCAACACCGCATAATTCTTCAAATAAAGATAGTGTACTATATGCAGAATTTTATGCTGAACCAATTATCTACAGAAAAATGGGGGGTGCAATTTAAAAAAAAACTTAAAACTTTATCATATATTTTTTGTGACAAAATATTTTTAGGATATGGCCCTTTATAAACCATGCTACATCAATCTGTATACAACTTTATTTCATATCTTCGATAACGACGATAATATTGGACTTCCTTGCACGAATGCTACCCCGTATAAGTATACAGGTGGTATACCTATTGTTAGTATGTTGGTATACAGGTAGTACCTATGTTGGTATACAGGGTGTCCCAGGCTGAGCGAGCATTAGAAGTTTCTAGAGAACCACAATATCTAGATCGGAGATTTTTTACACCTCATTGTTTTACAATGAGATCTATCGATTAAAAATATTTTCAATATGGCGGCACTTCCGGAAATACTGGAAGTTGACAACAAGTTTCTTATTTTAAATGGGTGCCCCCATTTTTGATTACATACTTAAATTCTCTGTAAAAAATTATGAATTTTGATATTAGCACTCTATACCAAACATTAACCGTTTTTGAGAAAAAAATATTTAACATTTTTGGACGAAAAAAATACCTGTTAAAAATATGTGTATAGCCTAAGCGTCAAATTTAATGATTACCACAGCCACTGTGGAAATGTATATTTTTTCACTTTGTAGTTTTATACAGGTACGGACGAAAAGTTATTACCCTTCAAATCAGTTAAAACACATGTAAGTGGCGCCCCCTACAAATAGGAGTCATATTGACATCAAAATCACATTTCTCATGTCAAAAAACTCCCAGACACAAATTTTCATCGAAATATTGACGTTACTTCAGAAACGAAATGTTTAGTTTCGGAGATACAGGGTGTAGAAGTTTCATTTTCATTTCGAGATTTTTTCCAAATAATTTCTGAAGTAACGTCGATATTTGGATGAAAATTGGTGCCTAGGAGTTTTTGGACATGAAAAATTTGATTTTTATGTAAAAAAATATACATTTGCGACGTTTTTTACGTATAAAAGGTCTCTTGGTAAAAATCGCTACAAGCAATGGCTTTCGAGATATTTGGAACCAAAACACAAAACATCCCCCTTTAGAACTATTTCTTTAATGGACATAAGCGGGAGTAAAAGCCCAACCGCCCGAACAAACACTAGAGGCGCCACCGGTCATCAAATGGTGTAAAAATTGCGAAAATTTAATCATCTAATTTTGACACAAGGGCAGCAATTTTGACACATTGTTTTCAAACTATATTATTAGACTTTGTTGTATTTTGTGAATGTATAAATGTTTTCTTAGTATAAAGTTGCATTATAGTAATTCAAATTATATTACATACTATATTACATATTCAAATTATATTACATACATATTAAAGATTCAAATATCATGACATATATGTCAGTTGCCGTCTAAAATGTCATCTTGATAACAAAAAGTTAGTTATTGTCAAAAGTAGTTAAAATCATGTTAAAATATTAAAATTTACAAGTTATAATTAGATATTTTATATTATTTCAACAACAAACACATAATAGTACAGCGTAATGTTGATATGCAGGTCCAAGACAAAAAGTGCCGTTATATTTATCAGTTTTCGTTGTCAGCCGCGGAAGTTTCAGTGATTTTAGTGTTGTCGGATATTTTTATTTGTGAAATAGAAATATTGCGTTTGGATTACAAAACTAAAAGTGGAAGTTTTATTGCAATGTAAGTAAGCGTTTGTCCATTTTATATTTAACTTTTTTCATACCTACGACAAATATACATATATTGAAATTTTATAATTCGTTTTATTTAAAAAATGTTAGAAAATAAGCTTCTAATCCTGTAATTGACATAATTGTTATGTAATATATTCCATTTAAATGTAATATATTACTTTACAATTAAAAAAATGTAAATTTATAAAATATATTAAAAATATATACAGGCATTAATTGAAATTTTTTGAGTGCGAACAAACACGAGAGGCGCTTTATTGTTTACTTTCATTTTTTAACATGGCAGACAAAGTTCTAAAGGGGGATGTTTTGTGAACCAAAATTATCAATACCTGTCATCTGTCATCATTGACATAAATTAAACATGTGGATTAGATAGTTATTAGGCTGAAATCATAGATTTTAAATAATTTTGTCCTAAAAGTTCAACAGACCCTGTTTAATCATCATTTTTTCGAAGAAAAATTTCTGTTATTTTGTGTCAATAATAACATGTATTGACTATTTCTATTCTAATTACCTTGGTTGCTCTTTATTGCAACAATATTCAAATTTTTATTAGCAAACTTTAGATTCGAATTCAGCACATCAAAAAATATAATAAACAGAAGAAATTTGAACTACCCCAAAACTTTCCTCCAAAAGGCTGTTTTTAGTACAATATGACTAGATTAATAGCAAAATAGTAAGTTTACTGTAGAAAAAAATTGTAAAAAGCTATTTTTTCAGAATAATTTTTAAAAGATAGGTAAGTTTTCAGCTTAAATAGAACTTACATTGGTGTCTCACCATCATCTGAAATTTTGCAAGTGTATACACATTTCACAGTAGGATTTTTTAAGCTGCCATAAATTCTTGTGGACACATATCCAACTGGATAAATAGCATCTTCCGAGTGAAATTCTTGCCGATCAAAAACTACTTCTCCAAGAGAGTGAATTGTAAGTCTAAAAATATATGGAAATTACTGTGGTGTTTTGATATAATTTTTTGGATTGCTTTACCTTCCTAATTCAATTGGAAATATAGGTCTCCCATTATTATCCAAAGGAATAGGCTGAACAAATTTCTTCTTATTACTTTTAATACTGGGCCGTCTTGGTTTCAACGTGGATGGTCGTCTTTCTAAAGTTGAAGATTCCGATTTTTTCTTAGCTTTCTTTGTATCACTTACAATAGTTGACAGTGGTACACCCCCTCTAGCTGCGTTCTGTACTTGCACAGCAACTTGTGGCTCATATTCACAGAGCTTTCGAAGCAAAAATTTTCTTTCTTCTTTGCGCATTATTATTTTTGCTTGAACTTCTTCCAACTCATCAACTAAAGCCGCATTTTCCTACGATAAAAAACACAAGGCAAATTTGATTTTAAGTGTCAATGGTGTCTATAAAATTACGTGAACATATTCTACAATCATTCGCTTCAAAACGACGAGTTTTTGCTGATAACTTCCCGACCTGGAACGATTATTTTTGAAATGTTTTTGATGATCGAAATTCATCATTCAAATGACGTGATTTAATACGACAATGTAATATGATCAAGAACGGCTAAATTCTTACAAGGTAAACCCGGTAAACCGTGAGGTAAATAATAAATAAAGAAAGATACAAACACAGATATAAACAAACAAACAAACATAACCACAATCTGTCATCAGTCCTCCAACACCACCCCCTCCACTTAAAGCCATTCAACCTTTTCCAATATGGCGGAGATAGAAGTGCTTTATTTGGCGCGTATTTTAAACCTTGTTTTATTTCCTAATAGACATTTATCATGGACATTTTTATTATGGACAGTATAGGAAGTTACTTGTCTTAGTAAAAGCACAGAGTAAAAGCCTTGGTAAATGCTCTTGGAATTATAAATTACACTGGCTTGGATCAAGAAATATGGAATGTTTTTTCTATGTTTTGCAGCATTACACAAATGGGAATAAATTTAAACTATAATAGGCGAGGATAACTAAAAAATATAATATGTGTTTCAGAATTTTATTTTAATTCAATCAATTGATTTTATTTTTAAAAACTAAATACCTTTTTGGGGGTTCGTAAGTAAAATTTACGCCTTAGCTTAGTTTTCTTTACTCTTTCTCTTTACATAGGGCATTGTCTTTGTGGTAAAGACGTCATTCCTTTTTTTTGCATAGTTCTTCAATAAAATATTGGATATTCTGAACAAGATGGATTTAATAATAAATTCTGACGTATGTGAGGGTGCATCCACACTATTCTAAAAACGGCGTATCTGCGTAACGGCGTAACGACCTTGAATCGATTTCCAGCAATTCTATTGGCTGAAATTTTTGACAGATGAATTTGACAAATAAAATTTCTGAGAGATGGATTTTTCAGCCAATAGAATTACTGGAAATCTAATCAAGGTCGTTACGCCGTTACGCCGTTTTTAGGATAGTGTGGATGCACCCTGAGGGGCAATTATGACCTAAAAAAAGACTTACATCCAGGCCATTTATATTTTCAAATGTCAATGTTGTCAATATCTTTCTGTGATCTTTTTGATGTAAAAAGCTTGATTATTCTTCCAATATTTTACTTATAGTAAGGTAAGTGTAAGCAGTATCCATAACTATATCCTCACTATTATTATTGGTTGTGATAAGACTAAAATCTAATGGTGCGTTTAGACTTGAGCACGCACGCACTGATTCTTCGCGAATGCTCAAGTGTAAACGGCTGTGCGCGCACGCTCACTCTGAATCTGTCTGTGCGCGAGCAGCCGCGAACGTGAGCCGTCTGGTGTCGGTTTTTGGTCCGTGCTCAAAGGGATTTTATATGTGCGCGAACGCTCAGTTTGCATCAGCAATTTGTTTTGTCTGCGTTCGTGCGTGCGTGTGTGTTTTTTTTCAATTTCTTTATTAAAATTATGGAGTGGATCAATGAATCTTGGTTATTATTAATTGAAGAATATGAAAAGTTGCCTATATTATGGGATGTTAAACATTCTTCGTATTATTAAAAAACCAAAAAAATATCGCATGGCAAGACCTTGTAAATAAAATTAATATTGAATATGTCAATATTAATTAAATTGCTATTCTAAAATTTGTATCTTTTGTTCGTAAGTTTTGTGTATTCAAAGTCGGGCCTGGTTATTCTTGTAAAGTTTTTGAACTGATCATAGCCCTCCTCAGACACGTTAGTTGTTGTAGTACGTAAGTTGTTGTAGTAAATTATATCGATTTCTAAAATTTTGGGTTTGCCACCAGCGACGACGTTTTCGATTTTTCTTCTTTTTAATAATTAAGCTGTGCATAACAATGACTGCAGCCCCGACTATTTCTTGGTCGTCCATTATTTTCGCCAACACAACTCTACTGTGCGCGCACAAGTGGAGCACTTCATTCGTCGAAAAATAAGTTTTTAATTTGAACGGAGCCGAGAGTGTGAACGAACGCGGTGCGCGCACGCTCAGCTCGTGCGTGTTCAAGTCTAAACGCACCATAACGTCCTATCATCTTGCTGCTGTAACAGAAACACCTTGCAGTAATCACATTTTAAATTTTTGATTAAAGCATATGATAAATATATCCCTTAGCCAAATATTATCACCAATATCTTCAATTTCCCATTCCTCTATGCTAGCAATATTTTGTAAATCAGGAGGAAATTGCACTTGTCAGGGCAGACATGTCTTTTTTACTTATAGTGGCGGTGAAGGCTTTTTACTCATTTAGGTGTAATATCTTAATAAATACTTCTAGTTATTACCTTATAATCATTAATAATACAGGAGTACGACAAGCACAAAAGTTTGAAGTTCCCTATTACTGTCCTCCATTCACGCAGTTGTGCAACTCTGAACTATTCAAGAAAGCGAAAGTCTCACTCCAATCAATTGAGTCATAAAGTTCAGAACTGTTCCGCGCTTTATGGAGACACCAGGCTATCGCGCACAGCTCCTTTCAGAACCGTTCTCGAGTAGCCCAGGGCGTAAAGCTCTGGAACTTGAAATTCGCGAATGAACGACAGCATATGTGGAATGTCTGGTTTGGATTTTTATTACATTCTTATTTTATCACAATTTTCTGATCACACCATGCACATCACACTAAAATGATCACACCACACTAAGAACTAAACAAACGTATTGCAGAAGCACAACAAACTAGAGATAATTAATTATTTCTGGTATGCAATCGGAACGAGAAACCACTTACGGCTTTTCAGTTTTAAAGGTAAACAATTTTAAAATGCACTGTCTTCGCCGCCATATTTGCCTTGCGCCTATCATGTTGATTAGCCTTGAGTGGAGGGAGTGGTGCCTCCAAACTCCAAGTCACTAGCAGGATTGCCAACTTTCGAAGTCGAATAACCGCTAGTTCGTATCATGGTTCGTATCGAGTTCCTATATAAAAACATGATAAAAACCGTTAGAATTCGCTAGGACTCCTTACGTTTGTTCTTCTCTGCTCCTAGTCTAGGAGCGATATTGGACATTGGAACTGAAATTTTGCCCTGGCGATGGCGCCTATTAGGCCCCCATATCTCAATCTAAGCCCCATTTGCCCCATACACATACACCCACTATACACTAGAAGAGTTTCCTGCACATTTGGTTTGCGGATTTAGTCCGCAGCCTGTCATGTACCAAAACTCGTATATTCGTCTGCGGACTTGGGCTGTTGATTAGATCTTTGCCCATTAGATATCCGGGTAAAGGTGTGGATCATAAAATAATTAACTAGAAAGAAGTGTCAACTCTGTGTTAAATCGTGGAAACACCATGTGGAAACACGATACGCCACCGAAAGCCTTCGTTGTCGTCTGGAGAACTAATTTTCCAATTGACAGGTTGACATGATAAGGACATGATGGCTTAATTTTCATTTCCGTTTCCGGTTATTCAATGGCGGGCCCTCTTTCAGTTCAAATGTATTTTGTATTTTTTCTTTTCATAAATAAAACCAAAAAATAATTTATTCACATATATTTATTTGAAATATGGAACAACGTGACTAAATAAATATAAATATATAGAGGATAGTATTGTTTCAATACCAATTAGTTAATTATATGCACTTTTAACATAAATTAGTTAAGGTATAAGCATGACTTACAGTAATTTGTAAATAAACACACGTATTCGCAGACTTCAAGGACAGAAAACGGACACAAGAACATGAAAACGGGAGCCTTATACAAAAACCTGAAAACAGAAAAACAATTTTTTTTTATACTAAAATTAACAATGTAAAAATATCAATAGTTATAAAATATAAATATACTGTTTAAAAAATGCGTCCATTATTCCCAAAGAGACCTGGCTTATAAATCAAAAAGAAGCAAAAAGAGACTTTTTAGTCGGATAACATAATCAGATTATCAGTCCGATTTATTGCATTATTGATAATAAATCGCACATATTGGAGATAACTAATGTTGGCTATAGTTAAAAATGATCTTACCTTGCTGTAAATTGTTTCCATTTTCAAAAAAATCGCCGATCAAAGAGATTATAACATCATTTTCTTGCATCTAAAAAATGTAAAAACAGTGTTTATTTACTACCTATTTTTCATATGCATGGGACATACCTACTACTGCAGAAACGTCATTTTCCCCAGGATTCTTCATGTAATATATATTTTATATACTTTATTACCTTTATATTTATAAATTTCAGCCGAAATATTAAATTGAACTTTCAAAACACAACTAAACGGAATGAATTAAAATGGCGTCGAATATTTTCGAATTTGTTCTAGAACAAATCTGAAGTTGTCTCTGAAACTGAAATCTGTCAATTCTAAACTGTGAAGTTAGACAATAGTTAGACAAAAACAATGCTGTTCTTGTCTAGGCGGCCATACTTGTCGTGAGGAGAATGACAGGAATGACAATAATGACTGTTTCCAATTTTCTTATTTCACTGTCACCCCCCTGGTGTGGATCCATGATACAAAGAATACAAGGTATGATATTGCGCAGGTTGATCACTACGTCACAGGTGATAAACGGCACCATTGGTCGGCAAGTTCCGCGCGCCAATTTCAAATTGTCCAACAGATGACACAATAAATGTCAAAATAATTTTTCAAATGTCAAGCACGATGATTTGACATAACTTTTAGGGTTATGTCCTAATTCTTCCCTCTTTTAGGTCTTTTTTTATTAGTGGCAATTGCACAATATGGATATTTTTTTGTATGGCGTATGACGTCACAGGTGGTATGCGCAAACTTAACGAAATTGGGGCCGCTATCGATCATACCTTGTTTTCTTTGTACCATGGTGTGGATCCGGTGGCTGACCTTGAAGCCCATATTTGCTGCATTTGATCATCGATACTACGCAAGCGCACATCGTCGATGTTGCCAAATTGCAGTTTATTTTCGAATTATTTGCAGTTGAAATTTTTTTTAAGTGTTTTAATACAAATTCTATAATTAATTTTATAATTTCAGATTTATCTTAATATCCAAAATTAGTGTAAGAAGGATAATGAAGATTGTGAAATGAAAGTATTATGAATATATAAAATTGTAATAATAATAACATTTATTAATATATTTACATTAGAATTAAAAATTATCATTTACGGATTTTTTCTTAATAGTTTTAAACTTATTATAATTAATTTCTTTCTTTCAAGATATATAATTTCTAGTTATTTACAGGCAACAATATAGTTTTGATTATATGTATTGATGTATTGAAGTACTACCATGACGAGTCTTATAGAAAAATACACGTCAATGGGAGATAGAGGTAACATTTTACCTATAATGTTACTAAATATAATATACTTTGATTATAATGTTTGTATCATAATTTCTTAAAAATGTCAAGTTAGTGGATTAATAGCAATTTTAGACATATATTTTATCGAAGAGTGTTGATAAGACTAAAATATAAGCTTTATGTTTTATTTTTTTCTCTTTAGAAGGGAGATGCTTTGTGTCGTAGAATACATTACAGTCAAATTACAGTATTTAATACCGTGTACTTTGATATTCTTTTCTTAATTTACTGTCATTTCTTGTTTCCTATAATGCCAAATCTTGACAATATGGTGAAAGTTGAGATTTGATCTTATTAGTTTTATACCTGTGTTTATACAAGACCAAATTAAGACTTATTAGTTAGTTTGTGATTTATATTAAGATCTTTTTTATAATATTTTTTGTTATGTCTTAATCTTAATACTATATTATGCTTTGTCTGGAAAATAAATGTTATAATATCTTAATTTTGCATATCCTTCCATCCTTCCATTAGGAAAAATATGGTTTAAAAATCATATATGTATGCTAAGAAAATCACATAAATTAGGTGTAAGAATAGAGAAATCTTAAGGTAGCAGAAAAATTATTTCAATATACATATGTATAAGCAGAATTAAACAAGGTAACTGTAATGTTGCTGAAGCTGATTCTACAATTTTAATTACGGAGGCTAAAAGACCTTTTTAAGGCCTCCGTAGTTTTGATGGAATGTTAAAAAAACTATTATGAACATGATATGGAGCTACAGCATTTAAAAATTAAAAAAAAAACGAAAAAACTTGGACACGTCTCTTTTAATTTACCGAATTTTTAATAAAGCACTTTTTAAACGTAGCATAATAATCTAGAGCAATTAGATTAATTATAGGAATTTAGAGTTTTATTTCTATTTAATTCTATTGACTATGAAAATACATAATAAGCGTTCACGTGTTGTGCGAAATATTAAAATAATAATATAAATAATATACCGGTACTATGATCGAAAAAAATAGCGATGACTATGAAATGAAGATCGCTGTCATTTTTTATGTAAATTTATATGGGAAATGTCCTCAATCGTCATTTCCCAGCCAACTGGACGCCGTTTTTTCGATCATACGGTATATATTGACAAAAAAACACTGAAAAGCACATATGAAGGAAAATTAAAATTATTTGTTTTCTACTGAAAATAATTCCAAAATAACTTGCACTCTGGCAACATCGACGATGTGCGCATGCATAGTATCTGTGACTATATGCAGCAAAAACTCGTTTCAAGGTCAGCCACCGGATCCACACCATTACCGATATCCGATATCCAACAAATTCAGGGACAAAACAGGGACCAAATTCTACGTTTTATATCAGTTTTTATATAGATAAAGCGTTACACAAGTCCGTGAACTTTATCCTTCGATCGTTTTTTAGATCAATAATTCTAATCTAACAGATCAGTCTACGGACACAGCTACGGATTTGGCCATAGAATATACTAACGAAAAAGAAGCCCAAGTTCCTTGTAATAAATCGGTTCCATTTTCGTAACGCCATCTCTCGACATAGCTGACATTATAGGTTAGCCAAAGGGGTGCGGGGCCGGGGGGAAAAATACACTTTTTTATTTTATTTTTATTCGCTATTTGCAATTTTATTTTTAAAACATATTATGTGAAACAATCACATAATATGTCTTAAAAATAAAATTACAAACAAAAAAGTTAGGCTATGCAAATTGATAAGTATATTAAGTATAACCTCTTTGGTATAACATTGTTAAACAAACATTAACAAATCATAACATATCAGATCATAGAACTAAAAAAAGTACTATTACATAAAAACAGGTGATACAATACTTCAAAATTAATTTTAACATAATATCAAAACCCAAAAATCAAACTGCAAACACAACCACACTTATCACAACAGAAATTAACACACACTCCCGCGGCAAATGTCCAAGAAAGACTGATCAACATCAATGTCATTCTGATTGGTCCTGTCCGGTCGTAGCTCACGTCGTATTGTCGGTAAGCAAAATCCCTGTCCAAAAATTTTGACGATCAGCGCCATCATCCGTCATAATTGGGAAACTTTTGCTGGAACCATTTTTAATATTTCACTTACATGGCCCTGGACTGATCATTCTGATTGGTCCTGGTCCGGTCGTAGCTCACGTCGTATTGTCGGTAAGCAAAATCCCTGTCCAAACATTTTGACGATCAGCGCCATCATCCGTCATAATTGGGGAACTTTTGCTGGAACCATTTTTAATATTTCACTTACATGGCTCTGTTACTAACTATCTTTATGCAATGCAATTCTTCTTTAGACGCATTTTTCTCGGAAGTAATAAAAAGTACGTTAGTGACTTTTGGCAGCAATGGGACGATATAGATGTTAATGGAAATTGAAGAATAATTATCGAATTCAATAAGAAAACGCTAAAAAGTTGGAGTGGACTGTTTATTTACCTATGAAACGTAACTCCTGGCTCTTTCTTATCGCTGCTCCTTTTACACTTGAAAGCTGAACAACTAATCACCATTGTAATAAAGTTTAGTCACAAATTCTGCTGCAGCCCGTATAGGGGCGTTACATGTCCTTATATTCTTTAGTCATTGGTTTCAATGTTACATGATTACAATATATTAAGTATTTTATGGTATTAAGGTTACAAAATTTTGTTTGGCGGGAGGCGGGAGCGGTTCAGTTTGCTTCAGTAAAGTGATGTTTTTCCATTTTTCTCGTAAATAACATGTGCAATTGCCCTTCTACTGAATGTAAATTAAACAAGACAAAATTCAGTAACAATGTTTTTAGATGATTTGATAATTTTAGATGATAAGAATAAGTTCACTTTGAATAAAATATAAAATGCAGTGAAAATTAAGATCTAGTAGCTTATCAAAAGTTTTTTTTTTATTAAAGTATCAACAAAAATATTTGAATTTAAATTTGAATCAAATTTTAAATACCTAAGTATCTTGTAAACATTAGAATAGAATTATAACTATGAAGCCCCGTTCTCAGAACTGCGTCGTGTCGACAGCGACACTGATTGACACTTCAAACGACCAATGGGAGCTGTACTAAATTTAAAATTGACAGCTGTTTGAATTTTGCACAAATCTGATTGGTTCTTTTGTCGTGTCGCTGGCGACAGTCGCAGTTCTGAGAACGGGACTTGATGCGCACTCGTCGAAGCTCATTCTCCCACTTCCATATCTCTGCTTATAACAGAATAACATTTGAACAACCCACTACAACTTGGCAACATTGTTGGGTGCCCGAGTTGACTAGTGGGACATAGACGCTAGGACGCTAGTGCTAGTGTTCTCCTCTTCTATTTTATTTCTTGTCTTTTGTCTTTCCTCTTTCCTCTTTGTAAGTCCTTGTAAATCCTCTTTCTTGGTTTTTGTTTTATATTTTATATGCTGTGTTTTGGCTGTGTTTATATGCCCTGTCGGCGTGCTGCGTATTGTAACGTGATTGTAACTTGAATAACTCTTTTTTATTTCTACGGTCATCCCCAGTATTTTTTGAATATCTTTGATTTTTTGTTACTTCGTGTCTTAAGTCTAAAGTTTGGTGAGTTTAGTGTAGTTTTTCTAGACGTTGGACATTGAAAGTATATTTCATTTGAAATGTATTATCCGCTGGCTTTAACTACTTGGAAACAAAATATACCGGGGATAAATAAAAACACATGGAAGAAAAAGACCTTCCCTGAAAATAAGCTAAACGATTTGCTGACTGAGATGTACAGAAATCTAGACCAAAATACTTCCCATATTTTTCGTAAAAATTTTAAATCTCATAAGTCTGTAGAGTTAAGGTGTTTATATAGAATAATACCAATGGAGTTTTTTGGATCAACAGTCAATAGGAAGAAGTTTTTTTTCGTTGTTAAACGAATTTTGTCCCAAACAAAGGGAGAATGCATACATACAAAATATCTATATAACAATTACGAACTTGATCAAATCGGTTGGTTGTTTGCGAAATCGAAGGACAAACATTGTATGTTAGAAGAGTTACGCGAAATTAATATACTTGTTCTTGATACCATAGTTAAACCATTTTTAAGATACTTTTACTATTACTTAAGCGATTTTAAAACTAGAAAATTGTTGTTTGTCTGTCGAAGTAAGTATGGATGAAATATGAGGACTACCTTATTATTTGAAATTTGATTTTTTTTTAGATGAAATGGATTCCTTCATAGATACGAGAATCACAAAATATCTAAAAGAGGGCACTCTTTCAAAGATTACCATTAATGACAATATTAATGTAAATGGCAGGTTAATGTTTATTCCAAAAAAATCATCTGTTCTTGACCACAGACCTTTAATAATTCAGAGTGGGGGTACCCACTGTAAACAAATCCAAAGAAAACTTAAAAAATTAACTAAAACATATTTGATTGGATGCAAAGGGTCCTTCTATAAAGGATGGTGTAAATATTTATCAGATCATAAACAAAAAAGAAATCTTTATGGTAATTCCCATTGGTACATGGTATTGTCTTATTCTTAACATTCACGTTGCTTTTAGCTGTTAAATTGGATATTGTGAATGCCTTTGGTTCCACTGACATAGGTGAATTAATAATGATAATTAAAGACAACAACACATTTACGCATGCAGAGAAACAATTTTTAGCTCACAATATTCACAATCAATATGTTTATGCAAGGAACACCGTTTACAAATGGAATTGTGGTAAATATATAGATAAACTCTATTTCAAAATTATATTTTACGAACAAAGTGACAACGTCAAAACAAAAATATCAGATAATAATATACAACATTACCACAAATTACAAATTCTAGCCCTGCACATTCCACAATATTTACATACAATACTAAAGTAGTCTTCCACAGAATATGGCTAAATAGTTTTTATTTGGGACTTTTTTTAAATTATTTAATTTGTATACCCATATAATACTATAGGATTTGTGGTTCTTGTTTGATATTTATGTCGCTGGGTGCACATTAAACCATTTCAGTAGAAATATACTATAGTTTCGTATACAGGGTGATCCGAACTGTATTCTGAAAACTTTGGAGCATATTCTGCAGATAAAAATAACTAAAAAAGTGTGTATAAATGGATGCCCTAAAATGCTTAGTTTCGAAGAGACAGCGTGGAGAAGTTTCATTTTTATGTATTTAGATTTTTCCAAATAATTTATGAAGTAACCTCAATATTTGGATGAAAATTGGTGTCTGGGAGTTTTTTAAATGAGATATTTGATCTTGATGTCAATATAACTCTGACTTGTAGAGGGCGCCACCTACATATTTTAGCTGGTTTGAAGAGTAATAACTTTTCGTCCGTACCTGTATTAAACTACTGAGTGAATAAAAAATATACATTTCCGTGACTTTTACGTAAAAAATGTCTCTTGGTAAAAATCGCTATGAGCAACCGTTCTCAACATAATATGTTGTAGTGAGTATTTCCATTCTAAATATTATTTAGAATGGAAATAGTCAATACAAGTATTAACAAAAAATAAACACGTTGAAAATATAGTTATTTGGCTGAAATAATAAATTTGAAAAATTTTAATTTTTTTAAAATAATTATAAATTTTTCTGCAAGAAAATTATGATAACAATTTTTGTTAAACTTTTGGCATAATTGTAATTTCAGTCTAATATTTAAGCCTCATTCAGAACCCCACAATTAGTGAAATAAATTAGTGGTTTCAATTTTTAATTAGCCTAGAAGTTTGTTTCTTTAATTCCAATGTAAGTATTTAGAACGTCAAAAGTAGTGGTAGATATTTTTAATTAGTAGAATCACGATACACGTAAACACGGTATGTCCGATAGTAAGACGCATTTTAGTCAACTCCGCGCACGTACGTCATCTGCGCTGCAAGCCGATACAGATGGCCGATACGACACATAATCTTTTTAAACGCTGCGTCTGGTTGCTTGTTCAAACGATATTTGCATTTAGCATCGAATTATTTTGTGTTATCTTTAAGAGACGCGTGTTTGTAAAATATTAGGGATTTATTGTGCTGTTGTTATTAATAACAAGTATACCCCAGACTTTATTTAAAAATGGTAAACTGTGCTGTGACCGGATGTAAAAACTATGACAGAAAAGGATCCAATATTAAATATTTTCGGAATGAAATTCAAGACAGAGTTAACAAGGACGCTTTAATATACATTGCGGGATATGTAGCTCATAAATTTAGAGGCAAATACGACGATTTGGGAGTGGCAACTAAAAATATAGAAGTTAAAAGAGCATCACATTGTTGGCTGAATTTTAATTCTCGCGGAAATCTACTGTACCCAAACGAAAATGTGTTACGTGTGCCTACTGTACTTGAGTGTGAGTGTAAAGAAATGCATGGTACTTCCTTGGCAGATGACAAACATTTGTTTACAAATTTATGCAACAGAACGATTGCAAAACTAACCAATGATTTAAAAGCAACAATACCACAAGAAGTAATTTTATGCTTAGCAAGGACACGAACTTACATTAGACTACGTGACTTGAACCGAAGAATTAGTTTTGAAAATTGTCGTAAACGATTGGATAAGAAAATATCTAAATTTTTAAACTCTAAAAAATAAACTGTATCATTTTCACAATATATAATAAAAAAAAACAATCATGTATCGTTCATACTCTATTTATTTTATGTGTTAAGTATGTCACTTCTAAAAAAATAATTGAAATAAATTTTTTATAATTTCCTGTTGTTTATTTTAAATTTTAATTAGTAAAAAACACCTAATACACCTAATAAAGGCAATCGGTGTCAAAAAAAGTATTATGATAATATAATAATTTACTTGTAAACATTTTGTTATTTTATCTGTAATCAGTAGAAAGAAAATCGGTTACACCTTTATTATAATTATATTCACCTGAATAATTATATTGTAATTATTATTGTACAGACATGCTTGTAGTAGCTAAGTTATTTGAATCATGTTTTATTTGTCACTTAAATAATGTTCTCAATAAGTCATAACAAATTTTAGAAATCTTCAAAATTGCATATGTAAAACGGTATTTTCTAAAGAAGCGCGCGTTATTTATGCGGATTCTTCATAAGCGCGACTCGTTTTGCAGCGTAGGTGACGTCACGAATTCGATGTCGAGCCAGCCTGCCTGCGCGCGGACGTACCGTGTTTATGTGTATCGTGAGTAGAATAAAGCTTCATTCAGAACCTTCCAATTAGTGGTTTCAATTACACACAATACAAATATTTACGTTACCTCATAAATTATTTAGAAAAAATCGAAATAAAAATGAAACTTCCAAACCCTGTATCTCCGAAACTAAGCATTTTAAGACATACGTTTATATGAATTTTTTTACTTATTTTTATCTGCAGAATATGCTGCCGAAGTTACCGGAATACAGTTCGGACCTCTACATATACAGGGTGGTCCGAACTGTATTCCGTAACTTATTCTGCAGCATATATTCTCAGATAACAATAAGTAAAAAAGTTTGTATAAATGTATCTTTTAAAATGCTTAGTTTCGGAGATATAGGGTGTAGAAGTTTCATTTTTATTTTCATTTTTTCCAAATAATTTTTAAAGTAAGGTCAATATTTCGATGAAAAATGGTGTCTGGAAGTTTTTTGACATGAGAAATTTGATTTTGGTGTCAATATGACTCCTACTTGTAGAGGGCGCCACCTACATAGTTTTTAACTTGTTTGAAGAGTAATAACTTTTCGTTTGTACCCTACTGGGTGAAAACATATACATTTGCGACGTTTTTTACGTAAAAAAATCTCTTGGTAAAAATCGCTACGACTAAGGGTACAAACATAGTGGGGGCAGGTTTCTGCTTACAGGCAACCAGCGCCGTCTCAGGGTACCTATTCTTGACCACTCGCATCTGCAAATATCGCTCGCATCTGCAAATATCGCTCGCATCCAGGGTTCGAAAAACTACATGTTACTCTTAAAAACTACATTACATGTAGTTAATGTAGTTTATGTAACATATGTATGTCACTTTTTATATCAAAGATTTGAGGCAGGTTTGAGGTGAGGTTATAATAAGTTGAAGCTTTAGAGCGCTTTCACACACGCCGGCAAAATCGGTGCCGGTGCCGGTCCTGAAATTACAACCACAACTGCGCGACAAAAATGTCGTCGAAAAGTCGCCCGTGTGAGTTGATGGACGACAACCGAACCACAACTAAATTTTTGATTCAGTCAAAGATGAATTTTGAAGAAGCACTGTTGTGGCTTTTGCTCCGAAAAAGAAGGCGAATGTATCTTTTGTATAGTCCCAAATGCAAGGAAGAAGGCGGATTTCCTCTATAAAGAGTTCCGTGTCGAAATCTTCATCCATTTTTTAAGAAGCGTTCAATACGCAGGAAACAGAGGTAATGCAAAGGTATGGCTGGAGTCGGTGTCATAGATAAGATACTATAATATAATTTACTATAATAAAAGTCGGTCTGGTCATCATCTGGTTCAGTTGTGTTGTTGTCGCGTCGCCGTCGTCGGAAAAACGTCCGTGTGAGTTGGATTCACTACGAGCGGGCGACAATTTTGTGGACGGTATCGACCACGCCCGGCGACAGTCGCCGAAACCGACTGCAGTTTGTCGCCCATGTGAGCGCTTCACCGGATTTCCATTTAAAATCGTTACTCTCCAGAGGCGACTACATTTTCGTGTTTCAAAAGTCGCTGTAAAGTCGTCCGTGTGAGTGTACCCTAAGGGTACAAAGTACAAACATAGCGGAGGCAGGTTTCCGCTTACCGGCAACCAGCGCCGTCTGGCGCTTATAACCTTGAAAAATTAGAGCATGTTGCCAAATCGTCTAGTTCACAGTTAAAGCAGGTAGGCGCCGTCAACTAGCATTCATCGGCGTTCTCGCTTTTACCGGAACGAAAATTCAGTTTATTTCTGCTTTAGCGGCGCCGCGCCGGTGCGGCGTTTGAATATGGAAAAATACATCTATTTGGGACAACCTAAAGGAATAAAAAGCCTCTCTTCAAGAAGAATAGGTTGCTTATGTAGATTGCATCAATTTTTGAATAACCTATATTCCACTTTTTCAAAAATATACAGGGTCCGGCAATAATGCGTCGGGCATCTGTAGCTCCTAGAATAAAAAACTTGGGAATTTTGTTTTAAGTGTAAACCTAAAGTATGTATGAGGATGTATTTCAGGAAAGTATTTTAACTTCTATATTTAGGGTGGCTCAAAAAAGTGAGTGGATTAGGATGATTTTTTTTAACACCCTGTTGTGTTTTCCTGTGTAACACCCGGAACACCCTGTATATTATTGAATTTTTGGCTTCCTTTCAGTTCATTTTACATAATCCTAAGATATGGGTAAATATATTTCGATAGTTTCAGAGATATTAATAAATAAATAAAAAATATATATTTTCCAACCCTTCTAAAAAAAATATTAATTATATTTTTCAACCTTCACTAAAAAAATATTATAAATATAAGAAAATCAAAACTATATTAGGTATTTACTTTAGATGGTCATCCCCTAGCTTCTAGCCCCCTATCTCGGTTAATTTTGATTTGACTAAAACAAGTATAGAGATCATTTTATGTAAAATTTGACGCTCTACAACTTATTTGAACTAGACCTATCAAAATCAAATTTTCATGTCAAAAAACTCCCAGACACCAATTTCCATCTAAATATTGACGTTGCTTCATAAATTACATATTTGGAAAAAATCGAAATAAAAATGAAACTTCTACACTCCTGCATCTCCGAAACTAAGCTCTGTAAACTAAAAATATATATCACTCTATATTTATTTTCACCATTTACAGCAATTTTTAAAAGTTTTCATTAAAAGATCATTTTTATTAGTACGCCATGATTGATAATAAAAGAAACTAAAGAATTGTTAAAAGTTTACTAATGTCTCTTTCTCTTGTTTTATTTTGGGGACCCACTAATATATTTATATATGAGGGAAACTTAACTCTCTACCGTTATTTATAAATTTTGGAAGCTATCGTACGGTACTGTTAGATATTTCTTTAGATAATTTACGTTAAATATACTACTCACAACTCTGAAAATATTAAAATTTTGTTAAATGACTCTTTCCCAAATCAATGAATTGGGACCAGTAGCCCAGTACGATGGCACAGAATATCTAGCTACGCAACAGAAGCCTCGTTACATGTATAAAATTGTAGGTATCAAAAGGAGACAGTGTCTCCAAATCAGATATTTTGATGCGGTAGTTTCGCTACTACATAATAGAGGGCGATAAACTCTTAAGAGAAAACAGTTTTCTACAAACGAAATTTAAAAGAATTTTGTACAGTGTTGCCATTGTGTAATTCATATTGTAATACTTGCTGATAAAGCCTACCTTCAAATTTGCTACATCATTTAAACATATTAAAATAGATCAAAGCTCTTTTTTCAAACGTTTAAGTACTTGCCATGTTAGTTGGAGTTAAATCTTACGAGCTGAATTACAATCAGTTCCTGACGTTTGATTGTAATTGAATCCTGAATTTTGATTGTAATTCCGGCGACAATATAATAGCCATTGTTCTACTATTATGATACCACTTCCTGACGTTCAATTGTGTTTATACTTTATACCGTATGATCGAAAAAAAAACGGCGTTAGCGATGGTTATGAAATGAAGATCGCTGTTATTTTATATGTAAATTTATATCGGAAATAGTATACCATAATATAGTACCATATTACGATACATGGCGTTCGATTGAGCTTAAACTTGGTATTCTACTTATCTTTAGTAACATTGTAATATTATGGTACCACGGAGCATATAAAGTGGTACCTTCTATAGTACCATATTATGATACCATTTTCTGACGTTCGATTGGGCTCATATTTGATATATACTTGCGTATTTTTGATGACATTGCAATATTATGGTACCATGAAGCCATGAAGCAAATCAAGTGGTACCATACCATAATATAGTACCATATTAGATACATAGAGGTCGATAGGGCTTACTACGTATACTACGTATCTTCGGTGACGTAATTTTATGGTACCATGGAGCATATAATGTGGTACCTTCTATAGTACCATATGTTACCACTTCCTGATGTTCGATTGGGATCATATTTAATATATACTTGCGTATGTTTGATGACATTGCAATATTATGGTACCATGAAGCATATCAAGGGGTGCCATAATGTAGTACCATATTACGATACCATTTCCTGGCGTTCGATTGGGCTTGAACTTGGTATACTACGGATCTTCGGTGACCTTGCAATATTATGGTACCTTGAAGCATATCGAGTGGTACCATAATATAGTACAATATTATTATATCATTTCCTGGATTTCGATTGGGCCCAAATTTGGTATATACTTGCGTTTCTTTATAAAGATTTGTTTAATTAATAATTTTAATATATTTTACGAATTTTAATTTATTGTACGATGTCGTGACAGCAACTTTTATGCCGATTATGATAATATTATTAATTGTACCTGTGTCACTTTTTAAAATCTACCTAGGTCTATATAAATAAAGAAATAAAATGACAAACAGAAGAAATTTGTTATAGTAGTATTTTTTTAGTCAATTAACATTTTTTGTACTGCATTTTAATAAATTATTTCCATTATTATTAAACTTATATTTTATTACTAACGTCCCAGCATTAATAAATATCACTATCAATCGCCCTGTATATTATTAATTTTAAAGGTAATTAAAGGTATTTTCTTAGTTAACAATATAAGGTAGTGTATAGGTATTAAAAATATATTTTGTGAGTATATATTTTGTAATAATATACTTAAAACTATTTTGAAAGCCAAACGAATAATTAATATAAGTGTGTCCGACAAGAAAAGAAGAATAGAAAGAAACTATTATACACCAGAAAAAGAATGGGATGCCAATTAAAGTCTTTTTGAATCTGGCAACTATGCACATTTAGCCGAGCTTCTAGGCCATCGACGCCGACGTGTCGTCGATCCAAAACCGAAATTTCAAAATTTCCAATTATAGTCTGATTATGATATTGTCGCGCCATCTAGTATTTTATTTGTGCAATTTTAGCTCTTTCATTCCGAGTATTTTTCTGTTGCGTAGCTAGATATTCTGTGACGATGGCCTCCCTGATTCCCGGATTTGTCCGTTTTCAATTTCTGTATTTAGGGATTTTTGAAATATGAAAATGATTGTGGCAACTACAACAATGCCGAAGACCTGGAATCTTGGAAAATGACATCAGCCAAGCCTTTAAATACCGTATGATCGAGAAAAAACGGCGTCAGCGATGGCTATGGAATGAAGATCGCTGTCATTTTATATGTAAATTTATATGGGAAATGTCATTGATGTTCATTTCCCAGCCAACTGGACGCCTTTTTTTTCGATCATACGGTATTTGCAAACTCATCCCGTTATAAAAAAAGAAGAAAAATATATTCAGAGATATCAGTGGTAGCAGTTTAAAAGTAAAATATTTCAGTCCCAAATAAAAATTTAATGTGTTGACTATTTTAGTAAATACCATTTTGATTTTTTGTTATCTATCACGGCCTACTAATAAGAAAATGATATCTTTTAAATAAAATAATAATAAAATATTACAGTAAATAGTGAAAATAAATATAATGCTATACATTTTTGGAAAGGTCATACCAGGACGGATCATATGTTTTACAAGAATACGTAAAAAGTTTTACAAGAATAACTTTTTATCTCCTCGATACCTTTCACAATAACGGAGATAATACTGTCCCAAATTGCACCAGAACTGTTATCCTACAATGTATGCTGATTGTAGTGTTGTTTTACATTTGTTTTTTTGCATTACAGGATTGCTTCAAGGTTGGAATTTATCGGCACTATTGTCAGAACTGTACATTAGTTATTTGTGTAATAAACATTTATCAAAATTTTTGAAACCATATTGTTTCATGCACAGAACTGTAGACGATATATTATTCGTAACCCCATATTCAGATGAATTAGGAAATTTTGAACTAGCTGCAATGGATGCGTTTTTAATACACCAAACTAAATCCCAAAGATGTTATGATGGACAAGGTCTAATTTATTGTGGTAAAATGTTTAACATGGAAACGAGGGAGGTGTCCAATTATTATAATTATGACAATAACACCGAAATTAGAGAAAGAATGAAAATATGGAACTTAAAGAAGGAAATTGACCAGGACCAAATATTCGATTTTGTGATGAACTGCATGAAGTAAGTTTTTATTTCAGTTAAGTAATTCAGTTTTTATAGACATTTTTAATATTTCAGATTTGTAAACATGAATTTTTTGTTTTCAAACTTTGTTTTGAATACAGAGTTCAACAGTAAAGATAGTGTAATGAAGAATCTCTATGACGGAATGTGTGTTGTGGCGTTCAGGTTTGATAGCGTAGTTTCGACACTTTCGTACACCTTTTCGTCTTTTCAGCACCGGTCGAAGGTAATTGAGCATTGCGTAGACACCATCTTAAACCGATACTTAATTAAAATAAAGTGGAGACTACAAAAGAACAGTGGCAAAAAGCAACGTTCAGAAATTACTTTTAAAGGTATCAAATTTATTATGCGGAGAGCGTTTATAGCTGTTTTTTCACGAAGGAACTGCGTATATAAAGATATACTTAAAAAACTGAAGCGTGCAGTTAAAAAATCATATATTAATACGGTTAACTTTAAATATTTTTTGGAGTTGCCCAAAAATTTTAAAAATGTTAAAATGTATAGAATTAAATGTGCTCGTTTAATGAGAGACATATAGATATAGCCTGATTTTAAGCCCAAGTTTAAGAAATAATTAGTGAGGTTTTTGAATGACTATTGATGACCCGAAACCGACTGAAAATCTATCACAAAAATTGTGATGAAGCCTCCACAGTATGATGGAAAAACCGTTTGGACCAACTATTTTTGTCAATTTCAAGCTGCTGCGAAAGCGACCGGCTGGTCCCACGCTAAAAAAGCTACCACTTTGACGATTGCACTGCGAGTGGACGAGTGATATATAGCAAACACTGTCACCAACAGAACAAGGAGTCTATCAACAACTTGTGCGACATTTAGAAATAGGGTACGGTTAAGCTCATTTGGAGCATGTTTACCACTCGTAGCTCAAGAACCGTATTCAGCAGCCCAATGAAGCCCTGCAGAGGTCTGAAGCTGATATAGCCCGCCAACCAAACCAAACCGCCCTGTTCCACAAGACACAACACACATTCCATATTCGCGTACCCTGCTACATTTAGAAATAGGGTATGGTCAAGTTCATTTGGAGCATGTTTACCACTCGTAGCTCAAGACTGACTTTGTAGTCAGCAGCTCATTGAGTTCTTGCAGAGGTCTGAAGCTGTGGACGTAACAAGTTGCCATTCACAATAATTATCCGTTGTTTTTCATTATGTAGTAAATGATAAACCTGTCGAGGGATTCATGGAATTTTATTTTTGAGTAACTGGTGATTTTCTGACCATTTATTCCTAGATGTTACAATGTTGAACTTAACAACAAATTGTTAAAATTTGGTACAGTATACCTTAAATTAACAAAGTAACTATAGTTGCGTACTACACATATAAGATCTTGGATATTTAGCCAAATTTCAATATACCTGGTGTTTGCCCATCATGATCACTCATGATTACAAAGCATACCCATGTTTTAGTTTCTTTAATTTTTAATCAACCCGATATTGTTTTTTCTATTTTGCAGAACATTTTTTAGATACATAAATATTGTTAATGCAAGAAATTTACTGCAGAATGAACACTGAGTAAAATACTTGTGTTTAGATGTAATGATTCATGGGATTGTATCTATAATCTTAATACGATGTACTTAAACAGCCGTTAAACGGTAGCCTATTAAAATGCCGTTAATAGATATTGTGACGTCGTTCATGTCGGCGGAAAGTAATGCCTAGCCTTATTAGTCCTTATAAAATTTCTATATTTGATAAAGCCGTAAGTGCGTCACATCAACGACGTCATACCTATTAACGGCATTTTAGTAAGCTACCGTTTAACGGCAGTCTAAGTACAGCCATCTTAATATACAGGTTTATTCATCACATACGACACGGAGTATGGTAGCTAAACGATGAGATTTTTACAAATTGTAAGTTTTGGGTTCGTTGAAGGATTATTAGAGCTACAATTTAAAAATATTTTTAGAAGTGTCCCAAATAAATAAAAAATATCAAAGTTGTATTTTTTAAATGGAACACCCTGTATATTATTACATTTTTAGTTTCTACAATTAAAATAAAGGTAAAAATTTGATTAAGGTTTATTACACTTAAAACCTTACCGCTTTTGAAATATTTTCAATTTTGTGAAATTGCAGTAAAAATTAAGGCTTTATTTCTCCAAGGTTATCAGAGTTTTTAATACTAAATATTTACCAAAGTTTATTTATTGATCAGTTATTGTGTTGCAATAATAAAAATAATACTACCTTATACAGAGTGTCTAAAAATTTATTTTAAATAATTTTTAGTTTTAAACTTTTTTTGTTTAATTTAAATGGAACACCCTGTATATTTTATGAGAATCAGATGCACAATTTAATTGTCTATCGAATTGTATTATACCATTTTTTACCTATCTGTTTAAGTTTCCGTAAATTTTTATAACATTTAATATAATTAACATTATCTATAACGACGATATAATATATCTATAATATATAGTAACATGTTCTTATAATTTAAGGCAACGGCCCAGCTATGTCGAAACACCGGTTCCCATTAGAACACCGAAGTTAAGCGATGTAAGGCGATGCTAGTGGATGGACGGGTGACCGGTTCGAAACTCTGTATTGTGCTGTTGTCACACACTGATCATTCACGCCGGTTTGAGGCCGGATGAGATCGGATATCTCGTGAGTAAGAGTCGATTTAGACACTTTCCAAGTCGGTAGGCGATTGATCACGATATGGCCCAGGACCGCGGTTCGGATTCCGCGTAAACAAAGTAGGCCCCGTCCAGATTATCCCTGGCAGCAAAAAGGAGACGTTAACTGAAATCTTTACTTTTCTTATAATTTAGAACTTATTTATCAATATACCCATGGAATATTGACATTTTAGATTATTTTTAAAGATGTACCAAATTTTTAAAGAGTACAGATAAACTAATATTGTCGATATAATTCGTTTATTTCATTAAAAAATAAAAAAAAACTTTAAATATTTGTTAAAGAGGCCAATTAATATAATTCCAGTATTCAAACTACATTAACTGACTGTTTGCGTTGTTTAATAATAATTGCCCCAAATACTAAAAAACTGAGTTTTGTATATGTATTAGACAGTGTGGTAAAAAGTAACACCTTAAAAATGATATTTCATTTTTTAATAAATGCTTATTTATAACAACAGAGACGTTCATTTTCATAACTTATTATTATATTGATTTCTGATTCAAATCCACATTTATTTAGAAAAATTTATTAATGAACACAATTAAGTATGTAATTAATTAGTATTTGGGCGGAAATAATGGTGTTACATTTAATTAATGGTATACTCTTTTATAAAGATTTAAATAGTTTCTTTTTTGCATACAAATGGGCTAATAATATTATCGCTTTGCTAAAAACGATAATATTACTAGCCTGTACATTTTGTACATTTGTTGCTTTAAAAACAATCTAAAATGTCAATATTCCATGGGTATATTGATATATGAGGTCTAAATTATAAGAAAATGCATTTTCTACGAAAACTTGAAGGGATAGGTAAAAAATGGTATAATATAATTTGATAGACAATTAAATTGTGCATCTGATTCTCCTAAATATACAGGGCGTTTTATTTAAATTAAAGAAATTATTGGCGTTTAAAGCTAGAAATTATTTAAAATAATTTTTTAGGCACTCTGTATGAGGTAGTATTATTTTTATTATTGCAACACAATAACTGATTAATAAATAAACTTCAGTAAATATTTAGTATTAAAAACTTTGATACCCTTGGAGAAATGAAGCTTTAAATTTTTTACTGCAATTTCACAAAATTGAAAATATTTTAAAAACGGTAAGGTTTAAGTGTAATAAATCTTAATGTATTAATATACAGGGTGTTCCATTTAAAAAAATACAACTTTGATATTTTTTATTTATTTGGGACACTCTGTACTTTGTAAAAATATTTTTAAATTGTAGCTCTAATAGTCCTTCAACGAACCCAAAACTTACAATTTGCAAAAATCCAATCGTATAGCCACAATACTCCGTGTTGTATGTGGTGAACAACCCTGTATAATATAAATTTTCTTGTATTAACGATTACCGAATAAGTTCATCTTGAATTATTTTTTAGAGTTGTATTTACTTAATATATTTAATCATACTTAATATATTTACTTAATATTCTTAATATATTCATCCGCTGATGAATCCAGAGTGCATCGTCTTCGTGGCATACTGCGGTGACTCATGCATATCTGCTTATAAACGAAATACCTCCAATGTGCATAGTCTGTGATGTTGAGTTGACAGTAACTCACATTATATGTGAATGCCCTCAATATACGGTAAAAAGAAATAGATTCGATATACGTGGTGAAATTCGTGAAAAATTAATTGAAGAAAAAATTTAAAATATTTTGAAATTTATAAAAGATATTAATATATACCACCAACTGTGATACTCGCCTTGTGATACTCTAATCCAACTGTGATACTGTGATGTAAATAATTACCTATTTTTCTTGTTTGTTTTAATACCTAACCTAACCTACGTGATATTTCTTTATGCGAAGGTCACGAATCTAATCATATCTTTTTTCAAATGGGCCTCAATCATCACCACGTTCTAGGTGTTATAAATGTACCTGTCCCTGATCGCTGCGGTAGAAGACAAGAGTATCTCGAGCATCGCGCGGGGTCGATACGTTAGTGTTTTCGTATAGTCCGAATAAAATAGACATTTTGTCATATAAGTATTAGTTTTAAGTTGTAAATAGGGTTAAATAGTTTTTAGTGTTCTCTTGTGTTAATAAACTTAATTAGTTGAATTAGACTTTTGATTATCCACACCGAATCAAGCCAAAACGTAACAATATGACTTTGTTCTTACTAAAGGTGTCAGAATTAAGGATGGGGTTTTTCCCCATATACATATAAGTATAGTAAACGCCACGAATGTTTGGGAGTGATTTATCGCTTGATGAAGTTAGAATCGACACGCGCGCTATCATTTTTGCTTTAAAAACGTAAATTTTTACCGCAGACGTAGGTTTTTAAAGGCCCGGTCTAATCATCTACCTGCGCTCCTCCTACTTATTGTAAAATGTTAGCATGATTGACAAAGACCATATTATATCGCGTTTCTTTGATTGATTCGTTTTTGTGCGTCAGTCCATTGGTGTGCTTGCAGTGCGACCAATGGGGCATTCCATTTTATATTTATAATCAAATATATGTTTTGACAAGACTTTGACAGTTAAAACAACAGATTATATATTGATTATTATATTACTTGAAACACCACGGCACTGGAATTAAGTTTTATGTGACCTTGAACAGATTAGTTCACATGGTAGCGACCGATGAATCACTCCCAAACATTCGTGGCGTTTACTTTACCTGTGTAAGTACTGTTGTATTCTGTGTAAATAGTATGATAGCATTTCCATTAGTATCGGTTATTGATAATTATACAGAGTGGTCCGAACTGTATTCCGGAAACTTCAGCAGCATATTCTGCAAATAAAAATAAGTAAAAAAGTTTATGTATCCTAAAATGCCTAGTTTTGAAGATACAGGGTCTAGAAGCTTAATTTTTATTTCGATTATTTCCTAATAATTTCTGATGTGACGTCAATATTTGGACTGGGATTTTTTTGACATGAGAAATTTGATTTTAATGTCAGTAGTTTGACTGTTATTTGTCGAGGGCGTCACCTACATGTGTTAACTGTTTTGAAGAGTAATCACGTTTCGTCCATGAACCTGTACCTCCAAAACTAAGCATTTTAGAACATACATTTATACGAACTTTTTTACTTATTTTTATTTGCAAAATATGCTGCCGAAGTTTCCGGAATACAGTTCGGACCACCCTGTATAAATACACCTGTCATTATTAACATCAGCAAAACTCACCTCTTTATGAGCACTTAAGGGACATAAAGGGCAATTATTACCGACATTATTATTATTTATTATTTAAAAATCCTATATAGGCCAGTAAGCGAGGATAAAAATAGGGTATTACCTCCGAATTCTTGACACCCGCATCGATTGACGTGAAATTTTAACAGTGAATAGAGATATATGTAAGAAAAAATAAAACTATCAATTTGTAGGAAATTACACCAGCTACAAATTAACCTCGATAGTTGAACACTCTTGAACTCTTTATTTTCACGAGATTTTTGGGTTTTAAGGGCTCAAGAAGGTGGTCCTTACATGTAAGTCAAACTAAAAAAAAACGTAATATCTACGAAATAAAAAAGAGATCTATAGAAAAATTAAAAGGGAGCAAACATATTACAAAAAAAAAGACCTTCAATTTTCCTCTGCTGCATTTTTTACGTATCTTGCTTAGTTTTTGAGATATGTAAAAAAAATTAATATTTTTTATAAAACAAAAAATAATTTTTTTTCATTATTTTCAACATTTTTCCAAATTTAGGCATTCTAAACCGCTTGAACTTGCAGGGTCAATTGCTAGGACCTAAATATAGCCAATTGTACATGTATTACGCTTAGTTTTATTTTTATGATTTTAGTCATAGATTTTGTTGTTAATTTTTTTCCGAAATAATGAGGTAACCATATTATTTTTATCATAACTCCGCGAGTTTTTAAGCTACGAACTTTTAAGAAAGCACTTAAAAGGTCTTTTCATGCACTTTAAAAACGGTCATATTCATTTTCTTCGAAAAATGTGTTCTTTCGCCATTATTTTACGGTAAAAGGTTGCAATTTAGTTTTCGAAAAATAAAAAATCACGTATACATAATGATAACTCGGCTATTATTACACCTACGGTAATCATCAAAAAATGGATCGTTTAGTTATTCTAAAAGCTTCATTTTTGCTTTATATGAATTTTGCGATAAAACGCAAGGTTTTCGAGTTATTTATAAAAATTGGCAAAAAAATATGCACTTTTTAGATGAATTAAATAACTAGGAAAATATTAATTTTCTGAAAAAATGTTATAGAACATTTTTTGCTTAGAATTCATCCCTTTATTGATTTTTGTAATTAAAATGAGTGACTTATTTTCCACCCCCGAGAAGGGGTGGTACTCACCCCCAGGGCGAAAGCACACATCGCTACTATGTAATTTTTGTTTCTTACATATATCTTTATTGACTGTTACAATTTCACGTCAATCGGTGCAGGTGTTCAGAATTCGGACCCTAAAACCCTCGCTTACTGGCCTAATAAATTTTTTATTTTACTTTTTACGGTACCTCGTATATTTTACCTAATAATCGACCGTTTCCATACATAACAGCGACCCTGATGTATAGTTCTTCCAATTATCTGTTTGTTCTTATTCTATATTGCTGTGTGGCGTTGTCCTTTACTGGTCCGTATATCCCTCTAAGAATTCTTCTTTCTACTAGTTTTAGTCTGTTTTCATTTTGTTTCGTCATCGTCCATGTTTCACTTGCATAAAATTTTAAATGGCAACCCCTATTTCTTTTACCATTTTTGTGTTCCTTATAAAATTCTTAAAAAAATAATGTAGTTTATGTAGAATTATAAGAAACACAAAAATGGTAAAAAGAAAGAGGGGTTGCTATTTAAAATTTTAGGTAGGTGCATGGGGGTCAAGGGGTTGAAAGTAACACGACAACAAATGCCTCAAAAATTGTCCCCCTTGATATGTAAATTGACTGTTTCGTCAAATTTTCATACTATCATCGGTAGAGGCAATATTAAATACTGTTCGTTTTCAAATTGTCACCCTGTATACTATGCCTGAAGGGCTTAATGAATTAAAGTGAATTTAAATTATATAAATATAAAATTAAATGATCTGGCATTTGTATCCGCTCTGGTCACAAGCTGGTTGTGGTGAACTGCTACTGGAACTGGATTGTGGTATAAGATGTTTCTGAACAGGCAGGATCGAAAATTTAGATGGTTTCAGGAGATTGCTTCGTTATTCCCGGTGTGAAATGTAGGTACAAACGTGGACGAAATAATGTCAGGTACAAAAAAGACAAAATGGCACCAGAAAATGCTACCATAAAATAAAATGCGTACTATAAAATAAAACCCTATACAAAGAAAAAAAAGGTATTAGGAACGTTACTTAACGTTACGTTTAAAAAAGAGTCTTACCTCTGCTCAGAGGGTTTTCCCAAACAAAATTGGCAAAATGCCAACAAACGCCGCGCCGATATCGGGTTCAGTTGGGGTTCAGGCTTTGGCCACCAATATGGCGATGAAGGTAGGCACGAGGTATGTCTATACCTATAACGTCAGAAATAAAGTGACGAACGAACTTCGACCGGATTCAAAAATCTCGCCAGGAATAAACTTGAAGAAAAAAAATAATAGATAATAACAATACTTAGAACGCCATCTCGGTGCGAGGACTTAAACTTGAATTATTTAAATAAAATAATTCTGTACATTTATATTAATTATGTGAATTTTAAATAAAACGCGACAATGGGTTTTATAACTGCTTATAGATTATTATTTTCGTACGGTGGGATACGTTTTTCGATTTCATTATTGTGTGATGTGAAAACAAGCAGCGATTTCGTCCTGGTATTCTGTTGTTAATCTCTTGTGTTATGTTGTTATCAGAGGTGATCGTAGCTCCCAAATATTTGAAATTTTGAAAGAGTTCGCCACCTGAGTCGCCAGCAGGAAATTTAAATTCCAGTTAGTCAGCCCAGCGACATATGGACATATTCGGATTTGGGTCCATCGTTGGCAACAATGAATTTAATTTTCGCGCCCTCGATGACGTAACTAAAAGTTTATTTGGTATCGAATATAGTTGCGGTTGGACTATACACAATTATTATTAATAGTACGTATTAACGTATGTTGAATGTTGTGTTGAATGTAATTAGGTAAATATATAAACACGCGTTTTGAATTATTTAATGATAATATAAATTAATGCATACAAATCATAAGTTACATATTAATAATTAAGGGACTTATACAGGGTGTCCCACTTAAGATGGATACAAGCTAATATCTTGGTTGTTTGTTGAGCGATCGTTTTCATTTTTGGCAGGAGGCTGTATGGCTATAAGACGTAAATTTTGCCCAGGGTAAGAAATGCGATACCTCATAGACGTACGTTTTAATGGGTTTTGATATTTTTCGAGTCAAGAGTAAACTACCCTTAGGACAGTATTTATTTCAAATCTGATAAATTACATTAAATCCTCCTTACCTAAGATACTTAAGTTCTAATTTTTATAAATATTGATAGAGGGGGTGTCATTAAAATAAGACATTTTTATTTTTTTTATTATTTTTTTAAGTACTTACGACGCCACTGGGTAAACAACTGGTTTATTATCAATAACCAATTATACCCAATTATCAATTAATAATCGATTTAAGTTTGAAGATGGTTGAAGATGGTCGAAGATGTTGACTTTTAGTTCGTTATAGTTTTATATATCTTTGTTTATACGTCGTACAAAATAAAAACCGTTGCGGGCTATCGATTAGGCTAATAAATGTGTGCAGTGCTACCACTACACAAATATGACCCTTATGGGACGTTTTCAATGAGTTTTAAATCTCCCACTCGATATTGTGTTGGCAACGGCGAGGAAGCGGTTGCAGCGGTGCAACGTTTATTTGACATTTGCCAGAATTTTCTGAACGTTAGTTTGAGAGCTGTGTCTCGTGTATATTGTATCTTTCAAAACCTTTACCAAACCAAAACCTTTATCTATCGATCGAAAACTGTTGTTTTCAGAATATTTTGTGTAGTAGTTGTTAGTTTTTTCTTTGAAAAATGCCTAAGCAGTTAAATAGGCGGTGCCAAGAATTAGTGTCATCTCTGATACAACATTTTGAGAAAGAAAGGGACAATAACGGCCCGTTATATTATAATAAAGTATATTAAAGTAGACCAGTGAAGTGATTTTTTTTTTATTTTGTGAAACAAAACCTACTAATCTTCTATGGAAAATACTTATTAATTCTTGAAATATTTCAAAAAGTTGCCTATATATTTTATATTTTTTTTATTTAACTCTTAGTTAACTCTTTATAATAGATAATATTTTGAATTGGCCGAAACCCAAACTGTTATTAATTGAACAAAATGTTTAAAACAATGTTTTTAAGACACCATCACTTGTTTTAAATATTTGTTTAAAACAGAGTATTAAATAGGTTTGGTATGTAGGTGTTTATTTCAATAAAAAATGAGAAAAACTCTTTCAAAATAAAAGAACAACTATAATACAAATGGAATAAAAAACATAGTAATCAGCTCAACTTAATATTGTCTAAATAAACTGTTAATTCTGTACTACTACTTGGAGGAGCACCATTAAGGTTTCTAAAATCCATTTAAGTTTTGTCCTTTGGCTTTATCATTACTCAATATTATATGGTTTAAATCAGAGTATAAAAGTGTTGTAAACATATTTTCAACTTTCTATTTACAATGTTCTTTAAAACCATAAAAATTTGTTTTAAACAATAAAAAAAACATCTTTTGTTTAAAAACATTTTTTTTCAGCGCTGCTTGAAACTATTTAAAACTGTTAACAATTTAAAGTTTATTTTAGAATTTTTAATAGATATTTAAATTAGATATAGTAAATTTTTCAAAAATATTTCTCTTCCGATTACAATCTGGCAACAATGCTGTCTAGAATCAACGCACGTGCTCGATGACATGCAACGGTTTTTATTTTGTACGACGTTTAGAGCATATTTTCAAAGTTAATAGTGATTGTTTTAAATAACTATTTGGATTTTTTAAAATATTCCCCAATAAAACGAATAAAAATCACATTTCAGATTCCATTGAAAACTGGGTTTTTAAATTATTTTGTAACTCATTTTATTCTTTTGTATTAGCAAACTTAAAAACGAAATAAATTGAAAATATTTACTTTTTGTATCGTATCTTAATTATTATGGAAGCTATCTGAAAACTTAAATCGATTATGTATTGATAATTGGTTATTGATAATAAACCAGTTGTTTATCCAGTGGCGTCGTAAGTACTTAAAAAAATAATAATAAAAATAAAAATGTCTTATTTTAATAACACACCCTGTATCAATATTTATCAAAATTAGAACTTAAGTATCTTAGGTAAGGAGGATTCAATGTAATTTATCAGATTTGAAATAAATACTGTCCTAAGGGTAGTTTACTCTTGACTCGAAAAATATCAAACCCCATTAAAACGTACGTCTATGAGGTATCGCATATCTTACCCAGGGCAAAATGTACGTCTTATAGCCATACAGCCTCCCGCCAAAAATGAAAAAGATCTCTCAACAAACAATCAAGATATTGGCTTGTATCCATCTTAAGTGGGACACCCTGTAGATATATTAATTGAATTGAAGTGTTTACGACGGGGGTTACACTTTTTGTTTCGATTAAACTTTTCGAGTTTCCAATTTTCTTCGATACAAACGTTAGTGTTGATTACTTATAGAATTATTGTAACTCTATAACAGAAAAAAAAACATTTAAGTATAACAGATACAATATAATATTTTACCATAGCAACCCATACCTCTTCAGCAATGCCTATTAGATTTTCTGCCATAGTTCGACCAGTTTGTTGTACTAATTCGTAGAAAACTCCATTTTCTGTATTTTGTAACAATTCATGAGGATGTCCAAATTCAACCATTCTACCAGCATCCATCACGAGCACCTTGACTGAGTCTATTATAGTGTGCAATCTATGAGCGATAGTTAGCACGGTACAACTGGAGAACTTTCTTCTAATTGTCGTTTGAATCAACGCGTCGGTGTAAGGATCTACGTTTGCTGTTGCTTCGTCGAGAACTAGGATTTTGTTTTTTCGGACTATTGCACGGGCCAGACATACTAGTTGCCTCTGGCCAACACTGAAGTTGCTTCCGCCTTCACACATCTTACTTTCTAACCCTTGAGGTAAGTCGGTAACGACTGTTTTTAGTTCGACTTCCTCTAAAGCATTCCAAATCGACTAAAACAATAAAAGAATAAAATTTCTTGTAGTACAGGGTGGCGTCTTTCATACGATGCGGAGGCTCCAAGGAGAACGGTAGTTTATATAGAAATGAAATTTTGGCAGCACATGTAGGTTAACTGAAAGCATTTTATAAAAATATATAGAGTTATACAGGATGTCTCCAAAAAAAGTTACATATCAAAGTTGTGTTTTTTGTAATGCAACACCCTATATATTAATTGATTTTCGGATTCTAAGAAAAAAATAAAGGTGAGTTTTATTAAAAAAGCATATACCTAAAATGTAAGGATTTTGAAATATTTTACATTTCGTGAAAATGAAAAGTAAATTTTAAATTTCAATAACAGCTACCTAAATTTTAGTTGACCAAATCAAATTAAAATTTGACCCAAAAAGTTATACAGGGTGGGACAAAATTAATATGGAATATAAATTAGTCACTTTTAAAAGCAAGTTACTCTTTTATTTTAAATGGAACAACCAGTATATTATTCCGGTGTTCAATGATGAATTCATATATCTTCAAAATATTATCAATGTTGCCTACCACTCAGACAAAGATTTTCCTAGATATTCTTTTTTAATTTTTATGATTTTGCGTCAGTAGATCTTTATTATTTGAAAAAATCTAGGGGTGGCTGTGATATATTTTTTGTTAATTTGACAAAAATTAAAGGATTCAGAGTAAAATACTGAACGGTAATAAAATATACACGTTTAAAACATATTTTAATTATTACAGAATTAAAAAGTAGATATAAACTTATAATTATGTGACAAAAATTAGCTAGGTGAAATCAAATGCTCAAAATGCTTCTTTTCTGTTAACTGCATAAAATGATTGTCTTTTTAAACGATCTTTTCATTTAAAAATGCATATGTGGAGTTCTACTTTGAAAAGCAGCTACAATCATGTTGTCGACATTAGTTGGCCCAGTTTTGTAAACACTGTCTTTAAGATATCCATATAAAAAAACCCAAACTAGATAAAATCAGGAGAACTTAAGTATTCTATTAATTCTTTCTGATGTAGGATAAGTTTACAATTTCGGCAAATTTCTGAGAATTTTTTTTGTTTTAACTGACACAACATGATAACTAGTTGTTAAAGCTGGACTAAAATTAGATAGCTATGTTAAAGTAACGTCAGACATACCACAGCCACCTATATTTTATCAAATAAAGATCTACTGATACCACACACTTGTCGTTATGAACCGCATGTTACAATTTCAAATAAACCATATGCGAAAATGTCAAAAGTTGACATATGATATGTCATTCTATTCAGAGTGTCATGTTCTATCAAATAAAGTAAAAAAAAATACCGAGGGTGCCATTTAAAAATCAAAAGTTGTAGTCATTTCCGGTGAAACCAGAAGTGGTCAAAAATAATAATTGAATATGTCATTTAATCCTAATTTATGTCATGACATACCAAATCTTGCTGTTTTATCTGAAAAAATAAAAAAAGCTATAGGGGTGAGCCACTTTTGAGACGCACCCGGTATATAAAATTTTAAGGTGTCCGTTTTTCGTGCCAGTATGTTGATATGAAAAATAAATCTTATTTTTACGTGAGTAATCTCCTCATGAGAGATGGCAAATGTTTTTTTTTGAACACCCTGTATAGTAAAATAGGAGTAACAAAAGGGCAATCGTAAGTAAATAATATAGCTGCTTACTTCATCAGTGTATTCGTCAAATGGATCTAAGTTTTTCCTTAGTGTTCCCGAAAACAACACCGGTTCTTGAGGTATAATAGAAATAGCCGATCTCAGACGATTAAGAGAAATAGTAGCCGTATCTATATCGTCTATAACTATTTTTCCTTCGTTAATAGCTAATCTGAACAGAGCCATAATAATAGACGACTTTCCTGCTCCGGTTCGCCCCACAATACCAACTTTCTCTGAACTCTGGATACGAAATGTTAAATCTTTGAGAACCGGCGCTTCACCGGCTACGTATCTTAAATTCAAGTGTTCGAATGTAATGTCTCCTTTCTCAGGCCACGATTTTGCAGGGTCTCGTCTTTTTTCGTCGCGTTCCGGAACTACGTCAGCATATTCCTTTATTCTTTCCACACAAGTCATAGTGTTCTCAAGTTCGCTCCATTGTTTCATTCCCCATTGGAACATTCCTGTTAAGTTTAGGGATTGGGAGATCGCCAGACCCACGCTACCTCCAAAGGTCTCTAAAAACAAAACATAAAAAATAAATATCAGGATGTTCCTTAATGACATGCTGATTAGTGATGAGCAAATGATCAAGACTTGATCGCCTGGTGTTCATCCAACCATTACTCGTAACGATTTTTACAAGAGACCTTTTTTACGTAAAAAATGGCGGAAATGTACATTTTTTCGCTCAGTAGTGTAATATAGGTACGGACGAAAAGTTATTATCATAGATTTAGTAAGAACAGATATCACATTGTGCATTTTAACCCGATCAAACAACCGGAGGTTGACTACGTACCGTAAAAACCAACTGAGATAGAGAAGGCGACATTGCCACATCTCAAATTTGCGCCTGTCTACTTAGTTTGATTTGCAGAAAAGGTGACTTTAAAACCTTCACCGGATATCAATAAATCTCAATTTCTTAATTAAATTAATAGTTTATTTTTAAAGAAGCATGTGTAATAATATGTTATTAACCAGAGGATATATGCGTTACTATTAAAAGACATGTTTACTGTTTAATGTGATGAAACGTCTAGAACTATTGGCAACGTCGCGCTAGTCTTCCAGAATGAAATGAGCCGTCCGTCCCACCACCCCTCGCGACGGCTCTTGGTCCGTTATAGCGTACTATGTTTAGCTTACGGTGTGTTTGAAGTCGGAATCAAGTCCGAAGTGAACTTTTCAATGTTTTTCAGTAGTTTTTGTTTTTGTTTTTGTTTAACGTACTTTTGAATCTGCGAATTTTCAATATGGTAGGACAGTGTCAAATGCGTGGAAAAATAAGCTCAAATTACCCGAATTTGTCTTTTCATAGGTAGGTATTGTTTCCACCGTAATCGTACATAGGCGTTCCACAAGGGAGCCTCTCACAATTAAAATAATTTCTAATTATATTTGTTGAATTTTGATCTATTAAAACAAGAACGTAGTAGCCGGTAATTGAATTATAATTCGTCTCAATTACTACCTAACTGTTGTAGATCATAACAAATTTGAATATAAACGTTGCATATTTGAAACTTTATTATAATTGATTATAAGCCAGAAAGTGACATTTTTTTAAATTGCGTCATATTTTGGTCATTATATACGATATTCTAAAGGAATTTTGCTCAACAAATAAACAAAGGAGTTTACCCGACCTTTTTTTTACATTTTATTGCTTTATTATGTCTTATATCTGCCCCTTCGGTCTTGTTTAGACAAGTTTTTACCACCGTACAATACAAATACCTCTTCCTAGAGTTATTTGTATGGTGCGTTTACCTTTTTTTAGAATGGGACGAACTGTAAATAATTCTTAGGCTACTAGTTTTATACATATCTATATACAGAGTGACCCAGGCCTCCAAAAAAACTTTTTACCTATTACGTTTTTGGTTTATGATTTTTATTTCAATCTTTACATAAGATCGGAACCATCGTAACGCACATTTTCAAAATATTTTTGTCAACATACAGGGTGATTCAAACCGCAATACATATGCTTAATACAGTTCATGAAGATTGGGACGTTTAACTAAAATTTGAATGTCTGATTAAGTTACCTAAGTAATGGATTTGTAAATAAACGTAATATTCATTATTATGCGACAGAAATCCCATAGTGTAGCACACAGATTTGATACTTTTAGTGATAAATGCCCTCTATTGAGAGACTAAAATGTAATTGCCTTGTATCAGAGCCATCATAATACGAGAACAAGACCGAAAGTCAAATCTTGTCTTATATTTTCAAAAAAACACAATTTTCTCATTAAAATAAATATTGATTTTAGGTATAGGAAGTTATTAATAATACAAGATTAAACAACTACTACTAAATCGTTACTAATTACTAATTTTGAAAATTTCTTTTCAAGATCAAAAAAGGTAAAACTAAAACCTAAACTATCATTTGAGATTAAACGGGAAGTTCTAAACAAGAAAAATTTATTTATAAGTTTTATAACATATCTAATTAAATTTGGACGAAAAGAATATTTCTGTTTGCTGTAGGTAATTGTCTCAGGGAAAATACGTAAACAAAAATGACTTTTTAAGTCAAAAAAAGTCAAAAGGACAAGTTATTCCAAAAAAGGACAGGTGGTAACCCTAGGTATTTCTGGAATGGAAATTTAATGGCAAATCTACAACTTTAGTTTGAAAATATGTTCCGGCCACCTATGATTACAAAAATGTCTAAAATGTGCTTTACCATTGCCTCCATGTTCTAAAAAAATTGAAAGAAAAGTCACCAACCACAAACCTAATATAGAACTGTTTCGGAAGCCTGAGTCACCCTGTAAATATTCAAAAGTAACTGAAAGTTTATATAGAAGTAACTGAAAGTTTAAATTGAATATCGACGTTGCTGGAGCGATTTTCGAAAACTACCTACTAACGTTTCAACATAAGTATATGTGGGATATTAATTATATTATTATATTAGACCTTATAACAAAACTCATCTAACGAAAAAGTGTTAATGTAGTATATTAATATGGAGTAAAAATTTGACTAATTACTTTACTTTTACTTTACTAATTAAATTCGTTCCAAAAAACGATACGCCACTGGCCATTAGAACAATCCAAATGCTTGCCGGGGTCGGAAATTTTAGACTTCTCTGTCTCTTGTGTCCTTGTTTGACACATTGGAATGTTTGATACACTACCAACGAGTATTTATGAATGAGATGTTCGGTCTATCTTTATAATGTCTTTGGTTATTACCCTTCAAACCAGTTCAAAATATACAGGGTGCTACAAATTCGGGGTACGAGCCTTGGTATCTCGGTAACTGTAATAGATACGAACATGGTTAAATTGGGGCAAAGTTGCGCTTTGGGATGTTCACCAAGATGCCATCAAAAAAGTTTTCAAAATTTCATGTAGTGCTGAGTTTTTTGGAAAAACCGGATTTTTTTAAATCGATCTTGTTTTTTCCTATCGTTACTTTTTAGAAAATCAAAAAACTAATTGCACATTCTCATATCTACTTTATTAGGACTGATGAATTTGTTTATTATTATTTTAAACATAAAATAATAATAAAAAAGCAGATCCGTATTTAAAAAAAAATAAGTTAGCCTCTGTATCTGACAAATTATCAGCTAATTTGAAAATCTAAAAATACCATATCAGTCCTAATAAAGTATAGTATTAGTGTGGCATATCATTGTACTCAGGAGACATAATAATGTCTCCTGAGTACAATGATATGCCACACAATTTTTTTTTGTTTCGAACATTTAAATATTTAGTCTATTCATCGTTACAATATTGATTAAATTAGCTTTTAAACTTAATAAGGACGTGGGGTAAAATACTGAACGGAAAATCATATAATAAAAAATATGTAATATATTTATGTATAATAGTAAAATCAATAAAATAATAAAAAATAATATAATACAGGGTGGCGCCTCTCATACGCCGCGGAAGCTCCAAGGAGAACGGTAGTCTATATCGAAATGAAATTTTGGCAGCATATGTAGGTTAACTGAAAGCATAAAAAAATATATAGTATTATACAGGGTGTCCCCCCAAAAAAGTTACACATCAAAGTTGTGTTTTTTCTAATGGAACACCCTATATATTAATTGATTTTCGGATTCTAGAAAAAAAAATAAAGGTGAGTTTTATTAATGAAGCATATATCTAAAATCTAAGGATTTTGACATATTTCACATTTTGTGAAAAATGAAGAGTAAATTGTAAATTTCGATAACAGCTACCTAAATTTTAGTTGACCTTGTATAATCTGATATTTAATTACAGTAACCATTGTATGTTAAACCAAATTGAAATTTGACTCGAAAAGTTATACAGAGTGAGACAAAATCAATATAGAACATTAGTTACTTTTAAAAGCAAGTTACTCCTTTATTTTAAATGGAACGCCCATTATATTATTTCAGTGTTCAATGGGGAATTTATATATCTTCAAAATTTTATTAAGGTTGCCTACCCCTCAGACAAAGATATTTAGATTCCTAGATATTTTAATGTTTAGGATTAAAATCTAGGTGGCTGTGATATACCTTTTGTTAATTTAACAAAAATTAAATAATGTAGAGTAAAATACACAACGGTAAAAAAAGATACATGTTTAAAACATATTTTAATTATTACACAATTAAAACTAGATATAAATCTATAATTATGTGATAAAAATTAGCTAGATGAAATCAAATGCTCAAAATGCTTCCTTTCCTGTTAACTGCATAAAATGATTGTCTTTTTAAAGGATATTTTCATTTTAAAAGGCTAATGTAGAGTTCTACCTCGAAAAGCAGCTACAATAATTTCTCTCATGTTGTCGACAATAGTTGGTCGAGTTTTTTATACACTGTCTTTAACATATCCCCATAAAAAAAACCAGACTAGATAAAATCAGGAGCATTTAAGTATTCTATTAATTGGTGAATGCCTCGGTGAATGCACACTGCATTCACCAACTAATAGAATCTTATCATTCTCTCTGATGTAAAATAAATTTGCATTTTCGCCAAATTTCTTAGAATTTATTTTTTTATTTTAACTGACACAAAATGATATTGTAACTAGTTGTTAAAGTTGGACTAATTAGACAGCTATGTTGAAGTAACGTCAGACACAATAGATCTATAAGGTCGCGGTGATTAACTCCCCTTCTAAACATTCTACATTCTACAACGTTAGACATATCACAACTACCCTAGATTTTATCAAATAATAAAGATCTACCCAGATCATATCATGTAAATGAAAATATCTAGGAAAATCTTTGTTTAAGGGGTACACAACCTTAATAGTATTTTGAAGAGACATGAATTCTCCATTGAATATCGGAATAATATACTGGGTGTTCTATTTAAAATAAAAAAGTAACATGCTTTTAAAGGTGACCAATGTTCAATATTAATTTTGTCTCACCCTGTATAACTTTTTGGATCAAGTTTTAGTTTGATTTAAAGTACAATATTTAATTTAACTACATATTAGGCTATGCCGGGTAAACTCCAATTTATGTAGCTTTTATTGTAATTTAAAAATTGCTCTTTATTTCTAGAAAATGTTAAATATGTCAAAAACCTTACATTTTAGTCATATAGTTCTCTTAAAAAACTCACCTTAATTTTTCTCCCAGAATCCGAAAATCAATTAATATATAGGGTGTTCCATTACAAAAAACACAACTTTGATATGTAACTTTTTTTGCGGCCACCCTAGAACTCTATATTTTTAAAAAGTGCTCTGAATTAATCTACATATGCTCACACAATTTTATTTCAATACAAACTGTCGTTTTCCTTGGAGCCTCCGCGACGTATGAGAGGCGCCACCTTATATAAACAATCAAATCATTACCCTGGAATATGAATTGGAAATGGTGGAGCAGTATAATGGCCAGCGAGGTTCCAGGAACTGTCGCCAAGGGGCTTTACTTGACGACAACTTGATCGGTTTTGGTCTTGCAGATAAGCTGCGAGTCTTGGTCTTGGTCTTGTTTTTTGTGCAAGACCAAAACCAAGTCCAGTCTCTTGCCCATCACTAGTTCATTTAATTACTTAAAATAATAATGCATTTAAGTAAAGCACCTACCTGTATCAAAAAATAGAAAACTAAGTGTGACTAAAGCGATAAAAACCACACAGTGCATATCAAGCCAGAATCCAAACGCGCGATTAGCGCACAGGAACATGAAATAGGCCGAACTGTAGGAATTTTGGTAGTTGTCAAATTCAGTTTTTAGTATCTCCTGGGCACCAAATGCTCGAATAGTTGTTAAGCCTTGAAGTGATGCAGTCAAGTGGGAATAAACTGGGCTTCTTGCTAAAATACAGTCGATTTAAGTCAATTAAGTTTTGAATTGAGGTACATAATCGTAATACACATAATGTACCTAAATTCAACAAGTTCCGAATTAAGAAGTTTTGATTTTGAAATGTTAAACGAAAATTTTGTATTGTCCAGACTTGATATAAGTAATCTCTCATTTTATACATCTATAAATGCTAACTGGAAAACTAATGTCAAATATTATTAAGTATCACAGTTTCCGCAAAATGGCATCGTTAAATGAAACCAAATACATCGAAATTAATTAAATCGAATTGTTTAAGTGATATTTTCAATAGTCAATAATTCGAAAACGGTTGATTTGAGGTATATTGTGTGTATCCCGATTTTTGCTTAGAATTGAAAGAAGAACCGAAATATGGCAATAATATACAAGGGGTTCCATTTAAAAGAATGAAATGACCGACCCTGTATTCTTAAATTTATTACCCTCTCTCTCTCTCTCTCTCTTCAGTCCTGACCCCCATTAGGGAGTGTAGTGGTCAGCGTAACATCATGGATGATTTTTCTCCATGCGCCTCTGTCTTTTGTCATCTCGATGACATCGTGCATTGGCTTGCTACAGCTAGTCGTGATCTGGTCTATCCATCGATTTGGAGAGCGGCCACGTGGTCTACGTCCCTCCACCTTGCCTTGAATTATGAGTCTTTCCATATTGTCCGGACTTTTCCTCATTATATGTCCAAAATATTTTAGTTGTTTTAGTCGGATTTTACAGGAAAGCCTGTTAGTAATATTAAGTTCATTTATAATGGAAACGTTTGTACGGCGTTCAGTCCATGGGATACGGAGCATAAGTCTATAACAATACATCTCGGTAGCATCGATCTTCTTACGTTCCATTACCTGAGAGTCCACGATTCGCAGCCATACGTCAATATTGGGAGTATCAAACAGTTGACTAGCCGGTTTTTGGTGGCTCTTGAAATCTGGCGATCTTTCCAGATCTTGGTCAGTCTCCCAACAGCTACCTTTGCCATGTTGCACCTACGCTTCACCTCTTCTTCCGATGTGCCTGTATTTGTCAATAGTGATCCCCCCAGGTATACGTATGACTTAACGACTTCAAAGCGGTCGATATGACTTATATTTGGATGGTTGTTATGTTGCCTATCAACTATTATAATTTTGGTTTTTTGCGTATTTAGTTCCAGACCGAGCCGATTGCTTTCTTTTTCTACCCTATTTACTAAATTGATTAACTCTTCTTGATTGTTAGCGAGTAGTGCTGTATCATCTGCAAAGCGTAGATTATTTATTTTTTGGCCATTTATTGAAATGCCTCCTTCCCATGTTTCTAGCGACCTTCTCATTATGTATTCTCCGTATATGTTAAATAGTTGAGGAGACAATATACACCCCTGTCTGACTCCTTGTTCGAGAGAAAATTCCTTTGAAGCTGAATCCAGTATTCTAACTGATCCTGTAGTATGCTGATACAACTGAATGATAAGTGAAATAAGGTGTTGCGGTACCCCCACTTCCTGTAAGATTTTCCACAGGTGATGCCATCCGACTTTATCGAAAGCTTTTTTATAGTCTACGAAACAAATATAAAGAGAGATATTGAATTTCCTTGCTTTCTTTATGATTTGGCGCATATTCAGAAGATGTTCCCGAGTGCCCTTGGTGAAACCTGCTTGTTCTGCTGGAATTTCTCTTTCTAGAAAAGCTTTCAGTCTTTCATTTATAATTTGCAACATTACTTTACTGGCATGTGAGATGAGGGAAATTGTACGATAGTTGCTGCACTTATGTATGCTCCCATTCATGTGGAGAGTGACAATGGTGGAGTGTGTCCAGTCGTCGGGCCATTCTCCAGTGTGCCATATTTTATTACAGATCAGATGAAGCATTTCTAATCCAGGTTCTTTAACGGCTTTTATTATTTCTGCTGTCATTAGGTCTGAACCTGGTGCTTTATGGTATTTTAATTTATCTATGGCCAATTCAACTTCACTTTTAAGGATGTCCGGTTCTTTCTCTGAATTTTCGTGGTGGTCGACATAGTTATATTACTCACTGTCTTTGTATAAATCTTCGCAATATGATCTCCACACCTCAATAATTACCCGCTAATAGATATTTAAAAACTCTCTAACTTTTATACTTAATTTTTTGCGGTACCTCATATATTTTACCTAATAATCGACCGTTTCTATACATTACATCGACCCTGTATAGGCATAAAGCATAGTAAATAAGGCATAATAAAAGTTTTAGGCAAATGGTTATTTGGCTAGTCATTTGCTAAGTGCCGTGGCAAATAACAAAATGATTATAAAACATCTTTGTATTTTGCTATCTGCTTAGGTATATCCTATTTGCCAAATCGAAAACCAAATCCTATCTTTACAAAACTGAATAATTGAACCACGGGCAAAAATTCTTGAAAAAATACTCAGAATTCCTTCGTAAAATGAACCCACCCCAAAGTTTTAGATATTATTTATTTAACCGTTTTTTAAACGTAGGACTAGGACTAGGAACAATAGCAAAAGCATAGTTTTAATGAAAAATTACGAAAACATGTTAGTGTCTTTTTCAAAAGCGAATATTTTCAACAAAAATAAAGATATTGAAATAAACTAAAAACAGACTATCGCGGAAGGGTGTATCTAGATGATAAAGTTATTTTTAAATTTCTTGCTGTCTTAACATATTCCACAGGGTGTTCCAAACTTTCACCGAATTATCAATATTTTGTTTGCCCTCGTATAATTGACAGATATTATGAATTTTCATTTTTAATTTAGAAAAATATATTAAAATGTCAAATAATTTAGCTATAAATTGCTTAAAAAATCATTAAAATCGGCCCACTAGAACAAAATATATTAAACTTTAAAATACATGAAAATTTTAAGGTGCCGGTTTTTCGTGACGGTGAGTGTGTTATGCAAAAAAATGAAAGCTACTTACTGATTCCTTCTAGTCGTTTAATATCTCTACTGGTAGCTAAAAATACCACTCTCATAAAATAGAATATTGTCAGCATTATAATTGTTGGTAATAACATCCAAGGATTTACAGTAGTAACTACCGTTGTAATAGCAACAACAGTCAGCGATATCTGTAATAATAAAATTAAATAAAATTTCGTCCTGACTTTTTTTCAAATAACACTGGACTGCAAATTTTTTTTCGAACCCTGGTACCATTCCTGCTGATTTTAGCTTCCCCTTTCTTCTAGGCACCCCTTCTTTATTTTTATCATATTTTTACCACTTTTCAGTAAAAATAGGTAAAAAGGTCTTCCCCAAAAACGGGGGGTGATGGGGAGAAACAGGTCATATTTGGATTGAGGGGGTCATTTTATATAAGAATCGGCAAGAATGGTGTCAGGGCCGATTTTAATGCAGACCTATAATGTTATTTATGATATAAGTGCTAAAAGTGGTATTTTATTTTGCGAGAAGGGAAGCTTGTCTTGTTGAATTGAAGCCTTCGGCGTGTGTCCATTCATTCGAACAAAATAAAATCACTTTTAGCACACATTATCATACACTATTTTTTCTACAAACAAGTTTATGCTCGTATATATCAAGGTATTATTACTTTTTACGTTAATGAATAATTCATAATATGTCATTCTGAAATCAAATTAATTAGGTATGAAGTTTATGGTTGCTATGGTAATTGATTCGCTTCAGTGTTAAAAGTAAATTACTTTTACCATCAGTGACATAATGTCACATTTTAGGCACTGACAGCATGCGTTAAAAATTACATTTTTACTGACGTTTGTAGAAAAAACGATTTTTTATCATTCATTTCACTCTCTAAAAGTACACATAAAGTAATATAATTTAATTAAATTTATTTTTATTATAAAACTATTACTACTACTACTACTGCCATTACTCGCTGACGAGTATTTGACACGCATCAAAAGATGGTTACGCAAGGCGTTTCCTGTCATGAGCTTTTCTGTGACTGAAAAGCCGGCTACGTGATCTTATCTCTCTTCCGCACTCCGGACATTCAAAAATCTCATTACTTTGTTGCCTCTTTACTTTTTGGTTGTCGTTATTAACTGAAGTTACAATTCTCCTCCATTGCGTTCTATTGTGCGCTGCTTCCTCCCACTGATGCTGCATACTTATCCCCGTTAAGTTTTCATGAACAACATCCTTGTATCTTTTGAGTTGTCTACCCGGTTTCCTCTTACCCTCTACAAGTTCACCGTAAAGAAGAGATTTCGGTAGGCGGTTTTCTTGCATCCTGCATACGTGGCCAGCCCATCTTAAGCGAGATTTAGTAATCATGTCTTCAGCGCTCTCGCAGCTTGCTTTTTTAGTGACTGATACGTTTGAGACATGGTGGTACCATTTGATTCTTAAAAGTTGTCTAAGGTGTCTCTGTTGCAACTTGTTTAATGCGCTCGTGTGCCGGCGGTACGGCACCCAGGTTTCGCTTCCATATAACATGGTGGGGATTATTACTGCTCGATACACTGCAAGTTTCGTTTTAGTGCTCAAGTCATGATTGTAGAAAACCCTGTCTTTTAGTTTCCAGAATACTCTCGAGGCGCTGCTGATACTGTGCTGAATTTCAGAGCCTTTTCCGAAATCAAACTGCCGAGGTAATTAAATTCCGATACATATTCCAACAGTTCTTCTCCGATTTTTATAGCGCTGTTATGATTTTCCGGGGGAGTGCACATGATTTTTGTTTTATCGTCAGTTTAAGGCCCAAAGTCTCGTATGCCGAGGTATATGTGTTCAGCATTTCCTGTAATTGCTGTAACGTATTTGCAACTAGAGCGCAGTCATCAGCGTATTGGAGTTCTGTGATGAATTTTATACGTGTTTTTGCCCTGAGTCTTTTATGTTGAACAGACCGCCGTCATACCTGTATCTAACACCCATTCCTCTCTCCTGCAGTTTGCCGTCCACTATAATAGAGAGCGCTGCCATGAATATGTTGAATAGGAGAGGAGCTAGAACACATCCCTGCCTAACTCCTGTATTTGTCAGGAAGGGATCGCACAGTGATCCATGATGTGACACTCTCGACTTGTTGTTGTTATGGAGGCTTTTACACACACTAAGAAATTTGTTGGGCACTCCGAACTTTTGCATAATTGTCCAAAGCGTATCTCTGTTTACAGAGTCGAAGGCTTTCGTTAGGTCGATGAATGCAACATAAAGTTTACTCTGATGTTCCTTTACTTTTTCCTGTAGTTGGCGGACGGAAAATATGGAATCAATGGCACCGCGGTTGGTGCGAAAGCCCGTTTGCGATTCTGGGAGGATTTTTTCTATATGTGAGTGCAGGCGGTTTAACATAATTTTTGCCAGAACTTTACCTCCGATAACCAGTAGTGAAATTCCTCGGTAGTTTCCACAATCTGATGCACTTCCTTTGTTCTTAAATATATTTACTATATTCGCGTTGCGAAAGTCCTGAGGTACCTCTCCGCTTTCCCATATGACATCGAAGAGAGTCTTAAGATGACCAATAAGTTCTTTGCTTGCACACTTATAGATTTCCGCTGGAATCGCGTCACAGTTAGCCGATTTGTTGTTTTTAAGTTGTTTTATGGAGGCCCTTATTTCCTGTTCCGTTATTGGGATATCTAATACATCAATGCTGTTATACTGAGGTGTTGTGTTTAGTGCTTGCATATTGGGGATATTGTCTTGGTTAAGGATATGGCTGAAATGCTCTTTCCAGCGATTTCTGATTTGCTCTTCCTCTTTTAGAAGTTCACAGTTTTGTGCCTTGATTGGGCAGCTTACGTTCTTAGTTGGGCCGTATACTTCTTTTACAGCCTCGAAGAATTTACGATAGCCGTGATGCGCGGCGTACTCTTGAATCTTATTTGCTTTTTGTGACCACTAGTTATCCTTTAGTTGGCGCAGGTTTCTTCGAAGCGTGTTGTTGGCTGCTTTAAAGTTGTCTCCCAGCCTTGGATTGTGTGGATTTGCAGTGACTGCTTGATGTGCTCTATGCTTTTCTTCCAACAAAGCCTGTATGTATATGTGGTTGATTTTCGTTAAACCAGTCTGGTTGTTTCTTTTTGTTGGATTTTCCCAGTATTTCTTCGCTGGTATTATAAATCGCATCCCTCAATTGTGTCCAGCCTTGTTCAGCTTCGGAGATTGAGGTTATCGGTGGAAGTGCTTTTCTGATGGCTTCCCGGAGGGCGTTGGCGGTGTCGTTGTTCATTAGACTCCGTACGTTTAATCTGGTCATATTGTTTTGCTTTTTGCAGTGTGAATGTTTGGGTTTTAATTGAAGTTTCATTTTCGAAACTACAAGTTGGTGGTCAGTACCACATTCGGCATCTGTTCTGGCTTTTGTAAGTCTGACATCTTTCAGATGCTTCCTTCGAACGATGACGTGGTCCAATTGATGCCAGTGGCCTGATCTGGGATGTTTCCAGGTAACTTTAAACTTGTCTTTCAGCTTGAACCATGTATTGGTGATGCAAAGGTTGTACTCTGTGCATGTTGTTAGCAAGCGTTCACCATTGCTATTTACGTTTCCTATTCCATGTTTTCCCAATACGTCTGGCCATATTTCTTGCTGATTGCCGACACGTGCAATAAAGTCACCTAGCAAGATGATTCGCTCCTGCTTTGGAATTCGTTGGAGAGCATTTTGTAGATCTTGGTAAAATTTATCCTTTTCCTCAACCTTAGCGGTTAGGGTAGGAGCGTAGGCACTAATGATATTGTGGTAAGTTTTATCTGATATGGGGTACCTTAGGGTCATGAGACGTTCGGAGACTCCAATGGAGACGTTCGGAGACTCCAACGGAGACGTTCGGAGACCACAATGAGCACTTCTGTTAAACTGGTGGCGATTTCGTCTTTGACAGCAATGCCTACGCCATGAATTCTACTGTGTAGGGCAGGGTGACCCTTCCAAAAGAAGGTGGAATGCTCCCCCGTGAGACTGGTCATCTGCAAAGCGGGTTTCGCTAAGAGCGGCAACATCTATACTTAGCCGGCGGAGTTCCTGTGAGACCAGAGCAGTTCTTCTTTCTGATCGATTAGAGTTTGTCCTGTCCAGGAGAGTGCGGACGTTCCACGCCGCAAACGTGCAACATTGACGCTGCTTAATTCTCCGATGATACGCTCGAGTAGGCACCCCCTCCCGGCGATCCGATCGAGGGGGTATTTTACCTCCGGACGATGATTTTGTCCCACTCGAATGTTCCATCTTTGATGAGTGTTAGCTGCGTAAAGGGGTTAAACTGTGACGGTTACGCTGCCGCACAGTTTGGCTGCAACTGTAGCACGGGATGACTATGGCACAGTGAGGACTGAGACAATAGTTCCCTTGTGCTACGTGCTCGGCCGGGTAGGAGTAGTCTACTTCTCCTCTTCCCCAGAACGATGGTAGGTTTGAGGGTTGTATAGCGTTATACCGCCTATACTCGGACGTCAGAGCCTCGTTTGTGAAAACAGGGTGCACCACGTGAAGGTGAGGTTGACTTTTGGGTAAGCTAGGTTATATGTATCGCTTCAATACCCCTTACACCCCTATAAATAATAAAAAAATAAATAATAAAATTAATAAAATATAAATAATAAAAATATATATTAATAATAACAAATGTTAAAGAAATAAATCACTAATTCACCATAACAAACCAAAACACTTCTTCAGTGTTTAAAAGTGTTGAAGTGTTTAGGTGTACTGTGGTGAATTAGTATTTTATTTTGCTATTTGTAACACCAAAGATTCCAACCTCCAACTGTAATAACAAATGTTGAATTGAATGAATTTTTGAAGTGTAAGTTCTTTACGTGCGCTGGGAATAAAAATTCAAGGCGGTGACACGACACGTGACACAACAGGCGAGAGGAAAACTGGTAACGACAGCCCACATCTTAGAAAAAATCGTCCGATTAAAGGTTGACTCTTACTATAGCTTCCGTATCAGCTATCTTCCGTTTCCCTTCCGTTTACATAAAATATTATGTCATGTAAATGAATAGGACAATGCACACTATCCGTTCCGTTTCCCTTCCGTTCCATATCCTTTCCTTCCATACATTTATTTGGCGGACGGACCGAAGCGTATCGGAAATAGCGTTGTTAAGTTCTTACATTTGTACCAGCTCTGTTAACATTTTGCTGATATTTATTTATTTTTTCACCTCTTACTTAAATCTATTACCTTTTTCAAAAGATACACGTTCTTAAAATAAAACTTTCGTAATGATATAATTTGTACGATAAGAAGTATGGAACTGATACGGAACGGAAGGTTACGTATAGCGTCAATACAATAAAAAATACGGAACGGATATGGAATGGAAACGGAAGGTGTCGTGAGAATCAAGCTTTAAGGTTGATTCTTTCGTTTCCATTCCATATCAATTCCAAAATCAACTTTTAAGGTTGGGAACTGATACGGAAAGGAAGTTTACGTATAGCGCCAATAGAATTAAAAATACGGAACGAATAAACCTTTATAAGGTTGATTCTAACTATACCTTCCGTTTCCATTCCATATCCATTCCAGAATCAATCTTTAAGGTTTGGAACTGATACGGAACGGAAGCTTACGCATAGCGTCAATACAATAAAAAATACTGAACGGATTTGGAATGGATATGGAATGGAAACGGAAGGTATAGTGAGAATCAACCTTTATAAGGTTGATTCTCAAAGATTCTCTCTCTTTATAAGGTTGATTCTTCCATTCCATATCCGTTGCGTATTTTTATTGCATTCACGCTATACGTAAGCTGCCATTCCGTATCAGTTCCATACTTTTTATTGTACAATTTATATCATTACGAAAGTATTATTTTAAAAATTTGTATCTTTTGAAATAGGTAATAGATTTAATTAAGAGGTAAAAGAATAAATAAATATCAGCAAAATGTTAACAGAGCTGGTACAGTACAAATGTAAGAACTTGACAACGCTGTTTCTGATACCCTTCCGAATGGAAACGGAAGGTATTGTGAGAATCAACCTTAACATGGAATTTGGTATGTCGATAGATTGGACCAAGACCAACTTGACCGTGTACGACACATGTCATGAAATCATCAGGATTTTTCTTAGTTATGGGTCGATTGGAACCAAACTCGGCACGTGGATAGAGGTAACCGAATGGAGTCCTCAGACGGACAGACGGGCAGACAGACGAACATAGTGCACACACAATTTTTTTATTACTTTTTCAACAGTTCAAACTACACTTTTTCAAACATGTCCGTCAAACCTTTCATTTAATAGCTGTTAGTAAGAAGTTTCACTTCAAATATGCGCACATAGTGCACACACAATTTTTTTTAAGACTTCAACTCTGAGTAAAATTCAAAATTTATTACGTTTTATGAATAAAATATAAACCAATTTCTACTATTCGTTATAAAAAAAATGTACTATACAAACCTGCAAAGTGTCAAGTAAAGTAACAGGCAATGCTTCATCTACTTGATTCATATCTCTAGAAAACCTGTTGAGAATTCTTCCTGAAGGATTAACAGTAAAAAATCTCATTGTAGCGTATACTATCTTATAAAACATATTATGGTGCAATCGAATTGATGCTTTATTACAAAATCTGTAGAAAACCAATAATCTGGTTATTGTCATTAATATCAGCATCAAAACTATCACTGTATATGCTATTGCGAGAACCTGATCAGTCATGTGTGTAAGCCAGAATTCTTGAAAAGGTGTATGCTCAGTTATAATGGAATTATTATTGGAGAGAATCCTTGAACCATTATATGTGTTAGGATCAACGGTGAAAGTTCCATGCTCGACGATTCTAGATATTTCTTGGTTTTTAAGGTACGTCTCATTTTCTTCCATTTTCTTGATTTGGTTCATATTAACCCTAAAATAAAACTACCCTTTACTATTTCTACCCTACAATAAATTAGCAATAAACTTGGTTATAGTTCGCAGTTTTTTAATATACTCTGGGTTCTAATTAAAAAAATAAATATGAATATACAGGGTGAATCAACGATAGAGTAAGTCCATTATCTCCTTTGTTTCGAGGTTTACAAAAAAATATTAAATATAAAAGTTATAGGGACGGTTAAGATACATATTTTAAAATTATTATAGAGGATACAGGGTGCTTCAAAAAAGTGTGGCGAATATAACATTTTTTTTAAATGCAACACCCTATTTTTTATTTTATTTTCAGATTCTGCGTTAAATTCCATAACTTTTTTTTATATATAATGTTTATACCTAAAATTAATAGTTTGTGTAATATTTAAATTTGTCTAAACAAATGTTAGATTGCCGTGCGGTAAAAATTTCTCGATGATCTCATTGTTTCTGAAGTTGGACAACTAAAATTTAGTAGGAAAATTTTATAGAGACATAGGAAAAGATGTATTTAAAGATATTTTAGTAAGATGCTACAGGGTGTTCAAAATATATTTATGAATTTCAACTACTTATTTAAAATTAAGAAATTTCAAATTTCTTTAAATGGTACACCCTATATATTATCATTTTTTCTGATAGATTTTACAAAACTCTTCAACTTTTATTAAGTATGTCATATACCTATTTTTAATAGTTTGCGATTTATAATATTTTCTATTTTTACCCATATTTTTAATACCATTGCGCAACTTTATGGGCGATTTCGTGGCACAAAACCTATCCGAGATGTACCGTCAGCCTGAGAATTCCGAGATTTAGTTTAGCTGCGCGCATCAACGCTAACGACTATCAAGTCGTTTACAGCGCAGCGGATGAAGGATACTGTACTGTAGTTCTGCTTTCAGTCGACAGAGTGAGTGGTTGCGGGAGACGGTGTTGCCAGAACTACTGACAAATCCGTAGATTTTGGGTACAGTACGTAATAATACGGATTTATATCATTAAACCATTTAATATAATATTATATGATTAAACAAAGAACGGCGTTCACTTCATACGCTGTATGAATATATACGAATATACTTCATACGAATCATTCGACATGGTACTGAATACATATAAAAGAATTTTAATTTTTGTTGTTTATTCTATGTTTAACACGAATAAATTTTCAATACAAAAACCAGGATTTTTTATCCAAAGATATTTTCGTCAAGCAAATTACAGATATTATACATTTTACTATGGCAATACTGTCGCTTTCAGTTCTACACTATCTTCGATATGCCTTCGCTGACCAAATTAGAGAAAATAAAGCGTTTTATGCGTTGGCCGCAGAAGTATTGGTGCCTCCACCGTACAGCACTTGAGACGTAACGGGAAATCAAATCAGTCTTGTCACAAATTCGCACATTAGGTTGCGTACATGGTACAAAGAAAACAAGGTATGATCGATAGCGGCTCCAATTTCGTTAAGTTTGCGCATACCACCTGTGACGTCATACGCCATACAGAAAAATATCCATATTGTTCAATTGCCACTAATAAAAAAAAGACCTAAAATAGGGAAGAATCAGGACATAACCCCAAAAGTTATGTCAAATTATCGAGCTTGACATTTGAAAAATTATTTTCGCGTTTATTGTGTCATCTGTTTGACAATTTGAAATTGGCGCGCGGAGCTTGCCGACCAATGGTGTCGTTTATCACCTGTGACGTAGTAACCAACCTGCGCAATATCATACCTTGTATTCTTTGTATCATGGGTTGCGTATCTTCCCAATTCTTTCAATCAACGCTATAACTTTTATATTTAACGTTTTTTTGTAAACCTTCAAACAAATGTGATAATGGACTTTGCTCTATCGTTGACTCACCCTGTACAGTATATTGAAAAATATATTACCAGAATGTCAAAAAATAATCACATAAACTTGCCAGAGCTTGCGTCATGGCAAATATTAGAAACAATATTAAAATTTTACACCAGTGACCTCCAGAGACAAAATACGACTTGTATACTGTCCAGCCAATGGTACCACTTCCTCTTGATTCTTTTTCGATTTGAGGATCCTAAAAATTATATAATTTACGGGCACTTTTCAAGATTTTTGTATTGGCACTGGCTAAACAACTGCCGGCGCGGCGGTATTGTTAGTATATACAAAAAATGCCGTCATCGGGCGGCATGATATTCCTCTATCTATAAATGCCGGTGGAAAATTGAATTGACTTGTCGCTGAATGACGGCGGCATGCAATTAATCTGACGGACGAAAGTCCCCTTCGGGGTAGATCTACCTCTTTGTTAAACAATTTAACCCCATTATCTCGTGATAATCTACTCCGACGAAGAAGCTTGTGGTAACATTGGGTAACGATCTGTGATATACGCGGCTTAGAAAATTACTATAATAAACTTGAAACTGTACTAACCTTGATTTCAATCATATTTTCATCGATAGGTTTGTAGATTCTGAATAACGGTCTAGGTAAAGCATCTAGCTCATTTGCCAGCTCAGAATTAGAATTTAGAGTTAGTAACTCGCATTTTCATTGGAGGACACTTTCATATTTATTTCAAACCAATAATCAATGAGAATATTTGTATAATTTAATAAAATTACTGTAAATCACTATAAATAATGAATTATTTATAGTGATAAATGATGGAGATAAACAACTGTGATTGAGCTATATAGTGATAAACAACTCTGATGTCATTTTAAGATGAAACTTTGTTAACAACATTATGAGAATTCGAATAATAAATTGAATAATGACAAGACAATTGACATCTGTCTAAAAAAGACCCATTTAGAGTGACAATTTGGTTATGTAAAATTTAGAGTGACAATTTTGATTATGCAAAAGAAATACATATTCTATGAGTTTACTGGTTGCCTAACGATTAACATTAATTTAAAAATAAATCCTCAACATGAATAATAACAGCTGTTAGTAAGAAGTCACTTCAAGTATGCGCACAAAGCGCACGAGATTTAGTATGTTAGTATATATGAAATCAGGATCGATTGACATATTCAATTATTGCCGGGCACATCCTGTTCCACCGGAAAGGACTACAATTTTTGATTTTCAAATGATACCCTCCGTATTTTTTTTATTTTATTCGATAGAAAATGACACTCTGAATAGAACGAGAATAGAGTGACATATATTATGTCAACTTTTGACATTTTTGCATATGGTTTATTTGAACCTTTATAACCTGCAGTTCATAACGACAATTTGTCTCGAAATTCAAAAGTATTGTATCAAATTAGGTATTCTTAATGAATGCTTTTTCCAAAAATGCTAATGAGTCACTCTCGTTCCATTTGAAAAAATGAGATATGATTAAAAATACGATTTGGGCATCTTCTAACCGGCCAAGATAAGACACGAAAAAACATTAGAAAATCAAATCTATTTTTCCAAGGCTCCTTGATTAAAAATTAGTCTTAAAACAGCCATGACACTGTAGATTGCAATTTAAAATACGATTTTAAGCGAAAATGTCAAAAGTTGACATATGATACGTCATTCTATTCCGAATGTCATTGTCTATCGAAAAAAGTAAAAAATACCAAGGGTGTCTTTTAAAAATCAACTGAAAAAATAAAAACGTTATAGGGGTGAGCCACTTGTGAGAAACACCCGGTAAATATTTAGCAACAACCGCCGTGCTTGACAAATTTACCTGCTTGTTCGACGGTATTCATGTTAATAAATATGTAAAATAATATTTCTTTCGTCAATTTTCTAGTCTAGACTACCGCTCCGGTGGTAATTTAGCCAGTTTGTTTTGTATTACCATCTTTACATTTGTTGGCACAACTTCCTTGGTAGACACTCTTCTTCTTCTGGCTGGTTTGATATCTTCATTTTCTTCCGTTTCGTATTCTTCAGCATCTTCTTCATCAAGAACGTCTTCAAGTTCACTAAGAAGTTGCGTAAATGTTCTGCCGGAATTCTGTACTTCTTCATAAGTGCCCGTATGTTCGATTGTTTTTGATCCAAAAAGGTAAATCTTCTTGGCGTCTTTCAAATATTGTAGCTGATGAGTAACCAAAACAACGCACTTGTTTTTAAGGTAACCGGTTATGCAGTCTTCGAACAGTTGTTTTCCGACGTGGGCATCGACTGCAGATAACGGATCGTCTAACAGATAAATATCCGCTCGTTTGTAAACTGCACGGGCAAGATTGATACGAGCTCTTTGACCACCACTAATTGATGCACCACGTTCACCGACTATAGTTCGATCGCCGTGAGGAAACAGTGCGAAGTCTCTTTCTAAGGCACATACTTTTACCACTTCGTAATATCGTCGAGCGTCGAACCGTTGACCGAAAATAATATTCTGACGTACACTGCCCACAAATAACCACGGTTCCTGAGAGGCATACGAAATCGAACCACCCACGTCCACCATACCGGACACTGGCTCTAGTTCGCCCAGAATTGTGTGCAATAGAGTTGTTTTACCACTTCCAACAGGACCAATCACTACGGCTAATTGACCAGACTCCACCTCAACATTTAAGTTATCTAAAGCATTCTCTTCAAGTGACTTGGTCCATTTTACAGAAACATCCTTTAGATGAATACCAACTGATTTGTTAGTTTTTTCACTAGATCGAAAAGCATTAAGAAATGTGGAACTTGAGTCAAGTTGGACTTCGTCGTGCTGCAAGAATTGTTTAATTCTTTTTACTGATATACTTGCCTCGGCAAACTGAGTGACCCCTTGAGGGAAGAACGTGGTTACTGTACTTCTCAGAATACCATAAAATGAGGATACTACGTAGACGTACTGAGCATCTAGTACGTTTCCGGTAAAGAAATATACTAAAACGCATATGTATATGGTAGTTGAGTTTAAGAACATATTAAAGGACATCATAATGGCTCTTATTACAGATATTTTCTTGATTTGTTGAATTTCTTTCCTAAAACAAAAATGTTGTATTAATACTGTCAATATTTCAATTTAGGACGACTTGGGTTTATCTCAATTTGGGAAAAAATCATGTAAAATATAATTTCAGTAAACCAGCTGGATGACGTCGACCTAGATATGTTTTTAAATAACGTTATTAAAGAAATAATTAAAATATAACAATCGGGTCTGCGAAATCAGAATTAGGTAATTATAGGTTGAATTCGTATAACTGAACGAATGATAATATTTTTATCGCACTTCATTACGATAAAATAATAACGTCATTTCTAGCATAAAAACTAGAAAGATAGACTTTATGTACGTCTTGGGAATGACAATCGGAGCTGCAAGAGTCAGTTTCAAAAAGATTTAAATCTTCAGTTTTAAATCATTTCTAAAATCAGAAAGATTTAAATCTTAAGGAAATTTCAACATAATGTTTAAATGATTTGAGTATTAAGTCTTTGACTTAAATCATTTTCTTTTTAGCCAAATAATTTTCGTAAAGACTTAAATCAATATTTAATATAACTTCTAATTTAAGACCTTTGTGTGACTTAAGTTTATATTTTTTGGTTTTTATTGTCAAGTCAAGACACCCAATGTTCAATATAAGTGCGTATTTTTCGTCACCACACGTCTATGGTGGGTAACAATGAATTTAAAAATCGCGTCCTCGATTACGTAACTAAAAGCTAGAAGTCTCGTCTCGCCTCAAAATCTGACCTGTCGATGGAGCCTCGCTTTGGCGAGCGAGGTCCCAACTTCGTGGGGCCTCGCTATTTTGCTCGGAATTGAACGAATAAACGCGCGGCGTTGCCTTGTTTTGTGTGTACTTTCTTGAATAGTTTTAAATTATAGTTTTAAATTTTATCTATTGCTATAATCAGTCTTTCCGTTCTCCGCACTCCGCACTCCGCAGTTTACATAATATAATATTATCTTATATAATTCCCGTGTTAGAGTTTTGGTTACCGTACTCCTCCGAAACGGCTTAGCCGATCTTGATGAAATTTTATATGTATATTCAGTACGTGTAAGAATAGGTAGTTATATATTTTTTATACCCTTAAGTGATAAGGGTAGTCCACCCCCATTTTTTTATTTTGTAAAAAAAAATATTTTTATTTTTTTTATTTGGCATTAAAAAATACAAACAACACTAAATTTTCACCGTTCTCATCCCCTATTTTTTAATAGGGGTTGTTTTTTTAATTTTTTGTTACCACCTCCGAAACGGCTTGACCGATTTTGATAAAATTTTATATGTATATTATATTTTTTTTATTTGGATTTAAAAAATACAAACAACTCTAAATCTTCACCGTTCTACCATCATCCCCTATTTTCTAATAGGGGTTATTTTTTTGTTACCATCTCCGAAACGGCTTGACCGATTTTGATAAAATTTTAAATGTATATTATATTTTTTTTATTTGGCCTTAAAAAATACAAACAACTCTAAATTTTCACCGTTTTACCATCATCGCCTATTTTCTAATAGGGGTTATTTTTTTGTTACCATCCCCGAAACGGCTTGGCCGATTTTGATGACATTTTATTATGTATATTGAGTAGGTCTGAAAATAGTTTGTTATCTATTTTTTATACCCTTAAGTGATAAGGGTAGCCTACCCCCATTTTTTTATTAAAAAAATATATTTTTTTTTATTTGGCATTAAAAAATATAAACAACCCTAAATTTTCAACGTTCTACCATCATCCCCTATTTTTTAATAGGGGTTGTTTTTTTAATTTTTTGTTACCATCTCCGAAACGGCTAGACCGATTTTGATAAAATTTTATATGTATATTCAGTAGGTCTGGTTTGGTTTGGTTTGGTCACAACCTATTCCTAGGTTGTTATCTATTTTTTATTCCCCTAAGTGATAAGAGTGGTCTACCCCAACTTTTTTTTTATTTTTTAGATAAAATTTTTTATTTTAATTGTTTTGTTAAAATAGGGAGTGCCTATTTTTTAGGTGCATGTCCAAAATTTTCTTCTGGGTACTCACTTTCATCACTTAAGGGACCTCTGTACAAAATTGCATACTCCTAGTCCTAGAACGGATTTTACATAAAAATTATACAAATTTTTACCTTTAGTTCTATCCCCTTAAGGAATGAATTCCAAAAATCGCTCTAATTATTCATTTACGCTACATAATAAACCTCTGTGCAAATTCTCATATTCCTTGAACAGAATTTATTGTTCCAGAACGTTCAACCCCTCATTTCACACCCTTAGAGGGCGATTTTCCAAAAATTGCTTCTTAGTGCTAAATTACGTTACATAAGGAACGTCTGCAAAATTCATACTTCTAAAACCGATTTTAACAAATTTTTGTACAAATTTTCATCTCTTATTTTTTAGGGGATGCATGCCTAAAATTCGCTTCTAGGTACTCACTTTCATCATTTAAGGGACCTCTGAACAGAATTTCATACTCCTAGTTCTAGAACGGATTTTACATAAAAAATTATACAAATTGTCACCCCTAGTTTTACTCCCTTAAGGAATGAATTCCAAAAATCACTCTTATTATTCAATTACACTACATAAGGAACCTCTGTGCAAATTTTCATATTCCTTCAACAGAATTGTTTCAGAACGTTCACCCCTCATTTCACACCCTTAGAGGGCGAATTTCCAAAAAATGCTACTTAGTGCTAAATTACGTTACATAAGGAACGTCTGTGCAGAATTTCATACTTCTAAAACCGATTGTAACAAACTTTTGTACAAATTTTCATCCCTTATTTCTAGGGGATGAATGTCAAAAATTAGCTTCTAGGTACTCACTTTCGTCACTTAAGGAAACTCTGTAGAAAATTTCATATTCCTAGAACTAACATTTTTTGTACAAAATTTCAACCCCCAGTTTCACTACCCTTAAGCTATACATTTCCAAAAATTGCTTATCAATGTTCAAATGCGCTACATCTGTGCAAAAGTTCATACTCCTAGTAGGTACAGATTTTTTTGTATAATTACACCCTTTTATCTAATTACATCCCCTTATGGGTCGAATTTTAAAAATTACTTAGTAGTGCTCATCTTAGAGAACGAATTAATATCTCCGTATTTACTCCAGTTTCCTAATACTAGCTAGCAGATAACACATAATCATACTAGTTAATTTTTTATTGGAGTAGAAGTAATTTTTATTAGAAGGTACAAAAAAATTAAAAATCTAAAATTATATTTTCATAGCTACGTTTTTATAGCCTTACGATGCCGCATGTACTAACGAATACGAAATATATAATCAATACATATTTCTTTAAATATCGAGAAATAAAATATGTTTTGGCAACACCGTACGAAATATCGGCGCGTAGTTCTCAAAATTTAAAATATTAGCATTTTCAGGCTTCGATTATGTTCAAAAGCGCCACCGTGTGACAAATCACTAAAGCTTCCACACGAGAGTTCTTAAAACTATAATATTCTTTGCTAAAAGTTTAATTGGTATCAAATATACAGGGTGTTACAAATTCGAGGTATGAGCATTGGTATCTCGGAAAGCGGAATAGATACGAAGATAGTTAAATTGGGACAAAGTTGCTCCTTGGGATGTTCATCAAAAAAGTTTTAAAAATGTCAAGGATTGCTGAGTTTTTTGAAAATAATTTTTATTTTTTCCTGTCGTTACTTTTTAGAAAATAAAAAAAAATAACTGCACATTCTTATAGCCACTTTATTAGGGCTATTTGATAGTATTTTTATATATTCAAACTAGCTGATAATTTGTGAGATACAGAGGCCATATTATTTTTTTTAAATACTGATATGCATTTTTTATATGAAGTATAGAAAGAACTCTGTCTTCTGAGTACAATGATATGCCACACTTAATATTTTTTTTTTGTTTTGGACATTTGAACACAATTTATTTAAACTAATTTCAAGTCCAGCTCTGTTTTTTTTTAATATTTAATCTATTCATCATTACAATACTGATAAGCTTTCAAACTTAACAATGACGTGGAGTAAAACATTGAATACGGTGAATCAAATAAAATTAATAATATAAATATAATATAATATAAACAATCGAATCATTTCCCCGGAAGATGGATTGGAAATGGTATATAGAACATCATAATGGCCTGCGAGGTTCTTGCCGTTCATAAGAAGATATATTCAAAGAGCTATAAATAAGATTGAACGAAAAATAAATTTGTACATTAGGGAGGGTTGTAACCCTTTCGAACGTTTAGAGCATTAGAAACTAGTTTGTAGAAGTTGATTTATTTATAATAACTACGATTAATATTCATTTATTTACTACGATTAATATTTTTATTAATCTCATTATACGATCTAATAGATCGTATAATGAGATTTCAATTTCATAATAAGAAAAGTTAAAAATTATATCTTTAAATTGCTGACCTGGATATTATTATCTATCAGGCTCGATTTTCCTTATTTAATGTTAATTAGCGCTGGTCAATATTATTGCGATGAATATAATCAGATTAAATAATTTAAAAAAACAGAGTCTGAATTCTTCTTACGGTGCCATACTCTATATAGAGCGTCGGCTACCTCTGGCATGTACTTGTGATGTGTGTCACCACAAGATCTCATCACATGTTAAGGTACACAAAACAAACAAAAAGTATCAAGTGTGGCATACCATTTTATTCAGGAGACCGCGTTCTTTCAAAACTTCAAATAAAAAATGTAGGTCCGTATTAAAAAAAACATAAGTTGGCCTCTGTATCATTTTCCTTATTTAATGTTAATTAGCGCTGGTCAATATTATTTCGATGAATATAATCAGATTAAATAATTTAAAAAAACAGAGTGGGAGTTCTTCTTACGGTACCATACTCTATATAGACCGTCGGCTACCTCTGGCATGTACTTTTGATGTGTGTCACCACAAGGTCTCATCACATGTTAAGGTACCCAAAACAAAAAAAAAAGTATCAAGTGTGGCATACCATTTTACTCAGGAAACCGAGTTCTTTCAAAACTTCAAACAAAAAATGCAGGTCCGTTTTTAAAAAAAAATAAGTTGGCCTCTGTATCTCAGAAATTATCAGCTAATTTAAAAATCTAAAAATACTATCAGATGGCCCTAATATGATGGCTATGAGAATATGTTGTGTGTGAATTAGTTTTTTCATTTTCTAAAAAGTAACGACAGGAAAAAATAAAATTGATTTAAAAAAATTCGTTTTTTCCAAAAAACTCAGCAATCCCTGAAATTTTTAAATCTTTTTTGATGGCATCTTGGTGAACATTCCAAGGCGCAACTTTGCCCCAATTTAATCATCTTCGTATCTATTACGGTTTCCGAGATACCAATGCTCGTACCTCGAATTTGTAACACCCTGTATATCATGCTAGACCTAGGTTCATTTGATGCAAAATTTACTCAACTCACCTTCTACTGAGTTCAACAAGCTTGGCAAAGGGAATTTCCCAAGTATACATTTTAATCACTTGAATTCCAGATATGATTTCATTCATCAACCTAATTCTTTCATCAGTTTCAATGGCTGTAGCTAAACGATATTTAGAAGTCTTCTTGCCCATCCACACTTAAAAATATATATTTCTATTAATTTAAGATGTTTCGTGCAGCCTGTGAATAAAAATATTAAAGAAGGAGCACATCAAAAAACTTCTGGGGACCTAAAATGGCCGATTTAAATTCCGGTTTATTAGTGCCGTTCTAATTTTATTCAAAACGTGTTAAAATATAATGTAGGGTAGACTCGATAATTTGTTGTTTTATTTTAACTTGTCAATAAATTATGTTGGTAGTTATTAAAGTTGTTATAAAAATATATAATTCTAATAAAAAGATACAGGGTGAGTTTCCTACGATGTCCTTACTTACTACCTCTACTAGTTCAAGTCGGATAATTGGGGAAAGAATTGCAGTTTTGTGGGGTCATAAATATGCGCCTTTCGGATTTTTGAAAAAGTTCATGGCTTACTAGATATTTTGAAAAAAACAAATTTTGGCAATTTTAAAATTTGTCCCTAATTCCATTATAATCTAATTTAGACAAAAAGTTTTCAAATAAAAGTTGTAGATAATCACATACCTAATTAGTTTGTGTTTTCTGATTTTTTCTAAAGCCTGTCATTTTTGATATATGACACAAACATATGTTTTTTAAATAGAAATCATAGTTGGACATGACATTATAAAAATCGCCATTTTTTATGCTTTTCAGCGACATAAGGTATAGTATGTTTATTTTGAACAATTACTGAGAGTTATAGCCAATTCTTATCTTTCTTGTCTATTTCACTTAGTTGGTATGGTATTCTTATTCTGTTATGATTTATAACTTAAAAAAATAATATCACTACTATTTTAATTTATTTTAGAAAATGTTCTCCCGTACCGCCTCTTCGAGTGCCTCTCTTATTTCATCGAGGAGGCCCATGCAATTATCGGTCCACCTCTTCCGATCCCTGAATTGGCGTAATTATGATATAAATAATTTCTAACATTTCTTTCATTAGGAGGGGGAGGTGTCATAATGAAAGTCATGTTCGAACCATTCTATTGATGCGCGACTATCTAAATTTAACTTTTTCTAATATGTCTTGAAAACCGTTCTCTAAAAAACGTAAGTAACGTTCACCGGCCAACGTATCCTCAAAAATGTATGGTCAAAAAAAGTTGAACCAATAATTCTACACGCTTTTCTTCATTTAAAAAATTCATATTTAAAATTTTTGTTCATTTTAATTTACAAAGTTTGGATGTGACAGTTTTGCATTTCTGAAGGCAACGACGATTGAGCTTGTTTCCATGGCTAATTAAGTGAAATTGTTCAAAATGATATGAATTAGCTATAACTCAGTAATTTTTCTAAAAAAAAACATATTATAACTTATATTGCTGAAAAGCTTAAAAAATGGCGCTTTTTATGATGTCATGACCAACTATATGATTTCAATTAAAAAAAATAACATATGTTTGTGTCATATGTCAAAAATGACAGACTTTAGAAAAAAACTGAGGACGCAATCTCATTAAGGATGTGATTATCTACAACTTTTATCTGAAAACTTTTTGTCTAAAATAGATTATAATGGAATTAGGGACAATTTTTAAAATATGCCATGAACTTTTTCATAAATCTGAAAGGCGCATATTTATGACCCCACAAAACTGTAATTCTTTCCCCATTTAATCGACTCTCTATCTTCAGTGGTTTCCGAGATAACCATATAGAACATCGTAGAAAACTCACCCTGTATAGAGAAGTTATAATAAATTTTTAATAACACAAACATCGGATAAGAGCTACTGAAACAGGTAAGTCAAATTAATGTATCTTGCATTGACGTAAAAAAGCAAGAAAAATATATAATTATCAGTTAATGGCGTTTAATTTCTTTTCATGTATGTTATAATTCATCCATTGAAAACTTTACAAAAAATTCATTGAAATGAAAGAAATGCGACTCATGGTTAATATAATTATGTACACAACATTCAGTAATGTTTTTGGGGGTATTGGCGATAGATTTTTGTAATTTCTTGAAAGAAAACATATACATAGATTTCTCTAATAAAATACGCCATCCAATGAAAATCTTGAGGAAGTGAATTTTAATTAAAGAAAGGCAAATCATATTTAAATAAATTATGCTTAAAATATATCTCTGAAACCGCTGACTTAACTGCGGTTTAAAGCCGAAGCAGGAAATTCCTCGGAAAAACTTGGTAAAACTGATTTGCCCCGCGCTTGCGCACAGAGTGGAAAACTTTTCGCGCCGTGCTGCGGAGAAAGTTTCCTTAAGCGCGTCTAAGGGGAAAATGAACGCGAAGGATAATTTTCTTTATTTTCCGGACTTGAAAAAGTTGGGATAATTTTAATTATTTATTAAGTGAATTACATTAAATTTCACACTAATTATTAAGTGAATTTCATAAGTGATCGGTGTACTACACGTTTGTATATTATATAGTCACCAGTGAAAAGCTACACAACCAACTATTTTAAAGAACTTTTCGACAAATCGCAATAGTGTTACTGTTAATTTAAGTTCTTACAATTGTGTAAGAACTTAAATTAACAGTAACTTGAGCATTCAATAAACGTTCCATTATATTATCGAAAACTTACTTTGAATTGGAATAAATAATAACATGAATACAATGCCAGCTACTCCACTTAAGCCAACATAAAAATACATCAATATCAAAACAACCATAGTTTCAACTGGTGCCAGCCATAAGTTATGTATATGTGTGATTGCAAGTTCAAATTTTTCAACGTCGTTTGATATCAGATTCACCATTTGGCCGACGGTTGTATCAGCCAATGCACTTTTACTTAGTTTCAAGGCCTTCCTGTAGACTAAAGTTGACGTCGCCACACGTATTTTTTGACCTGGATATATGATTAATTAGTTATTATATTGAATTAGTTTCGGTCACATCCTCTTTCACAGAAAATTACTACCTACAACTTTTGATTTTTAAATGGTACCATTTCATGGTAATGGTTATTTCGTAGAAAATTACATTCTGAATAGAATGACATATCGTATATGTCAACGTTTGACATTTTTACTTAAAAAATAGTATGTTAATGGTAGTTTGAAGTTTTTTATGAGTCGAAATAACAAATTGTGGTACCAAATTATTGGTAAAAAATGCGTTTTCGAAATATGCTAATGAGCCATCCTCATTCCATAAAAAATTGAGTATTTATTAACCGTGCAGGAAAAGATATTAAAAACATTAGACGATCAAATCTATTTTTCCAGAGCCCCTTAATTAAAAATTGATGGTTCTAATACAGCCATGGCACTTTAGATTGATATTTAGAATGTTATGTTTTTAAATTGGTAGGTCAAAAGTTGAAATAAAGTAAAATTCCGAGGGTACCAATTAAAAATTAAAACTTGTAGTCATTTCCAGTGAAAGAGAAAGTGATTGAAACTAATTGAATATACCTAGCAACGCCAATAGATTAAGTTACGATTTTCCAGATTAAAATAAACGTTGTTCATTTTTTAAATTTACAGTAAGAAGGCATGAAATTCGGAATGCCTGTTATTTTGTTCTGAGAATAATGGGAATGAGTAAGAGATTCGAATTTTATGCGGAAGAAGACGCGGAAAAAATACATTAAATGTATATTAAAAAACTTTAAAACTCCCTTGTCACATTTTATTGCCATCTTTTCGAACGCGTTATATACTTGCACTATTTGCTTGCCCTACATATTTTTACCAGCAAAAAATATTCTTAAAAAATTACTTAATAACATTTCAATCTTTACATTTTTTAATCAAACAAGGGCCCGAATTCTGTAACTTAGAAAACGCTAAGCGCTTTTAGACGCTCGGCGTACCTATCTGACGTTAGTTTTCGTTTATTGGGCACTTAACTACCGATTTGGGTATTCCCATCTGACGCGCTTAGCGTCTTTACCCATTGAGCTAAGCGATTTGAAAACGACTACCTTACAGTGGCGGCTCGTGGCCTGTGGGACTGGGTAGGCGACAAAATTTTAATTGCGTCTATTTTTCCCCCAAAATATACATAATATCCTAACCCAGTTCGTAAAAACCAATATGTTAGCTTATGGGTTAAAAACTTAGCTTAAGAATATTTAGGATAAAACTAAACTAACAGCATTCAACATAATGAGATTAACATAATGTATATGTGTGTTTTATTTATTTCCTTTATACCTTGATTTTTTCCTTTATATCTTCCCAAGTAGCATTTTCACGACTTGCGACCACATGTTTACTAAACACAACGTTGGATTAGTTACAAAAAATAGTTAGCTCCCTACCATGGGTATTAAAATAAATTTAAACGTTTTTATAACGTTGTGCCGACGTTGGACTAGTACTACAGCAAAGTAGAAGCTTCTGCGACGTCGAATAAACGTTGTCTTGTAACCTTTTTTGCTTAAGTGATCTTTAGGTGATTTGGACAACGTAGTTACAACGTTGGATAATATAGAGTTTTCCGACGTCAGTTTCAGGACCTATTCCAACGTTATGCAAACGTCGTCTGTTTTACTAATTCCAACGTTGTTTAGATTTCCTTATTCTTACGTTGGTAGGACGTAGAGTCACTACCTTTTTGCAACTGTATTGAACCATAACCTTAAATCTTAAATTTTCAATTCATTGTTCTGTTCAGTCAGACAGTTCAGTGCTGTTTTTGTTTTTATAAAAAAAAAACTTAATTAAAATGGGACATAAGAAAGGTACATATAAAACTAAATTTAAATATACATCGACATATATTACCGACACTTCCTCGTTTATTTAGATTATAGAGGGCGGCACAAGCTAGACTCTAGAATGACTAAATTAGGCAATCTTGCGACTAGTATACTACCTGTTAAGGCCGAACTGCGACTTTATTAGTCCAGTATGCGACTACTCGAACTACTCCATCTTAATCTCCAAAACAACAAAGTTAAAGCCGCCATGTTGTTAAATAAGAAAATGTTTCGTTCTTAAAATAGCAATTCCTGCTTTTTGAATACATTAACTTGAAATATTTGACCCTAAAAAATACGCGGAAACAATTTTTTCGAATGCGAATAAATTATTCTCATTTTACTAAAAAAAAAATTCAAGAAAATTTTTAAAACTTCTTTAATTTCAAGGCCCATTAGTATTTTTTAAAGTAGAAACAATACATTTATCAATAAAGTTGTTTGCGTTTAACTTTTTACCTTGGGTAACGAGTTACAGAGTCGGTTAAAGTGTTTCAATAATTATGATCTTCAAACATCCTCCACACTTAAATACTTTTGTTTTGTTTTCCTTCACTGCCATCTGACATATGTCTCTAACTAAATTATAAATATAATATTTTTACTATAATTATCCCAATTTAGGATAAAACGCGACTTAGACGCCATATTAGTTTTGTATTTCTGTGAATTAGGATTTTAAACAACGTTGCAGTTTGTACTAAATTAGGCTTCTAGCCAACGTCGGTATCCAACGTCGTTTCGACCCAAAAATTATTCTCCAAACTAGTGCAGACTAGGGTTGGCACGAGGTTGTGCCGATGTTGCGCCCCGACGTTTGGTCGCGTGACACAACGTTGTCCCGACGTCCAAATGCTGGTTGGGTTGATAAATAAAGTAGATGATAGTACCATGCAGTTCATCATAGGATTTTATTTTATTTTTATTTATTTACGTAACTTAACAATAGGTAAATATATAGACAAATAAATTTACAAAGAAAAACAGATTATCTTATTCATATACATATTTCGAGACTCATAAACAAAGGGAAAGAATAATTACTTTTTATATATTAAATTGATTTGCCGATTTCTTAATAAAGAAAATTTATTTATTATTATATTTGTAAAGTTATCAGATTGTTGAAGGGCTATGGAAATATCTTTTTCTATTCAAAGTAAGGCAAGTGACGATAAACTTTTATTTTTCATTGAATTTCTAGTGTAATTTTTAATGCGTTTCAAACATGAAAAATGTCTCTCAACCGAAGTACTTGTAAATGGTATGAATGTATTTATACGTCGCATAAATTGTATGATTAAGATTATCCATATTGAAAATCAGAATTAATTGTTCCAAATTTTAACCGAAATTAATACTTATCCATATCTCCTCCTTGTTAGACTTAGAAATTAGCAACCAAAAGCACCGTACACAATAATTCAAGTCAATAATAGGCAGTCGACAAACATTTTTTAATATAACGAGAATACCAAAATCGACTGCTTGGCGTTCCGCTAATCGAATACTTTCGCTTACCGCTTTGAAAGCGTAACGTGTCTAAGTTCCAGATTTCGGGCCCTGGCTAAATTATCGCTAGCGTTATAGTAAAAAAAGGACTACCGTTGACTAAAGAAAGACCGCCGCGTAGACGATTTTGCATGTTTATTAGCATTGAATACCGCCGAACAACGGGGTAAATTTATAAAGTACGGCGGGTCCTGCTGAATATACAGGGCGGTCCATTAGTGTGAGGAAGTCCAATATCGTCATTGCTGTCGAAGATATGAAAAAACGATTTATACAGATGTTACATAGTTTATAAAAGGGTATAAGCTAAAAATATATTGTGTTGTATACAGGGTGCCCCAAGAAAAGTTATGATAATGTTTTAAGTTTTTTAAATTGCACCCCGCATTTTTCTGTATATAAATGGATTCAGCATAAAATTCTACATTTTCTACTCTATTTTTATTTGAGGCACTATGCGGTGTCGCCATTTCATTTCCTATTTACTAAAACTTTGGTTAAAAAACTATAATCAAAAAGTTTAGATATATTTTCTAAACACCAAGTAGAATAACAGAATAAATCTAACCAAACAGAATAAATCCGCGAAGAAAAATTAAATGATCTTATACAGGGTAATTTTTATGGCGTCACCAAAATCGGAATATTTAAAACGCTATATCTCGATTTTTTTTAAATGCAGCACCCTGTATATTATTTTTCGTTTATATACCGAATTAAGAAATGAACATGTTTTGTACTTAAATTGTTCCTAAATTTTTAGCTGTTTTGCAGATATTCTCTGTATTATATTTACTGTTGGAAGAGCCATATTTAATAATAATAATCGAATATCTCTCTCTCTGAAAAACCGTTAAAAGTTTTGAACACATTAAATACAAAAAATGTCTACTTTTTAATTCTGCATCTAAAATGAAAATAATATAGGTTATATTATATAGAAAAAATTGGAGATATGCATTTTAAATATTGCGATGTTAATGACACCATAAAAATTACATTGTATAAGATTAATGTAAATTTTCCTTCGCGAGATAATTTTGTTACCCTTGATGTCTAGGAAAATATAGCTAATTATTAATAAAAGTTAAATTCACTCTAGTTTTTAAACACTTTTCGGATATAATGTTTTTAACCAAAATTTCAGTAAATTATCAATAGAATGGCAACACCATAATATAAGGAAAATAGTAGAATTACTCCTTGTCAAATCCTTTGTTTTTTTTCTGCCACTTTATATGACCTTGTTCTCGCGTACCTTGACCACTACGTAGCTGTATAGTCGTGTTCTATAACTAGTACAACAAAGTATAGTCGTGGCACTCGCCATAGTTTCACAGAGATGTATTTAGGAAAATATGAGTTCACAATAAAATAAAATAAAAAAAATTGATCATCGAGTAAAAATTTGCTTGAAAATAGGATATTTTCACATTTCGTGTAAGTAAAAATTCTACTGTATCTGAAAATCTTCTGATGGGAAGAAATGCTGAAAAAATATATAATGACATATTTTTATATTATTATCTATTTCAAAGATTTTCTGCAACTTTTTTTTAATTTACAAGTTTAATTTTAACATTAAGGTGTTTGTTTTGTAGGAATATATTGGTTAGGTGATTTTCATTGGATAACTAATACATTGAACAACACATTGTACTAAATAATAAAATAACATATTTAAACTTCAATAATTGCTAATAAACGTTACAGAAATTTCAAAAGAGAAAAGAAGCAAGAACAATGAAAAATAGCATCACTACTTTCTCACATAATAAAAGAATATTTTTTTAGTTATTGTTACAGAGTCCCGAAGGTACCGAAAGATCCGGGAATTAATAATTTCGATTTCCGGTTCTTTGATATCTCAAAAGAACCGGGAATTTCCGGTTCTGAACCCTAGTTACCATATTATCAAGAAATTATGTTTTTTAACTAAAAACTAAAAAAATGTCCAGGTTTTTTTCAAAAAAAAATGCGCAGAAAAATCCTCATATTTCTAGGGTCAAAATATATTACCTCTAAAAATATTTGCACCAATTTAAGACTCACCCTGTATAGGGCTATTCACGGTTATGGTACGTTATAGCGTTTCCGGAACCGGAGCCGTTTTTCGGAACCGGTAATTTCGGTACCATGCCTCTAAGGAACCGGGATTTCCAGTTTTTTTTCGGTACTAGTAAATTTTTATTCAATGATGGTGCAGTTCGTTAATCAGCTAGCAAGGGATGGTTGTCAAAAGTAAAATCGATAAAAAATTGAGGTTTAAATGAAAATAATATCAAATTATTAAGTGATAATCAGTCATGAGAAAATTAACCTGAACACAAAGATGATCACAAATGACTAAAAAAACTCAAAGCACAATTTTTTTAATAATTACTACAATTGATAGCAGCACACAGTAAGGCACTCATTTTTTGTAAACCCGTCTCTGTGCTGGGACGCAACGCTCGAACCTCGCTGGTCGACGGACAGAACTCAACTGAAACGCTCTGCAATCTGCCGATATTCGACAGATTGTAAAAACTGACAGAAAATATTTGGGAGAGTGCAACTACTCTTTTCCTTTTACTATGGGAACACTGCATATTGCTGGAAATAAAAATATCATACTATACAGGGTGGCCCATCGAAAACGTTCCGCAAGGCATAACGGCCAGGGTAATTTTTTTTTTCAGAAAATTCATAAACACTTCAATTTTGTTTGTGGGGGGGACAACTTTTGCCCCAAAAATGATTGCAAAATCTTCAACCCTCTAAGCGGGGTTGTTATCCCCCAATTTTTTTCAAATGGGAATGCGGGTCAAGTGGTACTGCAATGAAAAGGGCTTTCTATTCTCTATACTTTCTCGTTTCGTTTTTGAAAATCGGTCGAGTTATTGAGAAAATATGAAGGATTGAAATTTGAAAAGTACGTGTATTTAAGCATTTATCAGAGTAAATGATAAGGATAAATTCCTTCGACCAATTTGCTGTTTTTTTTTTATTATTTCTAGATGTTTACGCATTTTTTCACTTGCCACAAGGTTGAACGATCAGGTGCGGTAGTTGCTAGATAGCTGTTCTGTGACTTGTGCGTTGAAGTTCTTCTAAATATCGTTAAACTTTTTAACAATTATGGTGTACTCACTGGCATAAAAAGTGGAAATAATCGAACTTTATTTTAAAAATAATGAATGTATCGGGTTGCGCAGATATTCAATGAATGCCATCCTGACAAACACCTTTATGGCAAAATTGTTCGCTAGTTAGTAGCAAAATTTCGCGAAACTGGTTCCGTTATGAATAAAAAGAGGCAGAGGGAAAATCCTGTAATAAATGAAGCTATGGAGGTAATCGTATTGGGCTAAGTTGCCATGGATAGTACACTGAGTACAAGAAAATTAGCCAATGAGACCGGCGTGAATCGTACAAGTGTCCAAAGGATATTAAAAAAACACAAATTCCACCCGTACAAAATTCAGTTGGTTCAAGAACGCAACGAAGACGATTTTGATCGTCGCTTGCAATTTTGTGAAACTATGAGTGAACGAGTGGCGAATGATAATAATTTCCTATTTAATGTGTGTTTTTTGGATGAGTGTACTTTCTTTTTGAACGGTATAGTTAATCGGCACAACTGTCGGTACTGGGCTGAGGACAACCCCAGGGTTTTTCACGAGGTGTGCACACAAAACCCTCAGAAATTGAACGTGTGGGCTGGTATTTTTGGAATTTCTATTGTAGGTCAGTTTAACGATATTGAGAAGAACTTCAACGCACAAGTCATAGAACAGCTATCTAGCAACTACCACACCTAATCGTTACTTGTGGCAAGTGAAAAAATGCGTAAACATCTAGAAATAATAAGAAAAAACAGCAAATTGGTCGAAAGAATTTATCCTCATCATTTACTCTGATAAATGTTTAAATAAACTTTTCAAACTTCAATCCTTCATATTTTCTCAATGACTCCATCGATTTTCAAAAACGAAGCGGGGAAATATAGAGAATAGAAAGCTCTTTTTATTGCGGCGCCACTTGACCCCCTTCCCATTTGAAAAAAGTTGGGGGATGACAGCCCCGCTTAGAGGGTTGAAGATTTTGCAATCATTTTGGGGGTAAAAGTTGTCCCTCTCACAAGCAAAATTGACGTGTTTTTGAATTTTTTGAAAAAAAAATACCTTGGCCGTTATGCCTTGCGGAACGTTTTCGATGGGCCACCCTGTATGCAGAATTTTATGCCGAATCCAAATCTCTACAGAAAAATAGTGAGCGTAATTAAAAAAAATAAAACGTTTAAAATATAACATTTTTGGCACACAATATACAATTTTTTTTAGCATATGCCCTTTTATAAACATGCAACATTTGTATACAACTTTTTTCATATCTTCAACAACGACGACGATATTGGACTTCCTCGCACTAATGGGCCACCCTGTATAAAGAATACCGTCATTCAGCGGTACACTTTTTTAAGTACAGAAACAACGCCTGTATTTTACCAAATTTTGTGTATTACCAAATTTTATATAATACTAATTGTCTTTACCAGTCTAAGTTCCGCGATTAGGTACTGTTGTAAAAATAAAACTACATTTTATTGCATACAAAAATAAACATTTCTGAACTGTTAGATGCAGAATAAGAACCACGAAAACACTAAACTTTTTTATTATCTAATTGAAATGCAAAAATAATGATAATTCATTAATGAGTTTGTCATAATGGAGGGACCCCAAGAAAACTCAAAACCGTAATGATTGGGCGGTCCTATAGAGCTATACATCTATAACTCTAGCAAACAAAACACGCTGTAAGCGTGTTTTTATTGCTTGATTTCACAATTTTTTATTCGTTTTTCCCTGTGTCATTTCTCTCTGTTTTTTCCGATTGCTTTGGATATTGCAATTTTAAAATTAAATATTTTACAATTTTTATAATAATTATTAAATATCAATAACAGTTCAAATCAAGTCAAAAATTAAGAATGCAAAGATATTAGGTTATGTTATCACTTCGGCGCAAAGCTTCGGCGGTATTTGACTTTTAAAATACAGTATGCCGCCGGCGCCGTTGGACGGCTTTTATCAGCCAGGATAAGTGCATACCTCCGTAAGCGATACGTTTTTTGGTATGCACTAACAATACCGCCAGCGATTGTTGAGCCAGTACAGTTATATATTTGCTTAATAGTGGATTCACACTATACACTTACCTAAATGAAAAATATGAAACATATAAGTGTGTTCAAATGCAGCTGATAGAAACGATGTTAAACAAATACCAGCTGCGTAATAATAAGCTTCTCGTTTGGTCATCGTAGAGTTTGGATGGTAGTATAAAAGAAGTTGGGAAAGAAGCAGTGGTTGTGACAGTCTAAAATTATTAATTATGCCGTTTGAAAGCTGATAAAGTAATAAATATAACTAATAAAATGTTGATTTAGGACTTCCGTTGCTTTTATTTTTGTTCGGATAGTTACAATGTCCCGATTTTTGCAGAATCTAGAGTTTAATCTAAAAAGTTTCCAACATCACTATACATATAGAGTTTTTCACGTAGAATCCAGTGGCGTAACTAGTTTTTCTCTGGGAGCTAATGGGCAAATTCATGACAAGGCTGATTTGATTTCTCCTTACGTTTCAAGTGCTGTACGGTGGAACGGTCGAGCCTCTACTCGTTCTGCGGTCAACGCATAAAACACTCATTTTCTCTAATCCGGCTAGCGAAGACATATCGAAGACGGTGAGGAACTGAAAGCGACAGTGTTGCCATATTAAAATGTGTCTGTAATACGTTTGATGAAAATATCTTTGGATGAAAAATCCGTGTTTATGTATTGAAAATTTATTCGTGTTAAATATACAATATAATAATAATAATAATAGCTCCCGTATATAGCGTTTAACGCCTTGGGAGTAGCAAGGTACAATTTGCCATACTAGAGCCGTTCGGTATATACAAGGAAGGTAATGTGGCTAGCATTACGCTTCAACCGCCTATTATTACCTCAGGTTTGTAAATCTCAAGTACTCATTTTAAGGCTGAGTTGACCTAGGTACCCAAACTATATTTATTTATTAAAAATAGTCGGCTGGTGAAATGCCGGCTGTATGATTCGAACCCACAACTTAGACGAGAGCTGTACCTCTACGCCACCGGGTACCTTTAAAAGTTATAGCACCTTTAAAATATACAATAAACCACAAAAATAAAAATTCTTTTATACGTACTGAGTATTTCGTATCATCCAAAAAAGTTGTTTAGTTGGCTTGGAAATGACGACTATTTATATTTACTATAATATTTTCCATATGAAATAACAGCGATCTTCATTTCCAACCCAACTCGCCGCGCCGATCTTTGTTTAATCGTATAATATTATATTAAATTGTTTAATGAGAGAAAATCTGTATTATTAACGTGATGTACTCAAAATCCGTAAACCTACGGATCGATCCGTAGTTCTGGCAACACCATTTCCGGCAAATATCCACTCTGTCGACTGAAAGCAGAACTACGGTACAGTATTCTTTATCCGCTGGGCTGTAAACGACTATCAGAGCGCAGCGGCGGCGCGGCGCAGAGCTAGACTAAATCTTGGACATGTAACGGTAACGCCAGCTACATCTCGGACATGTTTTATGTCACGAAATCGCCTATAAGGTTGCGCATCTTCTTATTTCATCAATCAACGGTACTATTTTATTTTATTTAATTTAACCAGAAAACATCGTGTTATCTCAATAAAGGGTACTGAAAATGAACTTGTTCTGTTTTTAGATAAGACGCGTAAATCAGAGTTATTGATATTTCGATGCACTTGTGCAATAATTTCACACGCAGAAACTAGTGTGGAATAGTCAATAACCAAAATTTGACGTCGAATAAATTATTCGATTGTTTTCATTGCCTAATTTAAACCAGCCGCCTATGTTGAAAAGTTGAATAATGCATTTTTACACTTGCTTATAAAATTAAGTATAAGGAATATTTTATTTTTAGAAAACTCATAGTAATGTAAATAAAATAAAAAAAATAATATATAGGCCATCCCATTAAAAATATGTTTGGGTAATATTTCAAAAATGACAGCTCCCAACGAAAAACAAGTTACGCCCCTGAATTCCACGTGAAAAACCCTATGGAACTCAGTTTTCACCTTTTCGATATGTTATAGGATATCCGGAATACGAAAATGCAAAATTTTCAAATTCTCCCTGTATTTCAGGCCACAAAAGGTAGCAAAAGGTCACAAAAGGTAGCGCAGTAAGTAAAAACCGTACCTTTATACCTCTACTTATAAGCGAGAAATCCTGTAAAACACACGAAAATTGGAATATTTTAAAAGGAAACACCCTTTTCTATAGGAGATAGGCAAAAACTAATATCGGTGTCTGAACGCACATGGATAGCTGTTAACGATTCGGTGCTACGGGGCGTTTTTAAAAATGTGCATTTTTAACAAGCCGCTTTAACTTCTTTACTATGGAAAATTTTGAAGAATTTTGAGAATTTAATGGTTTAAGCATATATTTTTTTACATTAATAATTTAAGAGTTATCAACAGAAAATTCGTTTGTTTATATGGCACATCCAGTATATTTTTAATTCATTGAAAAGAATTTAAAATTACCTGTCCAAAAATATAGCATACTTTGATATTGTTACGTTTTTCGTCGGTTCCGTGTGGATAGAAAGTCACAATTTATTTAAACACAATTTATTTAACACTAATTAACAAACAATAACGATTAAAAGAAAACTTAAAGAACTATTTATAACTTATTTACAATTTATCTAATTATTTATCTAACAGCAATTTATTTTGAATTAGCGCGGCGATTGTAACTGTACGCGTCGATCGGTTATTTTCTCTCTATCTTCTTCAGGTTTCGGGCATCGGCTTATATATGTGAGAAACAGACAATCCAGACTTACCTCGAAAATTCTTAGCGGCGTTCTTCGAACGTCGGTGGGCGTATGAGTCATAGTCGAGTGGCCAAGTCTAAGGCCGAGTTCACACGGTACGGGTCCGCTACACTGCCCCCTTCTTAGGTCCATGCTCGTTCCGAGATGTACACGGTGAATGAAGGTATTTGCAAAGCTGGCCCCTGGTGCATTGAGAAGTTTGGTAGAAAAAGCAGTCTACATTTTTCTCGCCCGATCTCAGCTTTGGGTTATAGCAGCAAACGAGGATCTCGATTCCCGTAAATCTAAACAAGACTTCAATCCAGTCCACACGCCAGCTTCGGAATGGCTAATCGTGTAATGTTATTGTTTAGCAGGGCTTCTCTCAGTTTAATCAGGGTCTTCCATAGATTGAGATAGGTCGGCTTACTCGGGGACCATTCCTTGGTGACCAGGTAGAAGATGTGTCTTGCTTGACCATGTGCATTGTCTTGCTTGACCATGTGCAGGTTAGCCTCAAGACGCTTCCAACCTCTGGATCTTGTCGGCGTAGTTCTCCGACACGCCCAAACTTCTCATTGAACATCGCAGCGATTCCTCTGGACATCCGCAAATCTCGGGCCACACAGTGAGCGAGCGAATAATCAGGAGGCACGGAAAAGAGGTCTCGTTGTTCTTCTTTGGTTACACCATAGCGAGCCTTCTCACTGCTGTTGTATCGGGCTATGAAATCATCAAAGGACATCTCCGAATCAGGGGGATCAAAGCTGCAGGTTCTCACGGTTCCAGCACGATCTTCTATTTCGCCTTGGTAAGGGCTCAAACGGTTGAAATGAACTATCCTTGGTTTTTCTTTTGGCAATTTTTTGATACGGTATACGACGTCATTTATCCTATCCATGACTTCGTGTGGGCCTTCCCACCAGTATTGTAGCTTCGAAGATAATCCACGACGTCTCTGCGGGTTGTACAGCCACACCAAATTCCCTGGTTGGTATTCCCCATGCTCTGCTTGAATGTCGTAGTGCTCCTTCATTCGGTCACTAGCGCTTTGAATATTTAGGCGGACTCGCTGACGGATGTCGTCCATCCTTTGGCGTAGTCTATGGACATAATCTTCTCCGGCGACTTCTTCTTCCGGTCGGCAACCAAATTTCAGATCACAAGGTAGGCGCACTTCCCGTCCCATAACGATGCTGGCTGGAGTTTGCCCTGTGGATTCTTGGACGGATGAGCTGTAGGCCAACAGGAACAGGTGAAGGAATTTGTCCCAGTCTCTTTGGTGGTCAGAGACTACTTTGGCCAGATAACGATTGATAGTTCTGTTTATGCGTTCAATCATCCCATCGGATTGTGGATGCAGAGCAGTCGTCCTGGTCTTGCGGATGTTAAGGACTTCACAGACGCCTTGGAACAGATTGGACTCAAAGTTTCTTCCCTAATCTGAATGAAGCTCCATGGGAACACCAAACCTGCAGATCCATTCTTTAACAAGGGCATCAGCAATGGTGGACGCTTCTTGATTTGGCAACGCGTAGGCCTCGACCCATTTGCTGAAGTAATCCATAACTACCACAATGTATTTGTTGCCATCGTTCGTCTCCGAGAAAGGACCAGCCACGTCGATCGCTATTCGTTCGAAAGGACTGCCTACATTGTACTGGCGCATAGGGGCTTTACCACGCTTTTGTGGCCCATTGATGGCTGCGCAAATATCACATTTCTTACACCAGGCCCTCACATCTTCTTTGCAGTTCACCCAATAGAACCGTTCACGCAGCTTGCCAAGTGTCTTGGTAACACTAAGATGTCCACCGCTGGTTCCACTGTGAACTTCCTCCAAGACTTCCGGGACCCTCTTCTTTGGAATGACGATCTGCCTTCTCTCTTCTTGTCCCTCCGGTCTCTCGATCACACGGCGAAGTAATCCGTTATCTATTACCAAGGAGTTCCACTGAGCCCAGTACGACTTCACGTTCGGCGAATATCTGCAAACTTCCTCCCACGTTGGTCTTTGGTCCGCGTTTTTCCAGTTAATTACTAAGCCTAATTCTGGGTCACTGATTTGGTCATTTGCAAGATCTTCGGGTTGCCAAGTATCATTAATCACCGTTGTTCTTATGAATTTCGCTTCTTTCTCTTCTGCTCGGGAACAATGCTTACAGTCCTTATCGCAAGGTCTTCTGGAAAGTGCGTCGGCATTTCGATGGATTGCCCCAGCTCGATGTTCCGTGTCGAAGTCAAATTCTTGTAGTCGTTCGATCCATCTAGCTACCTACAGCTACCTACATCCATCTAGCTACCTACAGTACCCTAAAAGGGTTCCCTTCTTCAAGGATACAGAATAATAATTCGTGTTCATTACTCTCACCAGTACAGTTTTCTTCGCTCGTAGCAGGGCTTTTCCAACAGCGATCCCCCGTCCTATTTCGCTGTCATGGTTCCTTGGCTCCAACAGAATAATACTCCCATTATTCATTTTACCTTCCAGGCAACCATCCAAAAATATCTCACAGCGCTCAGGGATCGAAACATCTTCTGCTACCACCACGCGAAGCGTCTCCTCACATTTTCGATGTAGAACCACTTCTTCTTCATTTATTTTCAAAATTCCCTGTTTGAAGTTTAGTTCAAAACCTCTAGTGGTCATGATGTCCATTCCGAGAATAAGATCATCTTCGATATCTGCTACTAACACTGGATGTTCAAAACTGGTGCTCCCAATAACAAAATTAAGGTTTACTTCTCCATGGACAGCAGCGGAGCCCCCCGTAGCAGTACGTAGTCGCCATTGTGTTGTTTTAACCTTCTTCGATGTTTTAAGAATGTCCGGTCTGATAATAGTTTTCGTCGCTCCTGTATCCAACAGCATAGTCCGGAACTCTCCATCAACAAAACCATCCACAAACATGCTGTTGAATTTGTGTTGTAGCGAGGCGACTCGAGCAGTTTTCGTTGGGGCATGTTGGGTACAGGTCGACGTGTGCCCCTTCATTTCGACCCTTAGTAGTTTTCCGACCTCGACGAAGCCGGTTCTTCGTTCTTCTCCTTACAACGGCTTCGCACGTGTCCTACCTGTCCGCAGTTCCAGCAATGAATCAGTCCCTTCTTGCCCATGTACTGGTCCATTACTTTCCGAACAATCCCTTCCACGGATTCGTCGGAACATTCGTCGATGGCCCGTACTCTTCCTAAAGACCGAGAACTTTGTTTCGCGGCCTCGAATTCTAGGGCACGTGCTAAGCATCCACCAAGTGCGTTGGGTGGGCTAGGAGAAGTGCTTGTCTTGTCTCGTTATCACGTAAGCCGTCGGAGAATGCCTGTACTGCCAACCGCTCCATAACATTCTCTGGCGTAGCAGGGTACGCAAGGCGAAGAGACGGGCTACATCGGCTTTTGAAGAATTTTGAGAATTTAATGGTTTAAGCATATATTTTTTTACATTAATAATTTAAGAGTTATCAACAGAAAATTCGTTTGTTTATATGGCACATCCCGTATATTTTTAATTCATTGAAAAGAATTTAAAATTACCTATCCAAAAATATAGCATACTTTGATATTTTGCTCGATTCACCTTCGAAATATAGGGATTTTAAGAGACATAATATAATATTAGATTTTGCTACAGGAGGTGTTCGAGATGTCGACTGCCTTCTCATGCAAAGACAGGACCGTTTCTGAACATTTCTCGCGGAACTCATTAACTTAGTAGGGGTGAAAGATACCCTCGCATAACCGCTAAGTACTTCTAATTCTTGTCTAGAGTATACAGGCTATTTAAAAAAAATTGGGGCTTCCTCAAAGATAAAAATTCATAGGCGCTAAGTCCTGCGGCTTTGCCGGCCAACGGTAGGGGCCTTGGTTAGGTATTCAATTATTTCAGCATTGTGAGGCGGTGCCTTGTCTTCCTGGAAAATATAGTTCCATTAGGGGCAGATCCAAAGCCTACTAGTTAAAAGTCGTGAAGTTGTAAAAATTCGGTATTTCGAAGGGGACTCGAACAAAATATCAAGTGTGCTAAATTTTTTCGAAATGTAATTTTGATCTCTTTCCAGTGAATAAAAAATATATACAGGGTGTCCCAAATAAAAAAAAAATTTCGGTTGATAACTCTTAAATTATTAATTTAAAAAAAAATAGATTTAAACCATTAAATTCTACGTAAAAAGGTGCTTTGGAAATGTTTCCATAAAAATACAGAATTTTCCATAGCAAAAAAGTTACAGCGATTTATGATGAGATATCGATGTGCGGTTTTTACCATCACAGTTTTTGATAAAAATTGAGCTCCAGCCATCGATATTAGTTTTCTTCTATTTCCTATAGAAAATTGAGTGTTTCCATTTAAAAGTGTCCAATTAGGCCCACCTTGTACATCTCTGCATATAGCACTATGGAGATCATTTTTAACCAAACTAAGAACAGTGGGTGTACCAAAATCAATCGTAAATTTCCTACTTTTTTAATTGTATAATTTTCTTACCTTACAAATATTTCCATGCACAAACAGCAAAAGCCTAAAATAGATAGAACTTTTCCGAAAACCTTTGCCAAGGCTTTCCATAACGATGGATTATTCGGTTTCTTCTTCAGTTCTGTATGCCATTCCCTTTCCAGTTTGTCTCCAAGAATTTTTGAATCGTGCTCCTTCAAAGATGGATAAAGATCATCTTCAAGGAGGTCTTTCTTGAAACCTTTGATAAATAGGGGAAATGTCCATCTGAAAAAAATTGTGTGTGCACTATGCATATTTGAAGTGAAACTTCTTACGAACAACTATTAAATTGAAGGATTTGAAGTTTGGAATTGTAAAAAAATTAAAAATTAATAAATAGGTAATTTGATACATTTCCACAAAATTTGTATTAAAATGATCGTCTGTCTCAGTCTGTCCGTCTAAGGACTCCATTCGGGTACATCTATCCACGTGCCGAGTTTTGTTTCTATCGACCCATAATTAAAAAAAAAAAATCGGATAATTTCGTCTATTTGGAGGCATCAGTTCGATACGTTGAGGGCGCCATCCTGTAGCCAGTCCCCAATTATGCCGAAATCAAAAGTAAACGAAACATCAGCTTTTTTCGTTTTCCTGTTATTGCCGATTCTGAACCGTCCTAGAATTCTGCAGGACATGCGCAAATGAAATAATGTCTTCATATTTCCTTCTGCGCATACGCATCACAGTTCTAGGATGGTTCAGAATCGGTAATAACAGGAAAACGAAAGAAGCTATCGTATCGAACTTTTGCAGAGTGGGGCCGTGTGCACCGTCGTCGCTCACCTAGCCTACCCACTAAATTTGGTCGCGATCGGACGACGTCAATTTTTAACATTTCTTACGTCAAAACTAACTGTCATAGTGACACTTTTCTTACACGGTCAAGTTGGCCTTGGTCCAATCTATCGACATACGAAATTGCATTTAAATCGGCGGATTTTTTCTAATGTAGTGCTGGCTGAATGCCGTAAGGGCAAGTGGCCATATCTGGACCGGATTGGGAAGTTTCCAGAGTCATAGGCTGTATTCAGCAGACGGAATCTGTTTGCTATTGATCCTTTCCATAGAAGAAGAAGATTTTTTTTAAGCCGTATAAAACTCTGGATCAGGGAAAGAATAAATGAAAAGCAGAATGTCCACTGAAGAAACAGACAGGAGCACAGGCACAGCAAGGCCTTTATCCAAGTACCTAGCTCTAAAACTACAGAAGAACTGCTAATGCTTACCAGGAATAAAGTGCGCATTACAACAGGCCCCTCGACAGGGCACATGGCTGTCAAGTGTTACCTGAACAAGCTCAACCTGTATCAAGGAAGTCTTTCCTGCAGACATTGCGATCAAGATCTAAATGCGAGGCTCTAGAACGCAAGCGACACTTTTTATTTGTAACAGCTAGGCTAGAACCGGAGGAACTATGCTCCCATTCTATCAATGATCTGCATAAGTGCACGGACACACAGAAATCGTTTTTTGCGTTTTTAGCGTGAAGCGACTTTTGCGCCTAAAACAAAATAATAGGATTATATAGGAGTGGCCCCATCGAAAGCATCTAGCGCTCGGCGGGTCTCGCAAAAAACGCAAATGAAAACAAATCAATTTGTTTTCTGTAGTCTTTAGCGTTTTCTATGAGACCCCGTCATAGACGAACGTAATATTTATTAATACAATAAAAATAAATTAAATAGTAATTACTAATAGCATTTTTCATTTTAGGATATTATCTAAAAATATTTTTATAGAGAACATCTACTGTTTAGGAAGATTGTCTTAAATTCAAAAATTTCAAGGAAATGTTTGAAAAAATGTAGTTTGAAATGTTGAAAAAGTCATAAATTAAAGGAATATTTTCTTACGCGTAAAAAATAGTTTTTTATTCGTAAAAAGTGTTTTTTTCTGCGTAAAAAAGGTTTTTTAACAGAAACAAATAGTTTTTGACGCGTAAAAATAGTTTTTTACGTGTAACAAATAATTTTTTTACACGTAATTTTTTTTCTGTAAAAAAGTTTTTTACCAGAAACAATAAGTTTTTGACGAGTAAAAATTAGGTTTTTACGTGTAAGAAATAGTTCTTTACACGTAAAAAATATTTTTTTTGCGTAAAAGTTTTTTTTACCAGAAACAATAAGTTTTTGACGCGTAAAAATTAATTTTTTCGTGTAACAAATAGTTCTTTACACGTAAAAAATATTTTTTTTTGCGTAAAAAAGTTTTTTTTACCAGAAACAATAAGTTTTTGACGCGTAAAAAATAGTTTTTTAGGTGTAACAAATAGATTTTTACACGTAACAAATAGTTTTTTTCACGTAAAAAATATTTTTTTTGTGTAAAAAAGTTTTTTACCAGAAATAATAAGTTTTTGACGCGTAAAAAAATAGTTTTTTTACGCGTAACAAATAGTTTTTTACACGTAAAAAATATTTTTTTGTGTACCTAAATAAGTTTTTTTATCAGAAACAATAAGTTTTTGACGCGAAAAAAAAATTTTTTTACGTCTAACAAATAGTTTTTTACACAAAAAATCTTTCTTTTTGCGTAAAAAAGGTTTTTTACCAGAAACAATAAGGTTTTGACGTGTAAAAAAATTGTTTTTTACGTTTAACAAATCGATTTTTACACGTAACAAATAGTTTTATACGCGTAAAAAATAGTTTTCTACCAGTAACAAATAGTTTTATACGCGTAAAAAATAGTTTTATACGTATAACAGTTTTATTCGCCTAAATAATAAAAATAGTTTTTTTATGTGTAATGGTTTTTTAAACGTAATAATTTGATTCACTTTTACAAAATTTGTATTAAAATATCAATATTTTTGATAAACACGAGGACTGCGCACAAATACACGTCGCGTAACTACGTAGTTCTAAGCCGTTAACACGTTTCGTTACAACTAGCTCGTGTGTCAGGGCCGTCTCAATAGCTCGTATGTCACGGCCTTGAATGTTTACTCCCAGCGCGCGTAAAGAAGTTTCACTCCAAAAAGTTTCATAAATCATGTACTAAAATTGCGTTAGCAACTAGTAGTATATATTTACTATTCTGTTATATAATTATAAAATTCTCTTTATTATATTATATTATAATTATAACAAGTAACCACAACACTACAATATAAAAAAACTATACACATATAAACTAAAATTCGTAAAATAAATGGCAAATACTATTTAATATTTTTACACACACCACTGGCATTAGCAGTAGATTGTGTTTGTCGCCGAATATATGCCCCGGCCCGTCCACAATTCAATCCCAGCATCTTTTATCTTCGTCTCTTCAACGCTAACCGCGCCGATCTCGCCCCTCTCTTTTTCACAGGATTGATTGTTGAATGGGTCGGGAATCCACGAGCTTGCGACGTTACTAATTGACATCTTGATAGAAACTGCAGACCTGCCGCGTCTTTTGCGTGTTTTTAATGGACACAAATCGAAAAAAAAACCTTAAAACGGTAAAATCGCAAAAAGCGCTTGAGACGCAAAACGCTAAAAACGCTTTCTGTGTGGCCGTGGGCTGATAGTGTAGGGTACAGGGATAGGAGAATGAGTGCAGATATAAGAAAGGGGACAAACATAATAGGCTCACAGGTCGCAGTGTTTCCGGCAGAGGACGGCCCCTTGATATTGAAAAAAAGCCCTGGCTGTCCTTACCACTTTTCCCCTCGCCTGGGGGGTGTGTCGCGTGTCGTATTACCGCCTGAATTTTTATTCCCAGCGCGCGTTTAGAAGTGACATTTCAATAAAATTTATCATTTCTACGCATCGAAACAAAATAGCGTCAAAGACGACGGGAGAATGACAATCGTTAATTTTGGCCAGGTCAAACCCTAGGCACCATTTATTAGTGCCAGTTGGCTCTAAGAAGGTTGTAATTTATTTTTATATTGAGTAAAAATTATTATTAAATGGTGTAGTTTAGAATTCGAGAAAAAATATTTTTTTGGAAATAGATTTGTAAGAAACGTTTTATCCTTTTTTCTGTAATCTTTCTGTACTTATGTTAATTTTCGACAAGTTTTGTGTCAATTTTTAGTAAATTATGTTTAGAGACTGACCTCGCCAAAATTATCATGGATTTTCATTTTCCAGCAGTATTTGACGCCGTTTTTTTTCGATCATACGGTATTTACATAATTTAGGGTACGTGTATACTACAGCGTGTACAGGGACATCATTTTAAGTGTCTCACTCGATTTATAATTTTCCTGTTTGGTATTTAAAGATAGTAGAGAGATTTTCTAATGTAATTTTTCGCGAGGATGCCGATTTTCTATATTAAATTTTTTTTAAACGTCAATTTTGACAGATACGACTCCATCTTAATTTTTTTTAAATGGAAACCCCATCATATTTTAACATGGTCCGGTAGACATATTTTAGCTAATTTCAAAAATATATAGTTTAGTATACTTTGCATTTACCATTTTCGATATACAGTGGATTTAAAAATGAATTGTTCCAGAATCATTTTAAGTGTCTCACCCAATTTAAAATTTTCCTCTTTTTTATTTTAAAATAGTAAAAAGATATTTTAATGTAATTTTTCGCGAGGATGCCGATTTTCTACATTAATTTTTTTTAAAACGTCAATTTTGACAGATACGACGCCATCTTGATTTTTTTTAAATGGAAACCCCATTATATTTTAACATGATCCGGTAGACATATTTTAGCTAATTTCAAAAATATATAGTTTAGTATACTTTGCATTTACCATTTTCGATATACAGTGAATTTAAAAATGAATTGTTCCAGAATCATTTTAAGTGTCTCACCCAATTTAAAATTTTCCTCTTTTTTATTTTAAAATAGTAAAAAGATATTTTAATGTAATTTTTCGCGAGGATGCCGATTTTCTACATTAATTTTTTTTAAAACGTCAATTTTGACAGATACGACGCCATCTTGATTTTTTTTAAATGGAAACCCCATTATATTTTAACATAGTCCGGTAGACATATTTTAGCTGATTTCAAAAATATATAGTTTAGTATACTTTGCATTTACCATCTTCAATATACAGTGGATTAAAAATTAATTGTTCCAGAATCATTTTAAGTGTCTCACCCAATTTAAAATTTTCCTCTTTTCTATTTTAAAATAGTAAAAAGATATTTTAATGTAATTTTTCGCGAGCATGCCGATTTTCTACGTTAAAATTTTTTAAAACATCAATTTTGACAGATACGACGCCATCTTGATTTTTTTTAAATGGAAACCCAA